GACGCCGCCGGCCTCGCCGCCGTTCCCACGGCCCTCGAGCGCGGCCACGACGAGTCGACGCGCCTTGGCAGGTGGGATGCGCGAGAACCCCGGCACCGAGGTGGTCAGGAAACCCATAACGTGACGGATCGCGAGAGGGCCCTGCTGCAGGAGAATCTCCGGGAGGTGGTATCGGGCCAACATAGCGGGCGTGATCGCGCCGGCGCTGTCAAGATCCTCATGCGCAGCCGACTCGGGGTGATGCTGGCCGTTCGCATGGTCGACGGCGTCCTCAAGATCGATATCGGAGTCCAACTGGGGTACTGTGGACAGCGGGGATCCCGGTGACAGAGCGGGGCGATGCTTAAAGGCCTGTGGGGGAAGGGTGGGCGAGATGGAGTTGGGTGGCGTTGGGAGCATGGCCGGGTGGCCTGGTCGCGACGCAGGTTTGCGGGCGCCCGCGCCGGCACGAGGATGAGGGATATCGACAGAAGCGGTCTTGGTCTTGCCAGCAAGAGCCATCGCAATGCTGGAGGTGGTCTGAAAAGCAGCCATGTTGGGTGGGTATGAAGAAGAGAGAATCTGTCTGTCGCAGAACAAAGCAAGTCGGGCGTAGATGAGTCAGACAGGGCCGTTCCATACAAATTGCGATAACACCGCGCCACGCGATTGGGGAGTTTGTTGGTTGACGGGTGGCGACGGGTGGCTAGGGCGAACAAAGAGAAACTCACCTCTTAGAACAAAGAGACAAGGTGCAGAAGGAGGCGGGGATGGATGGATGGATGGATGGATGTGTGTGTGTGTGTATGTAGGAAGAAGACCCGGCTGATTGCAGATGCGCGGTGCTTTGTACTGTCCACGTAGAAGCGGGTAAGATGCGACGCGGCAAGGGGGAGGAAGGGAGATCAACCACGCGATCGGGCCGGTCTATCGAAGTCCGAGTCAAAGAGAACAAAGCTGAGAGGCTTAAGATAGGATAGTCTGGAGGAACGGAGGATATAAGAGGAAGAAGAAGGAAAGAAGTAGTAGAGACTAAGTAGATCTGGGCGAGGGGGGGGGCTCGTGTGTGTGACGAGGGGGAAGTATACGGGCGAGTACTACTCAGCCGCTTGTGACCCTAAAGAGGATAACCAGTCGGGCTACCAAGTACATACTCTGTACTTCCAGATGTACTACAGTACTGCTAACAGCAGTGTATTGCCCCTCCCTGGGACTCCACTCTGATCGCCTTGGACCGAGAATGTCTGGGACTCCGCAGACACTCTCCAGGGCCAGCGCGTGGGTGCGTTGATTGGCGCCTCGGACAGCCAGCAGCGCCGGGAGGTTCCGGGGGTTCGACTGGGTCCAGTTGGACCAGAACAGAGTGTGATCCCGTTCCCTTCTGTCATAGGCAGAGAAAGAGAAAGAGAGACGTACGGTCGAGGGGATCGACCGTATGTAGAGTATACTCTTGCATGATGCCATCGTCGCAGTGTCGAGATGGTCTCATCTTGACATCTTGGGATTCCCAGTATCATTTCTCTTCTATCTATTATTCTACAATAGTAAACCCTGACCAGTCCATTCGAGATCCACTACTGGACGAGTGACTATATACTCGTGATTGGATATTCCTTGTTTTTGGGTGTCGAACCAATCCATCATCCCAGCACCGATCAGCCGAGGGAACTAAGATCCCTCCATTCCCACTGGTAGTGATCTACTTGCAGTTGTTCCTCTAGTCCGACTAGATCCCAGGTACCTACATCGGTACCTACATGAATAGGTACGTACATCCATCTCAGTAAGGTAGGCTCGGATCGTCTACGAGAACTATGAGGACGACTCTACTAGTGTACCGACCCCTCTTGGAGTATGTACATCGTCTTTCCCCCCCCTCTCTTACTCTATGGCCCCGTGCCCGGTATGCAGATGTCCGAGATCGCTGTCTTGAAAAGACCATCCTTATCGGCCAGTCATAATGGGGCCGGGGGTGCTCGTGCACGCATATCGCGGTCGGAGTCGATCACAAGTCGGGGAGGGCGTAACCCTACCCAAAGAAGACCAAAGTTTCCCAAGTTGCCAAAGTCAGATTCCTGACCCTGATAAGCCCCCGTCGTCGGCACGTGGTCCGCCGTATGCAGCGTTGTTGGTCAGAAACTCTACTTGAAGATTTTCCGCGTCACCCGAAGTCCATCGTTCCTGACAAGAGTACTCGCTTGTACTCGACTACAGCCCTCGCTAACTTTTTCATCACCTACAATGTCCCATCCCACAAATCTGAATTCTTGGGACCTTTCCAAAATTCAAAATACTCGACTGCCCCTCCTAAATTCACTAGAACTCGAAAATCCACTCATAAGCGGGTCCGTAGACCCGCGGGAATCTGGACTCTCGAGTCTGTGCTTTGACGTCACAAAGTACCGAGACACCTTGGCATCCTGCCATAAGCATGTTTGGCTACTGTATCGAATACGGTGTCTAGGGACACGCTGTTCCGAATTATCGATGACTGTACGGCTGTACGGTAGATTCATATAGTTACTCTAGATGCCTTGCTGCTCTGCATATACACTTACAGGACTCCTTACCCCTCCCCCCACTCTCAACACGGTCCCTTCGCCGTTCCTTTCGACGCGTGTCCCACTCCTATACTACAGTACTAGGGGCGCGGGGGGTCCAACTAGTGACTCGCGCCAGCCGCAGTGCGACTTGCCCCGTTTTCCGGTAACAACTCTAGGTGGCTGAACAGCCAGCTACGACGCATACAATAGGAATGAGACTGCCTGGTTTTGCTTTTAGGGTTGGTTTGGAGTCAAGCCACCCTCGGGAATGCACGACCGACTTGCGCTGCATTTTTGGCGTGGTTGATACCGGACTCCTCGAGGACTGTGCTCCTTAACTATGGAGTAGCATTGTACCTCTGATTAATGGCTGGCTTATTATTAGTGCCCCCTCTAACTCCGCATAGGGTAGGCACAATGTTGGCCTGTGGACCGCGCCTTCGGAACCGGTGCTCGTTGTACGGGACGATAACGGCTGTTGGGTACCTGATGAGGTGGGACTTGGAACCTAGTCGGATAAAATGAGCTCGATAGAGGAAAAAGGAAAATTGTGGACAACCAATCGATTAATGATGGGTTTCATCCATCTTGATTTTGAATACCTCGGCGGGTCTAATATCGGGTTGGAATCTAATATTGCGCCCTTTGCGATGACGCACTGGGCGTCTCTTCCCCTCGGCGTGGGGGCATTAGCTTAACTAATCGTAGCATAGGGTTGAGCTCAGCTATACACTCAAGAAGCGAATGCCCTAGAAACTCCAAAAAAAATAACGCATATATTTAGAAATGTTCTACCGCCACAACATTAGTCTCCAATTCTCGGCTTTTCTTCCCGAAGAATTCCATCCTGGTCGTTTGCGGCCTGGTCCTGGTTCGCGTTTGAGGGTAGTTGTCCAGCATGGCGGTATCCGCGATTACCATTGGGTATTTAGAATTTGTATACGGTCGGAACTTCAAGTCATTGATTGAATAATGGCCTGCATTTTTGGTGGTTCTGAGGTAAATCATGCGGAAAGTTTGAATTCGTTGGGATTGCGCACGGGTGGCGGGTATATTGACTGCTTCTCCGATGTAGGACGTGTTATACCCCTCTTCGAAACTATGTGCGGCAGCTTGTGAGACTTGTAGACTCCGGAATCGGCGCTGGCGAATAACTACATCGCGTGGTGATTTCAATTCAAGGTGCTACGGCAATTGCAAGTTCACCGGGCCCTCGTCTATGATCCGAGGCTTTCCCTCAGTCACGAGTCACTCATCCTAAGACGAGAGATGCGCATTCCGAGGGGTGGCATCGCTAGAAACAATTCTCTAATTGCAATTTCTACTTCATACTTATTCCCTTTGACCTGACCACACGCTCTACAAAAACACGATATTGACCCCACCTTGCATACAAACCCCTCAAGATAAAGCCGTAGCCCAAGCTTTGCATACGTCCCAGCCACCTTGACTTGAAAAGATATGTCGAAGTAATGAGGCACGTAAGTAGCTTGGTCTGTTAGCACATCAGGTTATTGTAGAGCAGACTGGCCATCGAAACATCGGTCGGTCGGAGGAACTAAGCATCTTTGGCATGAAGGGACGAGCTTAGTGCGATGGCTAACTGGAGGAGAAGGGAGCGAGATACTCTTTTTCAAGTCTCATTCTGTCAAATTTTTATACAGGTACGGATTGAAATTGGATACATCAAAGGTGTTGTGATTTCGTGATGTACGTATCAAACCCTCTTTCCCCCGGATCGACACACTGTTGCGGGGAACCTTTCTTCAAAGGCAGAGATGGCAAAATGCTGGATATTCATATCTTCTTGTGCAGAAGCTTGGAGGAATCATCAAATAGAGCAAGCCGTTCTCCCAAGCTACTCGAGATGCAATTTTCCCGCCGACCAGTTTGAACATGACGAGGCCAATTATCCAAACACAATACTCTCTTCTATTCCAGTGACCTTTTAGATGCGATTGTTTCCTGACAAGCAAAATTTCCCTTGATGTAAATTAGGCAAAACCAATACTTGTTTGGTCTCCATGAGTCTCTTCCATATCGCCGGACGAATAGCATCGTCTGCGGCTCTTTTGGTGGAAGCTATTTTGCCGGCGCGGGGTTTCTTAGTGGATGGCTAAATGAGACACGGGACGAAGAAGAGGCGTCTACCAAGGAATCCTGATTCTTCAAGATGAATAAAGTTGCATGAAAATAATTCTCGGCTTGAGACTGAGTTTATGTTATCTAGCAGACACTACTATGTGATTATCAGGATGTCGTGTGCTCTTCCTTATACTATCTTCTTTCTGGCAGTCGCGGCTAGGGCAGCCGTGAGTGCGAGGACGTTGACTTCCGATATATCAATTCTTATTCATAATGACTTGTTGGGTAAGAAAACACATCTTTTGTTCAGATCGAGACTAGCAACTGCTAACTATCAAGCGCATAGAAAGTTCTAGTCCCCATGCTGGGTCTGGTGTGCTCCTACTGGACGCGATGCCATTACAGAACGCTCTGAACAACTGCAAGAGCCTTGGCGAGTCACTGTGGGACTCAAGTTCAGGATTTGGAAATATTCAAAATGATCTAGACTACCTTGTCTTGCAAGAGAAAACTACCCTCAATCAGAGGTATTGGATTGCCCCGGTCCAGGGTACCCCGTCCAGCATAGACGCGAGCGGCCACGTGAAGAAGGCTTCTGCAAATGAGCACTTGCCAGTGCTATGTACACAGACCGCGCCTTACTCGACGCCTGATATCAAGGATACCAATGCTACTTGGCAGGTCACTGTCGAGTCTAACAAGCAATACCTTACTGGGTGAGGCTCTCATATCACATTTTGTACTTACCGACTAACCGATATCAGCTTCCGAGATCGGTTCAGCTTTCGCTTCCTTGGTATTCGATATGCCGAGCAGCCAAAGCGATGGGCTTACTCCAAGTCATACGAAGGGAACGGTGATCATGTTTCTGCTCTCGACTATGGTTCCCAGTGTTTACAAGGTTCGGATGGTTCAGAAGATTGTTTCTTCCTCAATGTCTGGACCCCGTATCTCCCCAAACCAAAAGCCAACGCGGGCGATAAACTGAAACCGGTGATGTTCTGGATTCATGGTGGTGCCTTCACCGGTGGTACGGGCAGTGATGCTACATTCGACGGAGGAAATCTTGCTTCTCGAGGCGACGTGGTTGTAGTCACTACTAATTACCGCCTGGGCACACTGGGTTTCCTCGCTTTGGATGATGGTACAACCAAGGGAAATTACGGATTGGCAGATCAGATCACCGCGCTTGACTGGGTTCGTCGCAATATTCAGGACTTTGGTGGTGATCCCGACCAAATTACCATTTTCGGACAATCGGCAGGCGCAGGATCAGTCCGAGCATTGCTGGCATCGCCCAAAGCTAAAGGGAAATTCGCAGCTGCGATCATGCAGAGCAATCTGGGAGGTCTGGCATATGGAACGACGTACTCGAAGTACTACACTATTAAGGAGGAGATGAGCGTTGTCGGAGATGCTATTGTGAGGGAAGCGAATTGCACGCACGCTACTTCACAGCTCGAGTGTTTACGGGCTCTTCCAGCAACGACTATTTCCACGCTCAGTGATTCAGCACGCTACCTCGTGGTGGATGGAGAATATCTGCAAAGCTCTGAACTTGATCTAAAAGACCCACGGTCTACTGCGAGGGTACCTTTGATGCTAGGCACAACGAGAGATGACGGGGCTGCCATGATTGGCTATCCCACAGCAGGACAGACCATCCAGCAGTTCCTGAACGTATCTGGCCTGCCGTCAACAGTAGCCCCGAGCCAAGTATTCCCGGTACCTTCTGGCTCTAACCTGACACTGAACGTTTTCAACACGACGGCACGACTGGCCACCGACGGAATGTTCCGCTGCGTCGACCAAGCGACTGCCTATGCGGGATACAACAACAAGATATTCCCCGAAATCTTCTTCTACGAGTTCAACCGTACCTACCAGATGCCTGGATGGTCACCTAACCCTCCTCTCTGCCAAGCACCCGTGACAGAAGACTATCCCCACGGCGATCCAAGCCAGGAATACTTCAAATGCCACTCCGGAGAACTCTACTACGTATTTGGCAATCTTCTACGCCAAAGCCTTCCATTCCGAGATGAATTTGATCTGCCTTTCCAGCAGTTTGTGCTAGACTCTTGGGCTAGTTTCGCGCGAACGTTCAATCCGACGCCGGATGTCAAGTACACAAAAGCAAGAGGATATGTGAATACAACTCGACAGGTTGAAGTGGCTGGCTCGTGGACTCCTTTCAAGCACGGTAGTTATCAGCTCCGGCGCTTGCAGTGGCCGACTTCTATGGTGGATTTGGACGAGATTGAGCAGTGTCGCGCTTTGGATTTGGCTTTGGATTATTACGATTGACTTCCTGGTGTGAGGTTCGCTCCGTTCGCTTCACTTGACTCGGTATCTTGGTTCTCATTCATGTGAGCATGCAACATCAGGCTCTACAAGCTACACGGTTCAAGTCCGATTGAGATCTAGTAATTGTGGACCATAATGATGAATATCACCTCTCTCTAGAAATATCCACTTCATGTTGCTTATTTCACGGCCCAGTCAAAAGTACAGTTTTTAAGCAGCAATACCTTGCACTGACCTTCCCTTGTTAGGCTTACTACTTCAGCTCTGTCTGTTCCAGTTTTGTCCATCGTAGAATCCAGGTATTGAGGCCTTCAGTCGACGTATCCTCTGAGGTGGAGGGCTGATCTTCCATGGCTGCCGACCCTTGATCCTGGGTTTCAGTTCTAGCATTTGTAGCAGGCAATGAAGCTGTAGAGGATGATTCATCCGTAGAAGTGCTTGAATCCAGATGTATCCTTTTTGGCTGCCCAGCTTCTGGCATACACTCAGAATTTGACTGCGGCTCCAAGCTGTCCTCGGCGGATGAAAACGCAATTGCTTTCCGTTTCTTGCTCGAAACGCCAACATTCCGAGTCATGAGCTGATTGGGTTGAGAATGAGGCGGATTTAGCTGCATCTGTGGCACTGATTGTGCCTGCATCATAGGCCTGTTCTGCATCTGCTGCTGCTGCATTTGTTGCTGTTGCATTTGCTGGCCATATCTCGGCATCTGTGGCATAGGTGGTGACTGCGTCACCGGCCTGTTCAGCACATTCTGCATCAACCTCTGGAATTGCTGGTGTTGCAACTGCATTGCTCGCGCTTGTCGCACCTCCAACGGTGGCGCCCCTCTCTGCTGGCAATGCAGCGGGTCAGTTTGGTCAGCAGATTGTTCGACTGGCTGAGGATGATGGAATTCCCTCGATATCAGCATCGCACGTTCCCGTATCTGCTGAGCACTCAACTCTGATGCATTAACTTGCGATGGCGGCGGTTTCATCGTATTTGGCCCATTGAAGTTGCTGGAGCTTTGTAGATTAGGAAGTACTTGGAACGATTCCTGCACCGAATTCAAGGAATTGTAAGCCTGACTGGATGTATCGAGTTGGACTGCCAGTGGGTTAGATGTAAGCACTCTGTAAACAGGTATAATATTGCGGATTCTAGCGTCCTTATGAAACAACACGCCGTACATCAACTTACTGCTATCGTTCAGATGGGTACGAAAGAGGCTGATAGCTCTCTGCCCATGGACACGCTGAAGCGCCGATGCCTCCGCTTTGTGCACATTGATAAAGCCACTTCTGATTCTAAAATACCGATCGCGGTCCAGAAGCTGTTGCACAGTGTTGATGTCGTGCAGAACGGACTTGACCATTTGGCAGTAGTGGTAGAGCTCATCCTTGATTTCATCTGGCTGGCCATTGCCATCCAAGTTTTCTGTCTTTGGAGATTTCTCGGTAATGCTGGTAAATTGGAGAGTTCTCGTAAGCCTCTCGTAATTCCGCTCACTCTCTATCTTTTCACTGGTGAGAATAAGGAGAAGATTGCGCTGTTCTTGAAGCTCATATGCCTCTCGTCGACTATCTCACGATTAGTCTTGTCCGGGGCAAAAAAGGTCTGGAAGTAGGTGGTACCTCCGAATTTGCCCAGCGTATATAACCACGTTCAGCATCAGTAGCATGGTTGACTTCAATCTCTCCAAGTTCCCAGCCACAGTGTCGAGATGGGACTCGTTCAACAGAAATTTGAATTTACGAGCCACTTTGTCAATGCGAGATTGCGAGACGGGATCTGGATAGTGTTGCTCGATTGCACTTTCAAGGTCCTGAAAGACCTCCTCGCATTCTCTCAGCACATCTTGGGCTGTTTCAAAGGCGTCGGGGGAATACAGGCAAGCCAAGTCATCCTGCCCCAAGCTCTCGCCCAGCTGACGCAACACATTGCAGGTGAGTGCGACATCTTTGGACAAGTGCCGCAGTGCTTTGTTGGCATTCTTGAATTTATGACAGAATGTGCACAATTTGACGGACAGACGGCCACCCAGCTCGGCTATCTGCACGATGCTGGCGACGACCCCGAGGATTTCAACCCCAGACATTTTGATTGTGCATCAGATGTCTGATAATGAATCCTTTGATCCAGGCCCTAGAGAATTGGAGATGCTCTCAGGGGGTCGCGGGGGTTTGTTTGGAGGCTGGGCCACTCTCGTACTTTGGCCCCCACTTTTGGCATCGAGATTCGACACAACCCACGGCCCGCGATCATGAACACACGACACACGACATACGCTCATCGACTCCATATATGACCATGGAAAGTGCAGAAGTGATCGAAAGAATGTGAACCGCATGTTTATTTTGTCAGTAAATGCCTGGAACTGAGGGGAGGGGGGGAAGGTAATTTCTTGACGCATAGGTAACAAGACGAGCTATGCTAAGTGGTTTCAATTCACTCAATGCGAGTTGGTTATAGTCGAGCTCGGGTACCCTCAGAATCTATTCTACACATGAAGCAAAGATCTATATTCTCCATCACAGGTGCATGGCTCAGATGCTAGACGAATCGATGAACGATAACATGTCTCACGTGACTACCACATCCGATCTTATCGCATCCGAACGGATTTTCTCCGAACCGCGAATGGGCTCTTCGGATCAGTATTGCGGGGGTCTTTTGGCAGGGTTGGGCCTGTCAAGCCACTTGCATTTTTCGCAGTATGTCAGTCCCATATCCGCTATAGAAGTAAACCACGAGCCGACGGCCCAGACGCGGCAAAAGTCTCCCGACGGAGAAAATCCCGGCCTTTTTGACCCGACTCTAGTGCCTGTACGACTATATAGACTTTTGGTCTTCCTGATCGCGCGGCTTAATATTTTGGCTCTTTGGTTTTCTCGGCTTCTTAACGATCGCCAACTAAATATCCCCCTATAGAACCTTCCTGCAACTCTATAGATCGCCAACTGCTCGGCTGCGTCTAGGCGACTCTCCCACTGTGCTAGACAACATACTCGTATCAGTCAACGACACACTGGAAAGGCCTTTCAAAGCGCATACGACAAGAATAACACTCAAGATGGCGAGCAACGATCGCACCAACGGTGTGCCATATTCGCCTCTTGTCGAGACTAGCCGAATCTTCTCCAACCTATGTGCACAGTCCGAGCGCTTGAACCTACCACCACAGGTGCAGACGAACAAAGACCGGGTTTCTTTCTCTTCAATCCACAATGAAATCTACTTCCCGATCCCCTTCAAGGAGACCGAGACGTTGGCTGCTTTGAAGGGTATTGAGGGCTCCGTGGCTGCCGCAGTTGCGGATCTGCGGTTCGGAGCGCAGCCGCGTGACGTTCGAGTGAGCCTTGAGGGTGCAACGGCATTCGGATGCCAGGCATACATGGCGAAAATCGATGGATTGTCCAAGTTGGATCCTAATGTCAAGTCTAAGTTGAAGGGTATGTTTTATGAACAAGCTATCGCGCAATTTGGGAGGCGAAAACAATGGCACTACTAACGCACTTTCAAGATACTGATCTTTTGGCGGCTCAGTCGAACGGCTACCGTCGCATGTCGGCTAATCTGTACAAGACCAAGATTCCCGGTGAATATTACCATATTCACGGTTCTTTGGAAGCGACAACGACCCTCAACATGATTGGTCTCGAGGGTCATCGTCCAGACTTGACCGATTATGAGGAAATTATCAAGGTCATCGAGGAAAAGGTGCAGAAGTATACCGTTCCCGAGCTGGAGAAAATGAACAAGGAGAACCGACAGGCCGGTGTTCCGGCACTCAAGTATGAAGACTTTATCAAGACTCCCCACGTACGCATCTTCACTTCACTCCCAGCAACGATATATACGGCTGACACTATGCATAGGGAAAATTGAATGTCCAGGAACCTGCCTGGAAGTTAGACAAGCTTCCAGGCGATCTTCCTCCAACCCCGTTCCCATCTAGCCAACCCGGAAGCAAGAGGATCCTCGAGGGTGTCAAAGTCCTCGAAATGTGTCGCATTATTGCAGGCCCAACGGTGACGCGCATTCTGGCCGAGTATGGCGCCGACGTGCTGAAAATCACCAGCCCCAATCTGTCCGATGTGCCGTTCTTCCAAGTGGACGGCAATATGGGCAAACATGCCGCCGACCTTGATTTGAAGACCGAGGCTGGCCGGCAGGAATTCGAAAAGCTCGTAGCCGATGCTGATGTCATTGTCGACGGATACCGACCTGGTGCCCTCGAGAAGCTGGGATACGGTCCCCAGGCTATGGCTGCACTAGCTGAGAAGCGCGGAAAGGGTATCGTCTACGTGAACGAGAACTGCTTCGGTTACGAAGGCGAATGGGCCGGACGAGCGGGCTGGCAGCAGATTGCCGACTGTGTAAGTTGATTTCTTCGAGTCCGATCAAGTGATTCATTGACTAATATGAGCGCAATAGGTCACCGGTGTCGCCTGGGCCCAAGGCCAATTCATGGGCCTCGACAACCCCGTTGTCCCTCCCTTCCCCATCTCTGACTACGGCACGGGCTGTATGGGCGCCATCGCCGCTCTCTCTGGTCTCTACCACCGCGCCAAGACCGGCGGTTCCTACCACGGCAAGGCCTCCCTGATGCACTATGACCTCCTGCTCTTCGCAGTTGGCCAGTACCCCAGCGAGGTACAGGAGAAGTTGCGCGCTGCTCAGCCAGCCGATTTCTTCAAGCTACGCCACTGTGACAGTGTAGATCGCATCTCGTCTACTGTGCTCAGGGGCATGCAGACCCGGTTCCCGCACTTGTATATACCCTCAGGGACTAGCTCGAAGGAGGGCCAGCCGGCGCTGACTGAGGGCTGGTTCTCCAAGGCATACAACACGGACATTGAAGTTGTGCGTCCCGTTGCCGTTGTTGGGGGTGTTGATAATCAGTTCGTGAGGGCGAGTCGCCCGAATGGATCGGATCGGGCCAGTTGGGAGGATTTCAAGCAGGATGGCGAAGGAGACGTTAAGAAGTGTTGATCCATTGGACGTGGATGAGCTCTTTTCTACTTATCAGGTTCCGGAATGTTGGTCTATTGCATTGTACATAAATGGCATCCTTGGGGAAATCCAAGGGAATGTATTGCATCGCTAAATGAAGCCGTGATAAAGCATCGTATGCCATACAAGATACTACCCTTCGGATATACGAGCCGATCCTCCTTCGGCTCTATTGACATCCCAGCCGTGATGGCGGAGATAAGGTGGGGACGCGCAGCCGTCGGAAGACAAAAAGCGTGGATGTTTGCCATTTGCCGTGCATCGCAAAGCCACGCCAATGAATGGACTTAAAATGAGAATCCGAACTAAGTAGCTCTTTAGATCAAGTAAGATTTCTTGAAAGCAGCATTGCCAACACCCAGTAAGCCATAATACCGAGGCTGATGTTGCTTAACAGTCGCCGACAAGATCGGATGCGGCACCAACCCATCGGACCGACGGTTCCCCTCATGATGAAATCGACGTTTTGATCGCAAATCCACCGTAATCCATAGATTCGACTATGCCTTGATCTTCCGTCTATTTACTTGACATCACTTACTCCCAATTCCAATCTTCATTCTTCTATTTTCATTCAAAGTACCAACACGAACCATTATGTCCTATAAGATCGCCTACGACGCTGCCCTCGCGCCGGCACGCGGGCCGGCCATCGTTGCTTTCATGGAGGACTTCTACCGGACTAGTGATACCGAGTCCTTGCACGAGAAATATGTGGCAAGCTTCACGGAAGATGCCACTTTGATTATGGGGCCGAAGGAGGCCAAGGGTGCTGCTGGTACGTGTTCCTTTTCCCTGGCTTAGTCTGGGATATTAGCAACAATACCTGCGAATATATGTTGTATTGCGCTCCTGCAAATACTACATCCGACCTTCGACAGGACCTAAAGACAGAATGCTCACTATATGACCTACAGAGATTCTTCCCCTGCGCCATGGCCTCTGGACACACGTCGCTTCGCGCAAGCACACTCCTACCCATATCTTTTTTGGGGGCGAGAACGAGATCATGCTCTACGGTGGTGTGAACTACCGACTAAAGGCTGACCCCGAGCGGGATGTCTATGTGCCCTGGGCTGGGCGGGTGGTATTTGCGCTGCAGAAGGAGGGAGAAGACGTGAAGATGCAATTCTATCAGGTTTATCTGGTGTGTATTTCATGTTTTCCGAGTTCAATGCAGGTTCTTTGCTGACCGGAATTACAGGATCCGTCTGCGCAGTCGGGTAAGAAATGAATGGGCGAGGGAGCGCATGTTTAAGCATATAGATAGATTCGAAAAGGAACGAATGATACTCAGTATACCCATGATCCAACGTGTCGAATGATCTCTTCTACTGGGAGACGTGTCTCACTAGGATAAACATCTGTCTCTAAAATTTACATCGTCCAATCCTACTCCTCTACAACCCCGAGATGAACGGTTTTAACGTGTTTGGTCAGACATGCTCTTTATTTCCAGGAGACCGCGAGAGAAAACAGGAACAAAGACGCCGTAGGGGTAGGTCGGGTCAAAGAGGGAGATCAAAAATATGTAAGGAAAAAGAAACTCGTCTCTCCCAAGCCGAGTCATTGCAAACTCGGACACGAAAAGAAAACGAGCCGGATGCCTGTGTCTCGTCCTCTCGCTCATGCTCACGGGAATTTTTCGCACTCCTCATGCAAATAAACAAAACCTTTCCGCTTTCTCTCCGCTAGCCCCGTCTGGTCATCAAGGTAAAAAGGAAAAAGGTTGGAGAACAAACGTGATAAATCGCCGGGACCTAGCTCCGAAAAAAGGTTTTTATTTTTTGTGATCATTCCGGACTAAAGCCAAAACGAGCCCCCCGAAAGCCAAATTATAGCCTTTTGAAGACACGTTTACTCCTCGTCAGACTCCTCATCCTCGTCAACGGTGGTCTTGGCGATACGGTCAAGATCACGCTGGCCGGACTGGGTAATGCGGCGGCCACCCTTCTCCTCATCAACCTCGAGGACACCGATCTTCTCGAGAGCCTGGAGGGCCTTGCGGTCAACGGAGCCGGAGGCATCGACGTGGTGAGCGGGACGGGCACCACGGTTCTTGGTGGAACCGTGAACCTTGCGGAGACGGCCAACACCGACGGTCTTGCGCATGTAGATGTGGCGGGCGACGGCGGCAGCACGGACGTAGAACCTTTTTAATAGATCATGTTAATACGGTGGTTTTTTGAAAAACTGTTTGGTTTGGTGTATTCGAGAGTCGTACCAGTCAGCATCCTGGGGGGGGAGCTCGTTGGAGGCAGAGGTCTTGACAGTGTCGACCCAGCCGGGGATGGGGAGCTTGCCCTGACGCTTCAGGAAAGCCGAGTAGGCGGCAATGAACTTCTGAGCCTATATGAAAGAGAAAGAGCAGAATTGTTAGCTTCGTAGCTCGGAGACATAACCTGCAGGTCGCGCATGGTCGGGTCCAATGTGTAAAGTTGCAGATGTGTCGGGTTCGTCTCTCAAAGGCACTTCCATCTCTTGTCGCAATGCAGAATTCTCAGTATTCCGTTGGTGCTGTGTCGTTTACACCTTGTGGTTCGACCAGGAAATCTTGATCAACAGAACCTGGAGGCTCCGTAATATCAAGTCCACGAAGGATCACAACTGTCGGTACTGCGCTCTCGCGACCAGCAGAATCTGCGATTGGCGAAACCGGCGATTTCGAATCACTCAGTGTGTGCCAGCGTTTTCCGTGTACCCGATGCCTTTTGTCGTTTTGCCTTTCTCCAAGACGAACCCGTCCATCATCCACAACCATGCATACCAGCCGACAACCAGGCGAACTGGAGCCATCAGATTTTCAAGGACACTTACGTCCACATCGCGAACGGAAACACCACCCATTTTTGCGGTCTCGAGGGGTCCGAAGAGGGCGTAGGGGAAAGAGTCGTTTGGCGGAAGTCGAGGTGGGCAGGGTCGAAGTCCAAAAATTCAAGAGACACACAAACTCGCCCCGTTGGGTCTGCGTCGTGGTCACGTCTGTGTGCCGTGGGTTCGCTTAGCCTGTTTGGGTTAGCCGTACCCTAAGCACGATCATGTGATGTGAGGAGTGGTGGCCGTAACTTTGAGGCAACAAAGTCCTTTTGAGGTCTCCACTTGCCGCCTCAGGCGCCAAGGCACCGAGGCTTGTATGTACCCAATATTGTGATGTATCATTCACTGCTGCGTATCCTAGGCTCATGGATCTACAGTTGACAAATTAAAACTATGAAAGCTTCTCATGTGCAAATCGAACCGAGAAGCCAAAACCGGGGTCGGCTCACTTTAAGATCAATACACCAACTTGATTGCCTATTTCATTCGGACTCAACCAAGATGTGATTGAAAAGCTTGATTGTCAACCGCAAAGACGCTGCGTAATAGTCATATAGAAATCTTGAAAAAAAAGGGGTTCTCTACCGTACCAACGAATTCTGGTTCTCAAACAATGATACTATAAGCAAGACCTTCCCCAAACAAGTACCAGTCCACGGACTGCTTTCTGGTTGGCCCCCCAAAGAGATTCACAACCATACCTGTGTCGCAAGAATAGGATCCAATATGACAGATTTTGGATCGATTTGCAGACAAAATCCGTCAATTTGACCGAAATTCGCATCTTCGTGGATACACTCGGTTTAGCAGATATGGAAAGCATGCCTGAGGACATGGTTAGAAATACCGATGAAGAGAAGCAGCGCTACGTCCAATTCGCATGGCTTGAGGGAATGGATTCCATAATCGAGGCAAAGGAAAGACTAGAAGTCTGTGAACTTAATTTCGACAAGGGGTTAGTTATATCGGTACTTGAAAGAAAGAATCGAGCCGTGGTTAAAACAAAATGAGGAAGAGAGGAGACGGAGAGAAGGATGGACAGGATCTGGTATAAGGCCTATAACTTAGGTGTAGGAACACTACCACCACCGGCCAAGGAGTCCCGGCTAGCAGGCTTATCTTGAGAGGAAGCTTGAGAATCGGGAATCGAGGATTTAAGATCGGGCCGATGAATGTTGGAGAAAAAAGATCCGCCAGCTGAGAAAGTAAAGATTGTTTGTGAAAGCCCGAGAGGTTTCGCAGAACGTTCGAGGCCCGTAATGATATTATGCTTCCATGATCTGTATCCTAATGACACACATCTATCGCTGATTTGAATGTAATCGTTTCTCGTAACCTGTAAAAATGCAGCAAACCCGAGTAAAGGATGAAGAACCCATCGCCAAATGCCTTGCCTTGCAAACCTAACCATCCCCTTCCGATTCTAACCCGAAAACGCCGATGAAAGCAAACAGAGGAAATTAAGATAAAACAGAATATGTTGAATTACAGGGTCGGGGCTCTCTTCAGTCCGACACAGTATCGAACAAAGAGCGTATCGATGAAATGCCCGTGCCGAATTCCAGGTGGTCGGCACCGGTTGAACTCATCAATGGCTTCTTGGACGCCAAAGCCCAGACGCTCGATGAGATAGCACACGATTAGGAAACCAGTGCGATTGTATCCATAATGGCAGTGGACGCCGACCAGTGGTCGGGGCAAAGTCTTGTCCTCGCGCTTCTCCATCTGATCGTCGATCTCGCGTTGAAGCCGATCAACCAGGGCAATGAAGTCGCGAGTCTCATCCGGGGTGGGGGGAATCTTGGACACTGTTGGGTGCTTGTTGTAGTGGATTCCGCCCTTCTCCATAGTCACCGGGTTGTAGACTGGGCTTTCGTGGCTAATATCAATGACGGCGTAAATGCGGCCTTGGTATTTTTGGGAGAAGAGCACTGGGTTGTGCTCTTCGTCAACTTCACGGAGCATCTTCAACGCAGCAAAGGTATTCGCGATTGGCTGAGAGACAGGCGCAACCTTCTGCCACTTGGCGAGGTTCTTCACGTCCCATTTGCCCGAGGTGTTCATGTATTGGAGTTGCCACCCCAGGCCCAGGCGCTGGTCAATATGCTGGGATAAGAAGTCCTGAATAATTCCCGAAAGTGTGCGATATGTTGCTCGGTCGTAGAGCAGCGCATGAGAAGCCGGCGCCGGAAGAATGGCTGACTTGACGAGTCGCTTGCGGCCAGTACGATTGTGATTTGCTTGTCCGATCAGCTTCTCGCTTTCGGCAGGCTGGAGACCAAACTTTTCCTCGTGAGCAAGACCGGTGGAGGAAGCTGAATCCTGGTCATGAACTCGCGAGGCATCGGGGATGATGCTGCTTCCGCTGGTATCAATGGCGCTATGGGCGGAAGCATCGCCAAAGAACTGGAGAAGTTTCTGGATCTCTACCGGCTTGGTCACCGAATCTGCCTCGCCTGCAATCAACAGCATAGGCATGTGAATAGCAGCCCAGACCTTCTCTCCAGGGATACCTCCGACGGGTTCATCCTGCGTGTAATCGGGAAGCGTGCCCCACGCCATGCGACGCCAGACCGGGGTCCGACTCTGCTTGTTGAATCGGACTTGAAGACCTCGTGTCTCTTCATCCGCATCGCTGCCGACCATTCGCATCACACTTGAGCTTTTGATACCACCACGGCGGTCCCAAAGGCGCCACAAGTCAAAGATCGGGTCGGGAATCGAGAGCAAGCGTCGGTAGGTTGCAACTTCATCTGCCGATGGAGGTGTGGCGCGGGGGCAGATCGCGATCAGGCCGAGGATATGCTCCTTCAAATCCTTTCCAATGGGAGAGGAGGACGAAGCGAGCAGAGCAGATAGGGAACATCCCAAACTATGGCCCACAAGGATCACACCCTGGCCGCCATCTCGATCACGATGTCTTTCGATTGCGACAGCAATCAACTCGGCCAGTGCCTCCACGGTGTATGCGTTCCAATCGGTGGGCGCGAATTTGGACAGACCGCAACCCGGCAGATCAATGCCGAAGCACGATCCAACATTGGAAAGACTTGTGAGAAGGTGGTGGAATTGAGCCAGCGACCCACCGAGACCGTGGATAAACACGAGCAGAGGAACGGGGGAAGGCTTATCGGGAAGGCGATTGATGTTTGGGTGGGGGGAATAAAAAGTCCGAACAGCAGGGTACGTCGCGACGGAGGTGGTGTAACGGTTGTAGGTGGTGAATTTCCTCAAGATACCTGGATCTGTCTTGAATGCTATTGAAGTGTCAGCGATACCGTCGTTAGCAATGATGAAAGGCGGAAAAACGGATATATCAATGTCGCTTACCATCGGAAGTCTGCTGCTGAGGCTGTGACGACCACTCGGTTGCCTGGCGATGAGGTTCAGTACCGTGACGCAACGAGCCGTTGCTATCATAGTCATCATCCTCGTAATCATCGTCCGAGGATGTAAGAGTCTTGGTGGAAGACTTGGTCGAGCCCTTGCGCAAACCCAGGCGCGATCGGGAAGAAGATTTTCTCTTCTCTGGCGACCGCAGGCGCCAGATGAGCGATGAGAACAAGCCACAGCCGACCATGGTGATCATACAGGTTGTCAAGAATGCTACTTGCCCCCAATTCACGGAGTCATTGCGGTAGAGGGACCGAATGTAAGCAGCGAGGGAAGACCAAGATGCCTGTTGGGCAGCGATGCGCGCAGAGTGGTACAGGTGCCAAACGGCAGCGATGCCTGATCGATTAGAGGATTGTGAAGACAGTGACTCGTGAAGAGCAGAGATCGGACTACTGGCCCCATCGTTCCCCATGGCTGAGGCTGAGGCGGCTTAAGTAGCTCTTCGGTCTTGCACTTGTGAACAAGCGCAAGATAGAGTCCCCAGGGTTCTGGACCCCGGGAAAGCTAGAGAAATGAGACCACGCGAGGCCACCAGCGGTGCTGCTTGGATACGGTGGAGTGGTCGCAGCCAGATGGACAAAAGCAACGACACCAATGGGAGGCGCTGGATCGACAACGTTGGGGAGGTGGAAAGAGTAAGGCGTGAGAAGCGGAGGGTGAGAATGAGGCAGAGAAAAAGCATTAGACTCGGCCAGTCACAATCCCCGGCGGCGCAGCGTGGGGGAAACAACGTGACTCACCGGCTCCACTTGGTGGTTGCACATGACGGAATCGACCGCCTCCGCTGGCTTTGAACTATCTTCAAGTGGCTTCTACGGCTTCTAGAAGTCGTGTTCGACAAACAAAGTGGAGATTTCCCCCTTACAACAAACAGGAAATTATGTTCATAATTTTGGTATCTTCGATATTGCTGTTCCCAGAATCCGGGAATGTTTATCATTTGAAACGATAGGGGACACGTCCCCTATACACAACTTCTTTACCCCTAACCCCTAACATACTATCCACAGTCCCTTTTACTTGCGACATTCACTCCAATTATCTAGAAGAGATCTGTCATGGCTCCATGTGATGCATCACCTACCAATCGTGCATACTTGGCCAGCACACCGCGAGTGATCTGTGGCTCCGGTGGCGTCCATTGGCGGCGGCGCTCTTGAAGCTCCTCATCCGATACATCCATGGACAACTCGTTAGTTTCGGCGTTGATAGTGATGACGTCTCCATCGCGGACCAGTCCAATCGGTCCTCCCACCGCTGCCTCGGGGGTAATGTGACCAACGATGAAACCGTGGCTGGCACCGGAATAGCGGCCATCCGTGATGAGGGCAACGTTGTTCAATCCGGCACCCATCAGCGCGGCACTGGCCTTGAGCTGTTCCGGCATACCGGGCCCACCCTTAGGCCCTTCGTAGCGGACGATCAGAACCAGATTCTCCCCACGTGGGATGCGGCCTTCGTCCAGGGCGTCGTTGAGCTGTTTCTCCTTATCGAAGACGCGGGCCTTGCCCGTGAAACAGAGCCCCTCCTTGCCTGTAATCTTGGCTACGGCACCGCCGGGGGCGAGGTTACCGCGCAGGATCTGGATGTGACCTGTAGCCTTGATAGGGTTGTCTAATGGGCGAATCAGGGTCTGGTCTTGGGGAAGCGAGGGGAATGATGCCACATTTTCCGCCAGCGTCTTGCCAGTGACGGTGGGGATGTCACCGTCCAGTAGGCCTCCGGCGATCAATAGTTTCTGGACCGACGGAACACCTCCGATCTCATAAAGATCGGCCATATAGTATTTGCCACTAGGGGAGAGGTTGGCAATGAAGGGAATCTTGTTGCTAACCCGCTGGAAATCGTCCAATGTCAGGTCGACACCGGCAGTGCGTGCCATAGCGAGGAAGTGGAGCACACCGTTGGTGGAACCTCCCAGTGCCATCGTCATCACGAGTGCGTTCTCAAAGGACCGCTTGGTCAAAAGGTCGCGGGGGCGGATATTCTTTTCCAGACAGATTTTAATGGCATCTGCTACACGGACGCACTCGCGCATCTTCGAGGGCGAAGAGGCAGGAGTCGACGACGATCCCGGCAGGGACAGACCCATGGACTCGATCGCAGTGGCCATTGTGTTGGCCGTGAACATGCCACCGCAGGCACCGGCACTAGGGCAGGCATGCTGCTCGAGGTCATCCATAATTTCATCCTTGGTCTTGCTAGTATCACCACCATCATCGGGTTGGCGAAGGGTATCGTAGGCATAGGCACCGGCTGCCTCGAAACATGTGGAGATGTTGATAGGCTTGCGGAGATGCTCTGAGTATCCGATATTAATTGTACCGCCGTAGATCATGATCGACGGGCGGTTATGACGGGCCATGCCCATCACCACACCGGGCATGTTCTTGTCACAGCCGGGGATGGCAATACAGGCATCGTGATATTGAGCACAGGTTACGGTCTCAACACTATCGGCAATGATCTCACGCGTCTGCAGAGAGAATCGCATGCCTTGATTTCAGAATTAGCTTGCCCATTGACTCGGAAGGTATAGTTCCCGCCTTACATACCGTCGCTGCCCATCGTGATGGCGTCCGAAACACCAATGGTATTATACTGCCAGCCAATCATTCCCTTCTCAACCACTGCTTTTTTGGCCGTCCTGCCCAGGTCCATCAAGTGCATGTTGCAAGGGTTGCCCTCCCACCAGACAGAGGCAATGCCCACGTGTGGGCTCTTGGCCATGGCCTCCTTGTCAGGAACACCGGCAGCGAAGAGCATTGCCTAGTGCAGTCAGCATTGAACATCGCAATTATAGATCTTGCATTCCAACGTACTCGCGCAGCCGGGAATGCATGGCCGCGGGTGATGGTTGATGAGTGCCGATTGAGTGCGGGGGTACCGTCCGGGTGTTTGGCGTCGGAGGGCAGACTGGGAAAGTTGATGTAGCGGGGCTCGGAGAGCTTGCTGGGCTCTGAGGACTGGATGAAATCCATGATGGCCGAAAAGAATTGATAGAGCAGAAAACTAGATCAATGTGAAGGTATCCCAAGGAGCTTAGAAAAATATCATCCCACCTCGAAAAGAGAAGCTCGCAATGGAGTCCGATCTGGCCGACCCCAGTGGACCCCGCACTGCTCCTGCGGGCAGCCAGTCAGTGCGGTCGTATTTGCCAGCCATCGGAGTTGCGCCTATTGTCCGGCTCGGCCTCGGCAAGTCGTCCGTAGTGGATATCAAGTCACTAAGAATGATTCCATGCTATCTCGCAGGACCAAATGATTACCAGTCTTGGTCTCGTCTAGGCTGTATATACTGGGACTGGGAGAAGTAATTAGCACTGGACATCGGCAAACTATTGCGGAGAACCTTATTAATACGAAGTACCCCGAGACCTTGGAGAGTGAGACCATACACAAGAGTCACAGCCAGCTATAGATCACCTACAGAATACGTTCACCAAGACCAAACCCTCTTAAAAGCCTATCAACAATGTACCTACAGTACAAGAGTCATGCCCCGCATTCCAACTAGCCTCTCGTAAAATTCCCTTTCCCAGCGACCGGCTAACTCGATTAGGTGCAACGTCATAGTCAACGCCCTAGAGTTTCTTTGTTCCCTTCTTAACACACTTCCATCCGAGACACGCCTCCCCAGCATCTCGGCGAATATATTCTCAATCTAGCTTGACTCTACCACCTCGGCTTCCTCCATAAATCGAGACCAATTTCCCCGATCGGTATCCTCGTCCCCCGCATACCCTACCCGTCACCGGCATAATGACGGATATGATCATCGCCCAAGCAATCGGGACGCTGGGCTGTAGCTTTACGGCTGGTACTGAAGATCCTCCCTTTCCTTCCCCCAGTAAACAATACTAGATCATTGGTCCCATGAAACGATGATTTGTCCATATCTAATGTGCAACCAGGCGGCGTCATGACCCTCTCCATAATGGACATACCCAACCTTGCTCTCCCCGCACGCCGTCCCCCAGGCGCGACGATTCCCTGCAACGAAATACCCGGGACACCCATCGCCCATTTAACACACCAGTGGCTCGATGTCTACGAGCGCGGCAAGAACATCTTCCCGCCGATCGCGATAGTCGCGTCTCTAGCCAACGGGTATCTCGCATGGACATTGCGCGATATGCCCGTTCCGACGAGGACCGGTCAATCTTGGACAAGCTTCTACGTCACCGCTGTAGTGGTCACGCTGAGCATGGTGCCCTGGACGCTGACGGCGATGAAGAGTACGAATGACCGGCTGCGGGCGCATGCGACGCGGGACGATGCAGCGGTCGCGGAGGGGACGGAGGGAATGGTGGTGAGTGCGGCGGAGAAGGTTCGTCGTACGAAGGAAGATGATGAGGTTCCCATGTTACTGTGGAGATGGGCAGAGTTGAATTTCTGTCGGTCTTTGTTTCCGTTGGCTGGGGCTGCTATGGGGTTTTGTGGGGTTGTGTGGATGAAGTAGATATTTTTTTTTTGGATTTGAGGATATCAAAGGTTATGTACAAGGCGTAATATCCCAGGTGGGGTGGGTATCGTAGGGGGCGGGGGGTTTCTAATGATAGGCGCCGCGGCAATTTAAGCTTGCACATCAGCTGGACTGGATAAGTGTTCAAACGATGCGTAGAAGGTAGAAGCAAGGACCGTGCAGCAGTAGCATGTCTTTATGACTTCTCGTTGTCCTCCGCAAAGCCATTGGCTTCGGTTGTAGACTCGTCCCCGGCGGGCTCCTTTTCGTCCGTAGACCACTGGCTGGAGTGCTGCAAGGCCTCATCGGCAGTGATTTCTTCCAAGGGGCTGGACTTGTCAGATTGTCCCTGTGCCTTTTCCGTGTCCTGGGAGTCGCCGCGTGAGTCATCATCTATGGCAAATCCAACAATCTTGCCGGTGCCGGGCTGCGAACGCGACTCCTCGAGGACGTCGCCGTTCCATGGCTGGCACTTCTTGACAATCTCACCACACCGGAGACAGACCCAGCCCTGCCCTTCTTCGGCTTCCAGCTTCTGTACGATACAGACGAAACAGTAGATACAGCCGCAAGGAATGGTCTCATAAGGATTTGTAATATCTGTCTGAGCAGACCCCGAAATTCCACCTGCTCCCGCCGAGGCTGCAAGGACGTCGCTTTCGGTCGTCGCAGCCGGATTCTGATCCCGATAGCAGATTGCGCACGTCCGTTCCGGGAGAAAGGCCAGCTCTCCTTGCTTCTCGGTGGTTTCCTCGTCGTCCTCACTCGACTTGAGCGCTTTGACGGTCTTGCGCCATGCGCGTGAGATCCATCGCTTCCAACGGCTGATACCGACCAGAGGAAGCAGGAAGAGGAGGAACTCGGTGAAAGCGTGCCAGACCAGCTGTCGGTTCAAGTATTCAAAGGAAACTTCACGACTGGCCTGAGCGGATGGTGGCGTGAGGCGGATGCGGAGGATTCGATCGACGAGGGTTCGATAGCGACCGTTCACTAGGAAAACAAGGAAGGAAACGAAGGCTGCGACCGAGTGTGTCGTGGAAACGAGATCTGTAATTCGCGAGAACATCCGAACTTCCTGTGATGGCTTCATTCGGTTGTTAGCAATAACGTCGACTCGGGAGAAGCAGCCCATGGCTTACCTCTTCGTAGCCACCCTCTTGTCCAACCAGCCAGCTCTCCCACTTGTCCCAGGCATATCGTCCGCCGACCGTCAGCAAGCCGTACATGGTCTTCTGCCATTTAGTAGGTGTAGAGTGAACGGGGCCCTTGCTTCGGCTGTCCGTATATCGGAGACCTTGCAAGGCCGCTCCATATGACGCATTGTGGTCCCAGATCGAGAGCTTGAATAAAATCGCTCGTAGTGCGAAGAGAATCTCATGTGACCAGTCCTCTCGCATTTGAGGCTGTTCAAAGATTAGCATCCTCATAGCGACCTCCGTTGATGGTTTCAACAAGATTCCTGCATACCCCGAAGTATTTAAGAGCATCTCCAACTTGGTTCTTCATCAGACCCAGCAACTCCTCATCTAGTAACTCAGCATCAACCTGACCAACACGAAACGCCGGGCGCGTCCCATCTCGACCCTTGATCGAGTTCCACAGCGACCATCCCGCCCCTGGTACACGATTCAATGGATATGGAAGACGTTGGACAGTGGCCGAGTTGATCGGGGACGCCCGCTGCTGGTCCGCACGACGGGCACGCGCTTCCGCCTCACGGAGGCGCCTGCGCTCAAGAACCCGCTCCTGTGCAGCGGCAAAGTTTGTTGAGCTCATCGTATTATCATGATGCGGTGGTTGAGACGACAGAAAGACAAACGATGACGGGGGAGACGCTGAGGGTCGGCCCACGGAGATGGCCTATGGGTACTCGGCTTCCCCAGACGCGGAGCCGAGGTTCGTTTCACGTGACCTAGCCAACCGGGGAAAGATCAGGGACTGAGTAAGACATGACGATCGGATGATGCGTGGTGTTGTAGAATAAGTCCGATATCTATATTCAAAAGGTAGTGTAGCTTGACTGTTGGGATCCTTAGGGAGGATCATTGATTGACCCTTTGGAAAGAATTTCATGAGTCCTCAATCCTAGATATATTTGCAGTGCCTCGCGACCTCCAGTGCTGCTTTAGTGGACGATAACCACAGCACTCCTGGGAGATGGATAGCTTTAGGCACTTATCCACGCAAATACAATCACCAGCCAATGAATTAATCATGACAATCATGATTTGAGACAGCATATGCCGAGCCAAACATAGCCGTATTCCAGGGTTATGTTCTACCTCAAACAGAGTTAGACAAGCGCAAGTATGGTTCCCAAGAAGCCGGAGCTTCCAGAAAACATTCTCTTGTCTGGCTGCATGGACGGCTAAGCGATGCAATGGACCATCTTGAGTCCTACTCCTCACATAAAACCCCATCGTTGAAGAGGGTCGGAAGATCCATTGACCTCGCCCTTACCAATAACTACAGCTCTAACAATTGTACTACAAAAATACGATAAAAGTAGCATACCTAATTGTAAAAGGGTTCTGACTCTGACCCTAGAAGTGGTCAATTACAATTTAGATCTCGGTTCTCTATCTTCTCTGTTATATGTGAAGGCTGATGTGCTCGATCGTATATTCTGACAGACCCGACTCTTGACGATGATCATAGACGTCCCAGGGTATCTATGGGCAGCTCTCCGTGTAGGGATGAATCATACGACCAAGCTCCACAACAATCCTTTTGCCTGCTTAATAGCGTATTCAATTGCACTGGGTCTCTGTCTCGCCTAGCGCATGGTCGGAGCCACTGGAAAACCCGACGGATTGCGAGCCATCACCATGATAACCCATGAGGGCTTCCGGAGCAGGTTCATGAGCCAGTCAGCTATCGGCAGAAATCTCGACGCAATATTGTTCGACGGTGATTGGATCCCATAGGGAATGTTCGCTACAGGGAACTTGGAAGCACGTAAGTGCTCGCCAAGAACTGAGCACAGTAGTTCATGGATCGGGTAACTCCGCTCGTTCTCCACTTCGGCAACATCACCCGAAAGCGACACATGCGTGTAGAAGGCTTCGAGAGAGCATGGAGATGAAGGAACCAGCAATCGGGTATTGCTTCTTCTTCGGTATGGCGCAGTATCTTTTCCGAGCCCTACAAGAGTGAAGTGGACCAGAGCAACGTGGATGAAAGCCAGTAGCGGACAACACGTGCAGGGCAAATGTAAGACATTTGAGGGCAGAGATATTCCCGGTACAGATATTCCCCGTATATCGAAGAGGTCGAGGTGGAAATGGGGCGTCCATGGCGAAGCCAAGCATCCGCCCTGGTAAGGCACGTGCCAGGCCCCACCTCGGGCTGACTAAATTAGAGCCAATCAGTGATCTCCAATCAACACCGTGGGGGCAGCTCCGATGATCATTCAACAATCCCCCTCAGATCGATCGGAACCGGTTTCCACTGGGTCTATCAACAATCCATTACTTGCCCCGTTGATTGTACGTTTAGTATAAAGGAAACGGCTCCGTGCTAACCGGGCTGGGCAGCCCTTGGCCCCTCTGACAAGCACTGGTCAAGCACTAACAAGCACTAAGCCGTACTACGCGCGTGGATACCCAGCCACTTACATGGAGATACATATGGCTGTAACCCTGTAAACCCTGCCAATGGGCCTGACTATGGTCTCACCAACCATAACTGGTCTAAACCAGGGATCCTAACTGCAAGTTCTGCTATACACAATATCGGTGCCTACATGTAAAATTGTGCGACCACGTGCGTTGGAGCTCCTTCTCATATAAATCAAGGTTCCTGCGCATCCCTTCCTTTTTCTTCTCCTTGTGGTTCTCTCTTCTCTTCTACCATCACCCTGTTGCTTTGGTCTTCCTGTGTGCCTTGGCAACGCTCGTTGACACGCGGCATTAAATTAATTGTTACAATGAAGGCCGTCATTGCTACTCTTCTGGCTGCAGCCACCCTGGCACAGGCCCAGGTTGCAACCACCTCCGAGCCTTCGGTTTCTGATATCAACAAGGCTGCCGCCACCACTCTCCCCGAGTCCCCTACCTCGGATGTCAAGGGTCTGGCCTTTAACCGGTTTTACCAGGTCTGGCTGGAGAACATTGACTATGAGGATGCGGCTGCCGATGCCAACATGCAGTGGTTGGCTACCCAGGGTATCCTGCTGTAAGTGATCAACATCCCGCCCTCCGCACCTGAAACTCCCCACTGAACTTCAATTTTTCAGGACCAATTACTATGCAGTCACCCACCCTTCGGAGCCCAACTACTGTGCGGCTGCTGGTGGTGACACTTTTGGCATGGACAATGACAACTTCAACCAAATTCCCGCCAATGTCTCTACTGTCGCTGATCTGCTCGACACCAAGAGCATTTCCTGGAGCGAGTACCAGGAGCACTCGCCTTACCCCGGCTTCCAGGGCTACAACTACTCCAACCAGAAGACCTTTGCCAATGACTATGTCCGCAAGCATAACCCTCTAGTCCTCTACGACTCTGTCGTCAAGAACGAGACCCGTGCTCGCCAGATTAAGAACTTCACCGATTTCGAGAGCGACCTTTCCGACAAGAAGCTTCCGCAGTGGGCTTTCATTACCCCAAACATGACCAACGATGCTCACGATACCAATATCACCTTTGCTGCCAAGTGGGAGCGCAGCTGGATGTCTTCGTTGCTCAAGAACGACTACTTTATGAACGACTCCCTCATCCTCCTGACCTTTGACGAGGATGATACCTATAACAAGACCAACCGTGTCTTCAGGTACATTGGCCCCGTAAATCTCAGTAGCGGACGGTGATGGCGACTATCACCTTGCTGCTTGTTGCCTATGGACAATATACTGACTTCGATATAGTATCCTCGTTGGTGGTGCTATCCCCGACAACCTGAAGGGTACCCAGGACGACACCTTCTACACCCACTACTCGTCTATTGCCTCCGTCAGCGCCAATTGGGGTCTGCCCTCTCTCGGCCGCGTAAGTACAGAAATCCCTCTTCGGAAAATGAAGCAATCTGACTAACCGAGGATCCAGTGGGACTGTGGTGCCAACATTTTCGAGATTGTCGCTAACAAGACGGGTTATGCCAACTACAATGTGAACATCACCAACTTGCGCCTGAACGAGACCTACCCCGGTCCCGAGTCCGCCGGCGAGATTTCCAAGTACTCTTCCGTCTGGCCCATTCCTCTGACCGATGGCAAGTGCTCGGCTGGTAACGGTATCTTGGACATCGTGAAGAAGACCTATGCTGGCCAGACTGCCACCTACGACTACTCCAGCCCCTACCCCTGGGACGCCAAGTCCGACTACAATACAGAGGTCACAATTACCCGCAAGAATGCGACCAACACTACCAGCACCACCTCGTCGGCTTCCAGCACTGCTTCCAAGGGCGCTGGTGCGGACATCACCATCCCCGGCTCTACCATCGTGACCGGTGCTCTGGTGGCTTTCTTTGCTTACATGCTTTAAATTGGCAGCAAATTCTACTTTGCCATTTTTAAGTGGGCTCTCCGGCTGATGACTATCTAATCGATCACAACAGTTATTTGCTAATGTGAGCCATCGAAGATAGCTTATTTTTCTTCCTCCCATGGCAGCGAGAAAACAAATTGGCCGTCATGTCTTTCGACCCGGCAATCTGCCTTAATGTCTTAGCTACGATTCACAATGCAATACATGATACTGCATGCTAACTGAGCAATAAAAACTGTTGTTGTCCAGACTTGTAGCCTTGCTCTCATATCAATTTCAACCTGTGGAGAAGCTCCTTCACTTGCACTCAACGTGACATGCTAAATCCCTTCATCATTCTAGAAGAGACCTTTAGAGCTCTCTCCCGACTTGATCAAGATAGTCTTCATCTGTAAGAAAGCATCAATGCTGTACAGCATACCCTCCCTCGTATTCCCACTCATCTTATATCCACCAAATGCCCCGTCCTTCGCATTAGTTGGGCTCGTACAATTCACGCCCACCGTACCCGCCTCCAACGCCTTGGACATGCGCACCGCACGATCCAGATCCTTCGTGAAGACAGACGCATATAGTCCAAATTCAGTATCATTTGCCTTCTGCACTGCCTCCTCTTCCGTCTTGAACTTGTTGATCGTCACGACGGGACCAAACACCTCCTCCCGCATCAGCCGCGAGTCCTCCGGCACGTTCTCGAAGATCGTCGGTTTCACAAAGAACCCATCATTCGCATCACCACCCTGCGTCAGAGACCCGTCCCTCTGTCCAATACCCAGATACTCCTGCACGCGCTTATACTGTACAACATCGACCTGGGGACCGTGCGAAGTAGCCGGGTCCAGCGGGTCACCCAGCTTGGCGGCGGCGAATTTCTCGCGGAACAGCGCCACGAACTTATCATATACATTTTCTTGTACGTAGACACGGCTGTTCGCAACACAGATTTGTCCGCTGTTGAATTGGATGCTGAACTGTGTTTGTGCAGCGGCGGCTTCGAGGTCTGCGTCCTCGAAGATCACGGCGGGCGATTTACCGCCTAGTTCCATGTGGCAGTGCTTCAGGTTGGACTTTGCCGCTGCAACTTGGATCTTTTGGCCTGTGAGTGAAGAACCCGTGAAGCTGATGCAGCGAACATCCATGTGTTCGGCCAGGGCTGCGCCGGTAGGGTTGCCGTAGCCGGCGATGATATTAACAACGCCAGGAGGGAAGCCGGCTTTCTGAATAAGCTTAGCGGCGAAAATAGACTAATCGTTGTTTACGGTTAGTCAAGGTCCTGCATATTGGAAGTTATAGGATACCTGGAGAGACGTGTATACTCACTGTCAGGGGCGCCTTCTCGCTGCTCTTCAACACAACCGTATTACCCGCGGCCAGGGCAGGCGCAATCTTCATACTAAACGACCCCAGTGGAAAGTTCCACGGAATGATCAGTCCCACGACACCATATGGTTCCTTCACCGTGACACTCATAAGCCCGGGGTTAAAGGTACTCGCTTTTCCTTGCGAGTTCCATACTGCGTCGGCGTAATACCGGAACAGCTCTGAGGACAGCCCGGCATCGATGAAATACGAGATGGGTCGACCAGTGCATAGTGTCTCTAGTCGAGCTAATTCGTCGTTTGCCTCGAGGAAAAGCTCGGATAGCTTGCGCAGGTACGGGGCACGTCCGTCGGCGCCAAGGTCGCGCCACGCGGGGAATGCTGCGTTGGCAGCGGCGACAGCGTCATTTACGTCATCGACAGAGGCTTGGTGGACTAGATGTTTTTATTAGAGGGGGAGAGGGTCTTGTGGAGATGTTAGGGGTCAATGTACCGTTTGCGATGACCTCTTTAGTGTAGGGATAGACGACCTCGAAGGTTTTCTTGTCTGAGGATTCACGGAACTATGGCGGAGTCATTGGTTTGGGTTGATCTATTGAGGAAGAAACGAGCTCTTACCTCGTTGTTGATGAACAAACGATTTTCAATAGGTTGCGATGCCTCGGCAGCCATGATGTTCAATATCCGGTCGCGAACAACTCGATTCCTGGACTAAAGCTTTTGATTCAATGCGAAGGTGGGCAAAATAACTGTGCATTTCGTGCGAGACCAGCTAGTTATAGGTACAGGTATTGTAACATGGCGCAGCTCTCCTGAACAAGGAGACCTCATGCATACGACCACACTGGCGCATCGACCCGCCTGTTACACCCGGCTCTTCATTCCAGAACGAACCGGGGGACATGCACAGGCTGAAAATATAGAGCGGACGCAGTGTGATCCTTCCAAAAGTAGTAATTGCTATAATTCAGCTTCCAGCCTCCTTCGCTTCCGATTGGAGGTATTCTGGGTGAGATTGTCAGCTTGATCGACATAAGCCTTGGCGTACTAGCCGGGACAGGGGAAGATGTGGGGATCAAGAGGCTTGAGTATAGATATTTGCGCAATGAATACTGGAACCGGAACTGTGGCGCCCGGCTATGTAAGTTCTACCAACGCTAGAAGGTTTATGTGGAGAAATTTCAATTCAAAAGAGTTGATTACACGTGAATGGTGGCCTAATCCGCAACACGCAACTATATCCACGAGCGTTGCTAGGATCTTTGCGGGCGTAGCCCGGAGTTAAACATACATTGCTACAGCTATACAGTGCTTGTGCAAGTGGGATTTCTTCGAAGATTTTGCTATCATAGGCTTTTTACTTTAATAATTCTCATGTATTAGATCATGTGTCGTTGTCGTCAAAACGCCATGTTGACCATCACATATGAAAGACTATTTGATTGCCCGCAAGTCCACGGCGTTTCATGTCCTGAGGGGTCAGAGTATCTGGATCGCCAGGACGGCTTTCAGACTGGATCTTGATTTTGTCCTCGGGGCCTCCCGGGCCCCAGAACTTCTCTGCCGTAGGTAGTCTATATAGGGACCAAAACGGTTAGCATCGAGTTGGCATGGGAAAAGCTTGATCAATAGTTAATTGCTCACCTGCCACGGTCATCTCGAGTACCGCCCTCGTCCTCCGGAATCTTGCGGTGGTCGCTCCCAGAGGCCGTTGATCCAGGACCATATTTGACGCCACCTGACTCAGAGAATCGCTGGTCGACCATCTCATCAACACCGGACTCGAGAGCTTATTCGTGGATTAGTATCTTGATTTTAAACAGTTCGAAAAAAGACGACCGATGCGTACTTGAGTCGCTCTTGCGGCCAACGCCTTGCTTTGCCTGGTAAGAGTTCAGATCATTCTGGGCCTTGTAGGCCGTCTGACGGATGTCATCGAAGTAAACCATTTTGGTTAAGATGTGATATGTAGAGGGTGCAACGAAAAAGATGTTGGACACTAGAATTTCGGTGACTTTGCAGATGTATGCAATGAAAATTGGTCATGAAAACTCAAGAGGACGTCTTGATATATGAATAAATACCCTTGGGGAGCCAAGCAATCAAGATCTTGCATTACCATCATTATACATCATAGATATGTCACCTAGTCCTACAGAAACCGGTTGGAGTAGGTAGGAGTATGCGTAAACCAGTCATCCATCTACTTCATCAGTTTCTTGAAACAAGCATGGCAGCTATGATCTGCTACTCTGGGCCCTGAACAAGATTACATTCGATAATCAATCGAGGTGACTTCATAGTTATCCAAAATCCTTTGACGTACCCTAACAGGCCCTCCCAATCCGGAAAGGCCGAGGATCCAGCCCTAGGGCTGGGTTCGGCTCGGCCAAACTATAGTCCGTGATGGATGAGGGGACCATAGCAGGAGGGCGGTGGAGCTCCAAGATCAGGTGGGATGCCTCTGTTGACTACCTAGTTAAGCAGTCACGATTCGACCGGTGATCAAATCTATGGACAAGCTTTGACACGTGATATCACCGCTCATTGCTTGTTCTCTCAAGTCGAGCTCGGATAGAGCTTCCGTCACCTTTCCGGCGACCAATCGTCTAACCTTTGACCATGGCCCCGGCGATCGAGTTGCCCGGCGAGGCAAGCCCATTGACACATCGTCATGTGGTGGATGCCTTGGTTTTGGCTGCTAGCTCTACACAACAGCAAGTTCAGACGGGAACTAAGCAGCTGGAGAACTGGGAGCGACAGGCACAATACCATGTCATGCTGCAGGTGTGTTTTGACTTCAAGCCAACACGAAATACTTTCAAGCTAACCCATGGAAATGTTAGGATGTCTTTCTCGACCGTTCCCTCCCCACCGAAGTCCGATATCTCGCTATTATTCGATTGAAGCACGGTATCGACCGATATTGGCGCAAGACAGCCATCAAGTACGTTTTGGGCCGGAGACCGCCGCGCAAACCTAGGCCATACACTAATTTTGTTTAATAGCGCGATTTCCAAGGATGAGAAAGCTCAGATCAAGACCAGAGCTCTCGAGGCCGGTATAGAAGAGCCTGCCCGTCCACTTGCTCTTCAGAATGCATTGATGGTTGCTAAGATCTTGCGCTATGAGTTTCCCCATGACTGGTAAGGTAGACTTTGACCATACTATCTATGTTCATACTGACCTCATCAAGGCCTGATGCGATTGCCTCGGTCATTTCCTTCCTTCGATCATCGATTCAACTTGGCGCCAATCCGCTGCAGCTCCCTCGAACCCTCCTCATCCTCCTACAAATTGTGAAAGAGCTGTCCACTGCCCGTATCCAGAGAACTCGAGTACACCTGCAATCAGTCTCTCCCGAGGTGTTCCAGGTGCTGGGTGGTATCTATGTGGATAAGGTCGGACAATGGACTGGTATATTGGAGCATGGTGGCGCGGACGAAACAGCTTTGCTCGAGATCATTGAGCAGAGCCTGGTATCTCTCAAGGTTCTACGGCGCCTCATCATCTCCGGATTTGAACATCCAGGCCGTGACCAAGATGTACAGAAGTTCTGGGAGTTGACCAGTACGCATTTCAGTCGGTTCCTCTCGTTTCTGGACGGGTCTATTCAATTACCGGAGTCAGTCCACACGGCCATTGAGAAGCACATTCTGCAATTGTCAAAGCTGCATGTTGAGATGGCAAAGACACACCCCGCATCCTTTGCGCTATTCGACAATAGTATCACATTGGTCAATTCATACTGGTCCTTGGTCGTCAAGTTGAGCGAGAACTACGTCAGTCTCGGCGCCGATATCGAGTCAGAAGGAAAATCTCTATTCGAAAAAGCTGGCCTTCGAGCCCTGCTCCTGATCAGAGCTTGCGCAAGAATGGCCTTCAATCCGGTCCAAACATTCAAATACCAGACTCCTCAAGATAAGGAGGAGCGCAAGCAGGCTGTCGAGCGCATTAAGACCCAGCTGTTTACCGATGACTTTGTGGTGAATGTTATGGAGCTCCTTGTTACGCAATTCTTCAGATTCCGCAATATTGATTTCCAGGAGTGGGAGGAAGATCCCGAGTCTTGGGAGAAGAAAGAGGAGCAGAGCACCGAGGCTTGGGAGTTCTCCATTCGCTCGTGCTCTGAAAAGCTCTTCCTTGATCTTGTCATTCACTTCAAGGATTTGCTTATCCCCCGATTGTTGCACGTGTTCTATTCATTTGCAAGTAAGTCTGAATTGCCCCCAAGATGTAATCTTATCGGTACTAATACAATATTCAGACACGGAGAACCGCAATGTGGTGCTGAAGGACTCCTTGTACTCGGCTATTGGTCTTGCAGCTGCCAGTCTTGAGCAACACTTGGACTTCAACAGCTTCCTTGAGAAGACCATGGTCCCTGAAGTTCAGATTCATGATCCCGAGTACAGACTGTTGAGGAGACGTATTGCAGTCGTTCTTGGCCAGTGGGTGCCAGTCAAGCCTGGTGAGCTGAACCGGGATGCAGTCTACCAGATATTCCAGCATTTGCTAAACAAGGACGACCCACTGAACGACCTGGTCGTTCGCATTACTGCCGGTCGCCAACTCCGCAACGTTCTTGACCCTTGGGAGTTCACAGCAGAAGGTTTCATGCCCTATGCACAGTCAATCCTTGGGAGCCTCATGGCTCTTGTGCAAGAAGTTGACGCAGCGGAAACGAAGATGGGGTTGCTGGAGACAGTCCGGGTGGCCGTTGTCAAGATGGAGCATCATGTAAGCTTCATTCTCGTACTCATAACCCATACTACATCTAACATGTACCAGATCGTTTCCTTCTCGGACCAAATTCTCTCTCTGCTTCCACCGTTGTGGGAGGAGTCTGGAGACGAACATCTCATGAAGCAGGCAATCCTCACCCTGCTGTCGTCATTAATTCACTCATTGAAACAAGAGTCTGCGCGATACCATGCACTTATACTTCCCTTGGTCCAAAGCTCTGTTCATCCCGAATCTGTGAGTTCTGGCCAGAGATCTACCATTTGAAAATTTGGCCAAGCCGTCTCTAACATTGCTAGGATACAATCGTCTACCTTTTGGACGAGGCATTGGAACTTTGGACGGCTATCATCATGCAGACACCCAGCCCCGCCTCGCCCGAAATCCTTTCTCTTCTCCCTTCCGTACTTCCAATTCTCGAACAAGGGACCGATGCTGCACCCCAAGGTCTCCAAATCATCGAGTCGTACATTCTGCTTGCACCTCAGGCAGTTCTAAGCGACGAGTTCCGACTTCCACTTCTTGCTTCATTGGAAACTCTTCTCCAGTTCACAACGAAACAACGCACCGGTGTCGTGGCTCGCCTAGTTGACATGATGATCCGTGGCACCGAAGCTGTCGATGGTGGAAGCGACGCTAGCTACAGCGCCATTTCGCAGTCCCTCCTCGACAGCTCATTCCTACACTCCCTCCTCGAGGGTCTTTATACCGCCCATGAAGCGAGTCAAACGACCGGTCCTAACCGCAAGACCACCTACGTCGTCGGTGTCGTTGAGACGGATTACTTCTCCGTCCTGGCACGGCTTGCGCTGGCAAACCCTACTATCTTCGCCTCGGCTGTCGCCGCCGCAACAAATTCCACCCAGGAGCAAACGCTTTCCTGGCTACTCACCGAATGGTTTTCTCACTATGATAATATCGGCAGCGTAAACCAGAAGAAACTGCATGCTCTCGCCCTGACACAACTCCTTGCTCTCCAAGGCCCCTCGTCCGACCCATCTCAACCTGCCCCGCCTCCCGCCTATATCCTCAGTCATTTACAGTCTTACCTCACCATTTGGACGGACATAATTATCGAGCTTGCGGAAGGTGGCTCGGATCAGAATGCCGATTACCTCGTCTGCTGGAACGCCCCCGCAGGCTCCGCAACTGCCCCGCCGGAGGCAGAGGAGAACGAGGACCCCGAGACTCGCCGTCGACGCGAGTGGGACAATGCTGATGCGATCCACCGCTTCCCGATCCGCGACTTTGTCCGGCACCGACTGCAGGAGCTAATTGTGGCTTGCGGTGGTGCGCAGCGGTTCCAAGAGGAGTGGTTGGCGAATGTTGATCATGAAGTAGTCTCGGCATTTGGGGCGCTAGGCCTGATTTAATTGGGGAATGATCGATGCGGAGTGTTCATTGCATGCTCGGTTTAACCCCTCCCTATTACACAGGTGCATCACATTAGACGCGTGTCTCAAATTAGACGGCAAGACTCGGATATTTTCCATCCCTGTCATTTCTAGCTCCATACCCCAATTTACATGAATTACGGATATACCTTGGCGACTGTGAATAAGCTAGCCCAGCAGCATCATTCAGAAGTAGTGGTAAGAGTGAATACCTGCTGTAGCTGCGAAAGTCACACCGTCTTCATAAATATCAAGGAGTAGATTGACTCTCGCTGAGGAGGCATCATGATCTAGACTAGCCTTTGGGACGTGGTGCCATGGTCCTCCGCCCATTCATCACACTTTTCCAATTATCTTGCTCTGTAGCCTTCTGAGAATAAACATCAAGTTTCTCTGGTACCAATCCGATTCGGCCAACGTCACGCATTCGCTCAATAAAGACAATTGCATGTGCATCTAGGGCAGCAGGCTCCTGCAAACCAAACAACCAAGGACCATCAAAAGGGTCATGAGAATTCTCTGGAAGTGCATCCCCCAGACGACCGAGGATCACTTCAGCACGATGCTCCATCTCCTTGATCGTCTCAGGTTCCATTCCTTCAACCTTGAAACTTTTCACACTGTTGCCCAAGTTAGAAACCCGAAGATAAACGAGAATGGACGCTTGGAAAGAGCTCGAAAATTCAAGACTCACACGCCACGCTTGAACTCCAAGGCCTTGCGATAGCGGTCTGAGATGTTAGGATCTTGGAGAAGATTCTCAACTGCTTCCGCAAGCCCAGCCGCTACACGCGCACCGCCAAAGTCCGTATAAGAGAGCGAGAAATAGTTCACTTCATGTAGTTTCTTAAGTAGAGAAGTGATTATCTCTCCATGACTTTCGGGTATCAGGTTTGGATATCTCTGCAATGAAAAAGGTGATTTGAAGACTATCTTCAATCGGGGTTCCCTTCCTAACATCCAGGACGGGGATCTTGATAATAATCAATTCAGCATGGCCGTCTTGTTGTGGGGGATGACTGGAGCTGACCTGGCCGTATTTACTGATATCACAGAGAAACTTTTCTGTCAAGTGTTCCCCTTTAAAAAGGTCCACCGGTACTTCGCGCACATACAAGGTCGAGGCATCATCTTTTGGAGGACCTCCGAGGGCCAGCGTATAGCGCACCATGAGAGCGTAGATGGAATAGGCATTGTGATAGAGAATAGATTGGTTGTCGTCCATGATTTGGGGGGAAAAGTATGCAAGTCAAGTGATTTGATGTGGTAGAATGTTCCCCAATGGCTTCTAATTGAGAGGTATGGATTGAGGGACTAGGATCTGTCCTAAGATTTCGGGTTGAGTTTAGTGCTTCGGACTCTCAAGAATCGATGTAGCACAGGCCCCGAAAGAGGGGTATACCGGCTAGGGACCACATTGACTTTCGGGGCCTTAGCAATGCACTTAGTGATGAGTCTAAGAGACGGTGAACCCAAAGTTCTCTGGATTGGATGATTCCTGGTAACCACATATCAGCCCCACGGTGCGTGGTAGAGTCGAAGAAAGACCACAGCCTCGTGACGAAATAAACGCCTATACTTATTTCGTAGATCTTTAGGTAGGAAAAAGAGAAAAATCGCTGTGTAGAGCTGGGTCTTTGCGATTTGCGCCGGCGAGGCTGCGATAATCCCCACATCCGAGTCTAGTCCGAGGCTGTTCCCGCCAGTCTGGAGTCAAAATTTAGGTACCGTACAATCTAACCTCTAAGTAGATCTAGTAGAACTAGTAGATTTGAAAAGCTCAACTGCTTCAGGGGAAGTTGATCTCTTGAATTCTACCCTTTTCAACGGGAATCGGACTGCAATTCAAGATACGCCCGTCTTGGTTGGACTGGTAATAATAGCCCGCGGTGGTATGATCTAAGAGACACAAAACTGGCAACTCTTTCAGCAATCAAAACCACATATTGGCTATTCAGAGAACATAATGTTCGCCCCAAGGATAATGCCGTGTCGCCTGAAAAGTTGAAGAACTATGGACTGCTTCCGGCCCCAGGGGACCTGCGGGGAATGCCGCTCTAATTCAAATAATAAGATACGTTCAGACAACGGTGGATTCACAGAAAATAAGCATTGAATTCCAGAAAGCTAAAACAACGTGTTCACCAAGTTAAAATAACAATTTATCGTCTGCAGCAGCTAGGTGACAATGGCCAGCCTGCATGAATCAGGACCCGAGCTTCTCACAGCGATGATCAAGAAAGAATAAAACTCCGAGCACCGAGTACCCATAATAGAATGTAACAAACCCAATTAAAAATCTAGAAAATCAAAAGACGGCGCCATTTCCATCCTTAACACTGGCCGGGGAACTGGCGGCTGGTGACTGGGTTGGGGAAGACACCACTGGCAAGTTGCATCTGCATGTCCCACTCGGGAGCACCCTCGGTCTTCCAGGTCCAGTAGAGCCAGCCACTGCCCTTCTCATAAGCATCAAGTTGACCCTCAATGAATTGGCGAATGTTGGTACGCTCGTCAGGAGTAAGAGTGTCGATATTGCCCACAGCCTTGCCATCGCAGCTACCGAGCGCGGTGCTTCCCTGGTAGGTCCCGTCGTAACGGGCACCGATGCCCTTTCCATTCAGATACTTGGCACAATCGGTCATAGCTCCAGTCCATTCTCCCACAATAGTCCACTTGTCAGTGTGGAGGACGTGATCGTTGACGAAGCTGCAGGTATTGCTGACGTGGGAAGCGGTGTTCATGGCCAACAGACCGTTGTCGAAGACCTCGTAGTGGTGGGTGTCCATCACAACGTAGTAAACGCCGGTTGACTCGCTCATGAAACCGTTCCAAGACTCGGTGGGTACAAACCCATCATGGAGAACAACGGCAGTTTCCTGGCTCGCCTCCCGGGAAACACCCCAGGCATCATAGTAGTACTGCTTGAGGCCGTCCTCATTCACACCACCAGGAATACTCGGCTCGTTAAGAGCTTCAATGGCAGTGACGACATCAGTGTCAGCACCATATCGTGCAGCAAGAGATTTAAGAGCGTTCTTGGTATTTTCAACCGTGTCACCCTGTTGCCAAGCGATAGCACCACGCTTTCCACTGTTGTCGAAACCGTTCTGAGATCCGGGTGCTGGTACAAGTCAGTCAACTTCAAGACATGGAATGAGAAATTGCCAATGACTCACCACCGTGCAGGTCTACCATCACCTTCAAACCAGCAGCGCGAGCCCAGCCAACTGCGGAGTCGAGATACTCCAGCTGACCGTCAACATATGGGTCACCCTCAAGATGCTGCAGAGCCCAGTAGCCGATGGGAATCCGAACGTGGTTCATGCCTGCGGCAGCAATCTCGTTGAAGTCCTCTTGAGTGATGAAAGTGTTCCAATGATCAGTAAGAACAGTACGGCACTGGTCAGCGCCAAGGGTCGCGCAAAGTGACCACTCGTCAACGGCAGCATCGCCCACATTGTCGAAGACGGAGGGTGTAATCCATGGCTCCAATACCAGCCAGCCACCGAGGTTGACACCACGAACCTTGTCGGATCCGTAGTTAAAGGCAAGACCACTGCGACAATAAATGTGAGGGTCAGTATTTACTATAGATGTATAGAACCAGAATCTATCGCCACTCACACTGCCGGAGAGGCTAGGGCAGACACCAAGGATAGCCCGAGTAGGCTCTTCTTCGAGAACAGGGACGACATTGTGATCTTCCTAGGCTAAAGTCAAATTCCAGAAGTCAGGAGGCTGGGCTTTGGAATGAGTGCAAAGGATAATTTTGTCAAATGGCTTGGAGATCGACGGCTATAAGTAAACTCGCGTCGATGCTTTGGCTCCGTGGTGGCCGCATGCAGGGGAAAGGCACCTTGGGTGCTCGAGAACGGAAATCTCCAGTGTTTCTGAGAAACAGGATATACTCACATCTTGTGATCACCTTGTTGATCTCTCTTTCAGGTTGTTTGACCAACCTATCACAGCTTCCGGGAAAGGAAGGCGACCTGGCCGAAAACAGAGGACGGTGGGTCGAGGTCCCCCTTGGGGTTTCTGGGGTCAATTAACCAGACAAAGGCTTTCTCAGTCGAGGGTTGTATCGAAGCTCCCCTCCGGATTTTATTGGACAGCTGGTGGAGGCCTCGATCGGACACTTGGTTGAATGGAGCAGAACTTCGGTCACAACAGTTCATGCGGTCCACACCGAAATGTGAGCTGGTGGCGCCGGAGCAGAATGGAGAAGGAAGTCGCGAAGACGAACAGACTCTAGGTTCACAAGACTGCCTACTTTGCTACCAAAATTCGCAAAAAGTTTAGATGAGAAAGAGCGATGCCAGGCGATCGTCCCGGGGTGGTTTCCTGGGTAGTAAGTAGTATCTAAAGTAAGAACTATAGCTCCCGACGCTCGAAACTCACAATCTCAATTGCTCTGAGTATTCTCTGTTGCCTGCAATTCCGTCATTCACTAGATCTCAATTTTCAATGTGACCAAGTTGGTCTTAACTGCGATTCCTGTACGCCATGATTACCTCGCGATGTTCGGTGCCCTGCTGAGCGACGGACTGCCGGTTGCGGCCAAACAGCATGCCACGGACTGCCATCTGCCACGTGGGAGGAGCTGTGCCTTTGTGCATGGAAATTAAGAACAATCGAGACTTGTTTCTTAAATTTCAATACTCTTTGACATAATCTACAATGATACGTGAGAATGTCTGTCGTCGGGTTGAGGGGTTGAGGGAGATGGGAAATTATTGCAGGATATCGAGACTTATACGTTCTACAGTACATTGTACTTTGAACGTAACTCCGACCGGAGTATTTCGGCCCTGGAACCTTTCAGATTTGCTTCAAACCAGGATATCCAGTTTAATCTCCCCTAGTGCGTATCTCATGTCAGTCTCATGTGCCTGGACCCAACGTGTAAATACCTCGGGTGCTTCCGACGTGGGGTAGATACAAGATCAACTGATGTCCGTTCTCGGCGATGTTGTCATTTTCCACCCATACAGGACCCATCACGCGTTAGTTTTTCCCTGCTAGTTTACCTTCAAAGTAGAATAAAGAGCACCGACTCAATGAACGGCCCAGGCTTTGGTGGATCAAGAATTGTCACAGTGACCTGTCCAAACCCCACACATTTCCTGGTCAGGTTGGGGCAGCGTAGGAGTCGGGGACTGTTTGTAACGCTAAGATCGCAAGGAATGCAGTCCAGGAATGCAGTCCAGGAATGCACGTGTCCTACGCCAACCCACTTGTTCTAGATGTGATCTGAAAAATGACGTACGTCCGATGGTTCTGGGCTTGATCGATCGGCCTACTTACTGGGCTGCCCTACGCAAGCACCCATCCAGACACTTATTCGAGACAAGACAGTATTGAGGACTTTTGATCGATAATTTCCGGCGCGGATTAGAAGACAGCAAAAAGTCTCACGATTCGGTACTTGAAAAGCGAAATGATTCATTTCTTAGACATTCTATGAAAATTTTAGACAATGACAATCATTGATAACAATCTAACACGTCCAATTGATGAACAAGATCAACAAGGCCGCAACCTGCCTTAAGCCTTACAATACCCAGTGTCATTGACCCCCTCGTATTCCCGGAACGGCTTGGGCGGAGTTGTGCTAGTCATTGTACATTGCCATAGCAGCCGTCTTTTATCCTCGTCACCCTTGTGCTGTGAAAGCTGACCAGTGATGCTGTGCATAACTCCCCGGTTATGAAAGATGACCAAGTCCCCTTCCTCCCAGCGGTGTGCATAGATATTTGATGCCGCATAAATCTTTCTTTGCATATCATAGACTACCTTCCTTACTTGCTCGACATCGTCCATGATCGAGATCTCCCCAGTTTGGGGGTTGCGGGTGGTAAGTTTATACACACAGCAACCATGGACCTGTAGAAAAGGTCGATCTGGGTTGAGGGGATTTTGCCAAACCATCTGGAAAGCTCTGACTGTTAGCTGGATAATGGACTTGTATTCACCATGTTTGGGTCCAAACTCACAGGGTGCTCAGCGACCTTGTTCCACTCCCATTCAGACAAATTCTCAATTGGTACTTCACGTCCAAAATTTGGAATTGTCAACCCATCTTCAGACGATTTGCACTTTCTGATATACTCGTACGCCTGGGGGGCATATGTGACCGTGGTGTTAAGAGCAAACTCTTGCTCCTCCGGAGATAGAAGCTCAAACGCACGAGCGCCCGAGAAGACTGAGAATATTGTGGATGAGCTTGGTGATTCTTTGTCTGGCCCAGTTTGATGTAACTCACACGCAGTAGCCCCAGCAGCAATTTCCTTCTCCTCCCCGTCAGAGAACTTGATCTTTTGATCGGGCAGGTTGGGGATTCGGATCGAATGGAGGATAGTCACTTCCCCCGGCAACCTTTCATAGAACGGAGTATCCATGTGCCACCTGTATGGGCGAGTATACCCTTGCTCTAGGCTATCTTGGTTGAGAGGCTCCTCGTGGAAGAGAGTATGGTCCTTTTATTCGAGTAAGTCAAATGAAGTTGTCCCCGAAGGACTCGAGGACTGACCAAATGCACGACCTCAAGCTCTTTGATTCCCTCATAATCGTGAAATTTTCCCGAGCCAATAATTCCCACTTGTGGGGCCCTTGGTATTCTGCCAGCTTTGTATGCCGATAAAATATTCTTTGGGTTGCTCACAGGTTTCTCCCCCGCGGAGTGAATATCAGATGCGTTTGGATCGAAAATCTTGGCAAGTTTAGGAAGTGCAGTGGGATCGATTCCCTTCTGTTTTCGGATCACAACAACTTGGTTCCCAAAGAGTGCTTTTCTCAAAGTTGCCTTGTCCGTCTCGCTTAGCTCCTCTGGATTCAAAATTGGCATCCCAAGGGGCAACTTGATGTCTGCCCCAATGGCTGAGCTTTGCCGGATTCTGTCCGGAAAGAGCTCAAAGGACAGACTAGTTGGTTCAGGCATTTCTATATAGACCGGATGTGTTTGAATTCGAAATTGAAAGCCTTTTATTTCCAAATTCTGTTGAATATACTGGTGTCTTATGTAGACCTCTGTGATTGTAAGGGGTGCGGATGGGATTGGGGACCCACCCGCCTCGGGCTTGCGCCAACATTAAGATTAGCTGGAAACTTATCTGTAGATCCAATATCCTCCAGATAAGTCTTGTTAAAGAACATTCCGTGAAAGCCCAATATGAAATCCTATCTCAATGGCTGAGTTGGCTCAAATCGCCCGCTTTCATTGGGAGGTTGACACTTAGTGGCTCGGAGATTTTGGGACATATATAACTACATCCGCATTTCGAATGCGTGATTTCTGTTCTAAAGCTACCGATTCTTATAATCAGCCTTCCTTATCTCAAATGGCTACTTTAACGATCTCTTGCAAAGCGCTCACCAAGCCAGCCGAGTCCCAAGTGGACTTTGGGGCTGAGCTCCACGGCCTGAACATAGAACAGTTGACCGGTAAGCCATTGACGGGTGAAATGAAATCGTGGCTCTGGCTAATAGCGTGAAGATGATGATTTCGCCATACTACACAAAGCCTTGTATGAGCATCAAGTTGTTGTGATCAAAAACCAGCAGAATCTCTCCCCGAAGGCGCAATACGAGCTCACGCGACGATTCGATCCCTCCACTAGAGTTTACAGTCATGGAAAGTCCATTGACAAGCGGAGCGTTCTTCACCGTGACCTGACCAAAACTCCTCATCAACCACAAGTTCAAGTCATTGGCCACGGTTTCGTAAAAGAATTCGAAGGGCTAACCAACCTTCAATTGAGACACCCCCATCATAAAGCGTTTCACAGACACCCCATTCCAGCGGAAGAGGATGAGGAATTCACACACTTCTACCGGTGGCACATTGACTCTGCTATGTATGATCTTGATCCTCCGCTCGCGACTTCCCTGTTGGCGGTGCAAGTGCCCAAGGGGCGACGCCAGATCTGTCGCTATGATGATGAGACGGGGACCGAACTGGATGTACCTCTCGGAACGACTGCCTTTTTCAGTGGGTACCGTCTCTACGAACTTCTGTCAAAAGAAGAGAAGAATTTTGTTCGCACTAGCAAAGTCGAATATGCTCCCCATCCATACATCTGGATGAGCAAGGCCAAGTCCCGCTCCAATGGTCTTGGTATCGTCTCTGAAGGTCTGGAGCTATCGGAGGAAGAACTGCCTCCCTTTGAGGATGAGAAAATCAAGATATATCCAATGGCTTGGAAGAACCCCATTACCGGAAGACTGGCGATGATGATCTATCCGACTTGTGTCCGAAAGATTCACCTTGAAGATGGAAGTACCCTCGACAATCTATCCGAAATCCGGGAACGGCTGTACCGACTGCAAAGGCGCGCGATTGATCCCCAGTATGTCTATACTCACGATTGGGAGGAAGGTGATCTCGTTCTCTTCAATAACCATGGCGTGATGCATTCCATTGTTGGCTCTTTCAGGGATGGTGTTGAAGTTAGGCTGTTTCGGCAATGTAATATGGCGGGAAGTCGGCCACCATTGGGTCCTGAGGATATTTTGTGATTTTTCAAGCAAACCGAAACTTAGTGCGAGAATTGAGAAGCCTTTCAATGCTCATTTAGTACCTTCCAATGTCAGCTTAAATCACCCTGAAGGCAACATTTGTTAGATGGCTTTTGTTCGCGAGAAACGAGGAAACTTGCAAATCCGCTACACTGTCAGGGATATATTTAGTTCTTCTTATAAAGTTACCAATATAGCGGTTCGGCTCAATCCGACAGCAATCTTCCACCAATCTGGAATGGATCCTAGTATTGTTAGTCAGAAAATTTCCTAGTCATGCTCTAGGTCTCGCCAACACATCGGTGGGAAGTCCGCACCCTTCATCGGCTGCTGAGTATTGTCTGTTCCTATACTCCGGTTGTCTCGCGCTATCAAGGCGGGCGCTAGGCCTTCGCTTACAGCAACGGAAGCCGCTCACTGGCTGGTATTCACAACGCGTCTCCGCTCGGCGTTGCGATAAGATTGTTCTTGTCCCACGTGTTGAGCTTAAGAGTGGTGATTGCAGCTCATTTGATGTCTTCGTCTTCGGGTCTCTAACATCCGATCATCCGGCAAACTCCAGAATCTCATCAATATTGCCGACACAGAAGCGACCCAATCGGATGAGGTATCTGTATGCGAAGCTATACGACGACAACGATGTTTAAAAAGCTCAGGTCCTGCGTCTGGCAATGGCGTATTTTGCATCAGTGTGGCAATCGCAGCTATGACTATGGATAAGCTCAGGTCAGTAGTTCTGTCAGTAGCAATTGCCACTGCCGTTGAGGCAGGGGCTATTAACCAGAGAGCTACGCCAACTCAACCTGATTGGTTCAAAACCTCCCCCGATCTCTATACTGGTCAGTACCGATGAGCGCGTGATACAAAGCGATAGTGCTCTGATGGATTTCGATTGAATAGGCACTGTCGCGACCGGTGCCGCTCCTTTCTTAGCCGAGATTAACCCAGCACCTTTCGGCGATGCCACCTATGTCCCCAATGCTCCATTGGAGACATCGGAGCCAATCGATGGTGCCAACGGACGGAATATCTTCCACCTCATGGGTGATCTGAGGTAGGAAGAATTATCTTGTGAATCCTAATTCATCGGTTGCTTACAATTGATCGACAGTCCCTACTTCTCGCCGTCTGAGGGCTTCGGAGTCAACGAGTACCCCCTGCCAAAGGGTGCTAACATCACCCAGATGCACATGCTTCAACGCCACGGTGCTCGTTATCCCTCATCCTCGGAAGGTTTGAATTCTTGGGGCGCTGGCATCGTCAATGCTACTGCCAAGGGAACTGTCTTTTCAGGCAAGCTTGATTTCTTGAACGACTGGTCGTACAAGCTGGGCAAGGAGATCCTTGTTCCCCAAGGTCGTCAAGAATTGTTTGACGCGGGTGTCTTGAACTTCTACAACTACGGACATCTGTACGATAACACCACCTCCAAGATTGTGGTCCGCACAACCCTTCAGTCTCGGATGCTTGAAAGCTGCGAGAATTTCTTGGCCGGCTTCTTTGGCCTGAACTGGAGAGACCATGCCAACATTTTGGCCACAATCGATCCAGCAACCACTGGAGAGTACACTTGCACCAAAGAGGCGGAAACCATGTTGGAATCAATTGAACTTCCAGTCGCTACCTGGATGGCCACTTATCTCAAGGAGCGAACGACCGAACTGAAGCGTCTGAGCGGCAACTACAACTGGACAGTCACCGATACGTACCACGCTCAGGCTCTTTGCCCTTACGAGACTATCAGTCTCGGCTACAGCGACTTCTGCCAGGTGTTCACCTATGATGATTGGGTGAACTTTGCGTACCTCATGGATATCGAGTTTGCGGGTCTTTCCGGCTTCCACAGCCCCACTGGTCGTGCCCAGGGTATTGCCTTTGTTGAAGAGTTCCTGGCTCGCGTTGAGGGTCATTTGCTTGATGTTCCCGCCAACACCACCGGAGCTAATATGACTCTCGACACGAACCCTGTCACTTTCCCCCTGAACCAGAACCTCTACTTGGAGTTTACCCATGATGCCAACATTGTCTCAGTCCTGACTGCTTTCGGATTGACTCAGTTCGCCGATGCCCTCCCTCTCACTGGCCCCACCAAGGATCAGCAGTTCCATACCAGCCGCCTTGTTCCATTTGCAGGACGTCTGAACATTGAGATTATCTCGGCACCACACAAGGTCTCCACTAAACGCACATCTAAGGCAAGCAAGAAAGGTGACTATGTTAGCGGTACTAGCGCAACAAAGTACGTTCACTTCATTCAGAACCAACGTACTATCCCGCTGCACTCTAGCTTCGACGAGTGTGAGTACCGCGAGGATGGCTGGTGTGAACTGTCGACCTTTTTGAAAGTCCAGAAGCAAAGTCTGAAGAAGGCTCAGTATCAGTATGCCTGCTTCGGCAACTGGACCATGAAGAGTTGGGGTGTCGTTAGGGATGGTGTTCCTGCGTAAGGCATGCATGATTGAACCCAGCTAACATTGCCTTGCTGCATGTCGAAAATCATTCTACAATTGTCGCAGTAGTTGCTAAAATGTACCATTACCCCAGACAGAAACATAGGCTCTTTCCATCACACTTGATCAGCCCCTTGAACAAGTATATATTTATTAGATAATATCGCATTTCATATTCCGTGCATGCAAAAGGTACAAACCGCAGTTAGTATGTGAAAAATGGTTTCCTTAGATATGAGAATATGCCATGGAGCCTAAATGCAACGGGAGAACATGGACAATGGCAGGAGTACTTCCCCTAGCACGAGATACAGATGAGATAAACAAAACTGTCGATGGCATTTTGTATCAAATTACAGTATTTGAACAGAAAGGCAAGGTATACCTGGATACAGTATCTCATCTCCAGTAGACACTCGCTGCCACGGTATTCCTTCTTTACTCTATATATTGGGGTACTTGCTCTATGCACTTACCAAACGGTATTAGTGCATGAGCTCGGATAAGTCTCCACCTATGATTATACGATTCCCAGCTTCCTCTGTGTGTTTATCTCCCGACCATTTTAGGCTGAGCACCTGCCCAGCAGGTACACCGAGTACATCAGCCTCCATTCACTTCCCCGCATCTACTGAAAATCACCCATGCTAAATTGTCAGTATCGCTTCTACACCGCTCCCCCACTGGTCAAGTATGCCGCAGAAAAGTTCCAAACAATGGGACGACTCAAAACTCCGGCCCGAATTAGGAATCTGAGCATGCTAGCGGCGCGACGGAGACCCATTCCCCAATCCTCATCCAATAAGACGCGGGCGATCGGCAGGCCAAGTCAGTGCCAGTGATGAGGGGAAGCCCGGTGGGTTTTTATATTCTTCCTTGGAGCCGCGGGGTAGTTATATCTCTGATCTCGCAATGGAACGGTAAAGTACCACGTCAGTTGTTCAATAGTTGAACTTTGAGCACGGATGGCTTGATATTGGGCTTGGTGGCTGCTTCAAAATCCACCACGCCTTTTAAGCCTGAAAGGGAGGGGGGGTCTGATCCGTGCGAAATGCAAGGGATTCGACATGCATACGGTAGGAATGCTTTGGAGCGGGTAATTTGGTTCCTTTCAATGAAAAAGTCAAATTTGGAGCCAATAGCTCACGCATAACAGGGTCACGTTGAAGATCGCAGTAGATATCCTGACATGACTCGATCTTAGAAGGAGTGACCACTCGATAGGATAGGAAGATACGTAGATGCAAGTTTTGGTGTTGCCTTTTTCGCGTTCGTCGATGGTTCTCCACTAGTCTGCGACCAAGAAATCAGCGCCTTGTTACTTTCAAAACAACATTCCACTCTACGCCCTGATTTGTCGGACAAGATCCGCTGCATGTCCAAAAAGTTGATCGTCGCTCTCCTCTCTTGACTCGACAACCGCTCATCATGGCATAGGTAGTCAGTAACGACATATCCTAGTCAGTTGTTTATTTAACCCTTCCAATCAACATTCTATCTGCTCAACCCTTATATATTGAACCCAAGGATCGAGGAAATTCCCACACGCATCAAACATTGCATTCTGACGTGTCTCTGACCGACATGCTAGCTAGCTAGCTAGCTAGCCAGGGATGGTCTGGGCATTTGCTCCACTATCCACCAGCCAAGGAGCTGCGACGACCTTGTCTGGACTCACACATGCGCTGGCCCACTATCTACGGAGTCAGCGGCATCTAACTACAACGTTACTTTTCCCAGATCGGAATCTCCCATGCATTCTCCGTGCGGGGGAATAGTCGCTCCTGTGGAGCTATGCCTGGTATAGTCGGATAGTGCTTGTCCAAAATGCCGGTCTAGCTGCTCACTCGCAGCTCGCAGGGGGTCCAAGGGTCTTTCATCCCGTCCGTCTGTGTTTTCACTTGGGTTTGGCAAGAATGGTGCAATGGCTCGGCGATTTCGACCGTGTGCCCAGTCCGCGCTGATGGCCGAGACGTACAGTACATAAACGCGGGGATGTGCTTTATAAACGGGAGCAGATCTATTCTCCGATACTCAGTCACTGCCAATTGCGACTTCTTCTGAGATCAGTGGTTCCAAGCATACCTCGGTGCTGATTGAATCATGCAGTTGCTGCGGAGCATTGTGTTCTCCCTGCTGGCAGCCACCAGTGTGGCTGTTCCCAGCGGTGGTGGTAGTAGACACCCGGCCATCCAGCCTCGTGCAGCAAAGTATGCCCTGAAGGAACCACCCCTCACGACTCCATGGACGGACAAAGTGGGAACAGATCCCTGGCCTGAGTATCCGCGGCCACAGATGCAGCGGTCACAATGGCAGAACCTCAACGGAATTTGGCAGTATCGAAATGCTTCCAGTCTTGCCGAGGCCCAAAATCCTCCATTTGGACAGGAATTAGGACAAGAAGTATTGATTCCATCTTGTTTGGAGAGCGGGATATCTGGTAAGGCTTTGAGCTTTCAGACGCCAGTCTAGAGTGAGCTCGTCACTTACCAATCTCAACACAGGCATCCAGGGGAACTACCATTTGTACTCGTGGTTCTCAAACTCGTTCGAAGTTCCGTCAGATTGGAACGGTCAGCAGATTCTACTCAATTTTGGAGCAGTCGACTATGAGGCCACTGTCTTCGTCAATGGACAGCAAGCTGGCTTCAACCGGGGCGGTTATTTCCGCTTCACCATGGACGTGACTCAATTTGTGAAGCCGGGCCAGCAGAATGAACTGTAAGTTGTCTTCGGATGTAATAGACACACGGATGATTAATTTTCATCAGACTCGTCTTTGTGCACGATCCTACCGACTCGGAAGACTATGTCATTCCTATTGGCAAGCAAACACATCACCCCAGTCACATCTTTTATACGCCCTGCAGTGGAATCTGGCAGACTGTCTGGCTGGAAGCTGCACCGGCAAACTATATCACACAGCTTGATGTCGATGCTAACATGAATGGCCAAGGTCAGCTTCTTCCCATCGCAAACAAGAATCGGTAAAACTAACCATCGTTCTTAGTCAACGTCACGGTGCACACTTCGGCCACCAATACGACCACCAATGTCCAGGTCATTGTGCACGACAATGGCGATGTAGTTGCAACTCACCGTGGACCATCCAACCAGCCATTCCAGTTCAACGTTGATTCGCCGAAGTTATGGTCGCCAACCTCTCCCAAGTTGTATAATATCACGGTCAAAGTGGGTGAGGACCAAGTCCGGAGTTACACTGGATTCCGGACCATCTCAAAGGGCACCGTCAATGGTGTCGTTCGACCCCTTTTGAACGGAGAATTCATTTTCATGTTTGGAACTCTGGACCAAGGTTTCTGGCCTGATGGCATTTATGTGCCTCCAACCAAGGAGGCGATGGTTTATGATCTGAAGATGTTGAAGAATCTTGGCTTTAACACTGTCCGGAAGCACGTCAGTATTCGTGAGCAACAATTCTTCCAGATATAAGTACTGACGCCGTCTATAGATTAAAGTTGAGCCCCAACTATTCTATCAAGCTTGTGATGAGCTAGGTCTTCTGGTCATCCAGGACATGCCGTCGCTGCGACCGCTGCAGAGCAGGACTCTCCCCGATTTTACGAGGCAGACTATTCTGCCTGATGCGGCTCAGCAGGTCGAGTTTGGACGCCAACTGGAAGTGTTAGTTAACCAGCACAAGAGCTTCCCTAGTATCGCGACCTGGGTAAGAAAACAGAAACCACTATAAGGACGATCGGGGATGCCCTACTGACAGAAGTTCAAAGGTCGTTTACAATGAGGGATGGGGCCAAATTACCAGCTACTTTCCCGAGTTTGAGCTGACAGACCGGGTCAAGCAGTTGGATCCTACTCGACTGGTGGATTCCACGACTGGCTGGTATGACCATGGTGCTGGCGACTTTAGCGTAAGTATACTCGTTGCCAACTCGTAAGAATTTGCATCTGACGGAAGACAGGACAATCACCATTATGCCAACCCCCAATGTGGTAGTCCGTTCTATTCCATTGACTCGAGCCCGTACGATGACACGAGAATCGGTCTCCAGGGCGAATTCGGTGGTCTCGGAAACAACGTATCTATTGAACAGTCAGTTTAACCATCAATGTTGGGGAGAACGCTCTTGTACTAATACAATTCAGTCTCTGGAACGTCCAAGCTGCTATTAACACCATCGACCAAACCTATGAGCTCGACCAGACTATCGAAATCTGGAACTACCGCAGCCACATTATGCTTGCTGAGTTAGAGGACCAGGTGAAGCGGTTCTCGTGTAGTGGAGGTATCTGGACTCAGACGACCGATGTCGAGGGAGAAGTTAACGGTTTGATGACGTACGACCGCCGTTTGGCTCGTGTGGACGAGGCACAGTGGAAAGCCGATATCCAGGCTCTGTATGATGCTGCTGCCGCACGTGGCAACGCCACTACTTCGACGCAGTAAGCAGCAATGAGGGGAAAGTGTACAGATCAGATTTATCCAAATAAGATGGTTGTCTCGAGTGTATTAAATACTCCGAATATTGTTTCCTATTCATCCAAATATCCGTCGTGAATTACCCCTACTCACATCCTTGCTGTTGCAATTTCTACAAGGACTATGGTCTAGATCATTTTTAAAGTGTGTTGAACTAGGACACATCACACCCTAATTCTTGGCTACACATCCCAGTCGATTGGTAGCTCACATTGCCTATCATCATCGATCCAAATAACTGTGTGATAAGACCTCTTCTGCACCCCCCCCCCCCCCCCCCCCCCCCCCCCCCCCCCAAGCGCCAAAATAGGCAGTCGCAGGCTTCACTTTTCCACATCAAACCCAATTAGATTGGCTCGGCACTTTAATCAACGGGAGGCTTGAGAGCCAGTGTCCAAGGCATTGCAGAACGCGGGGCGGGACAGACACACGCCTCCGGTGCCGAAAGCCTGCACGGCGACGTCTAGACCGTGCTTTTTGGCAGTGATCAACACAAGCATTCTTGATCGTCTAGCGCGGCTGTTTGAGAGTCTCTCTAGCGCGTCTCAGGTTCCAAGCGGAGTCCGAAGAATAGCAACTGGCCTTTTTGGATCTGTCCAAGGAAGAAGAAAGGGAGATGAGCAAACGGCGGTTTAGCCTCTTCTTTGTATACCCCTATTTGCCCGAAAAATTTTTCAAATCGCATTGTTCTTATTCTTTTCATTGATTTTTTCATTCCCCCCCCCCCCCCCTTTTTTTTTTTTTTTTTTTTTAATCAACCGGAAGCCTCCCGGATCATCCAGACGTCAGCCCATTCGACCGAATCCACCCGAGTCGAAAGAGAATGGCTGTTAGCATCAGGCCATGCCATCACGCGATACCATTTATGTCCACTGCTCATCGATAAGATGTTTGTAAGCATTCACCGTTCATCGGAAAGGGGCCAGTTTTCCTCTTTCTCACCTTCTGTTGCCTGCCTGTCTTTTCTCGGGACCCACTGACAGCCGAGCGGCTCGGAAGTTGTTTTTCGTCTTTTTAGAATTTTAGGTTTGGCCCTTTTCCCCTTTTCTATTGACCATTTGTGCTAGTCTAAGCCACAGTCCTTTGATTATTGGAAGGGAACAATTTGTCGATATGAACATTTGTGTTGGCATCGCATTGCCTTGAACTAATTCGGGCATTTGGATTTAAAATCGGTCCACTCTGTCTGCCCACGCGTTCGGCTGCTTCATTGTATGTACATAAATGGGTAGCATAAAAAAACAACCGTGTAAACAAATCCTTCGTGCCGAGCCGCCGAATCCAAGTCTTGAGTGGACCTGATCTCCGTAAGAAACGAAACCGTTGGGAGACCGCTGCGGAGTCGGCATATACTCCGTCGCGTTGCGTCAAACGGTGAAGCTCGACCTGGTTTCTGCTCGTTCCGTGGGTCAACCGTGTCGACATCGGTGACAGCATACTTCGAATCTGGAAGCGAGGGGTCTATCCATTTTTTTTTACTTTTCGGTCCAGGTTCGAGAAGTCCAAAGCCATTGAAAACGAGACCAAAGCGCCGCGGCACGGCACGGCGTGCTCTACATAATACGCGCTGTGATACGAGCGGTTTTCTTAATCTCCACATTTCCACGTGGTCGCTTGTCATCACGGTCTACTCCGTACTTTTTCTCGTTTGGCATTTCTTCTTTCTCCGAGTGGGCTGCTCCACGGCCCTCCATGGCTGTCAAATAGTTCGGCGGTATTCCTCCTAGGAGACGTAGGGGGAGGAGATTGCAGGGATCAGCCCACACTTGCCGGGACATTTGATATCCGCCCGGATTCACAATTCCTGCCTTTATGTAACCGTGTGATTCGACAGGTATCCTGGAGCCATGCGTTGTCTCTCCGTCACCAGGTGGGAGATCTCCCGTATTCTCGGAAAGAGTCCCACTCACTCGCTACTTCTGGCTATTTCCGATTTTAGGTTGGACGTGTGTGTACTGTTCTACCGGTTTTCGATCGCTGAGGATGACCGGATCGGGCAGGGGGGAGAAATCCATTGCGATCTTGCTGGTGAATATAAAATGGGCCGGTTTGTCCTCGGCGTCCATACGAAGCTTCCCACGATACGCCCCAGTTTTGGATCTCTTGACTTTCCCTAAACCGTGGTTCTAAGAATTCCTTTTACCACTTCTCCGATCTTTCTAGAAGACTTGAAGTCGTTCGTGGAAGCCCGGACCACCTCATACTCCAGTATTCAGCCCTCGATAGTAGTGCTGTCTACCGCTCATCAAGATGCCACACGATTATGGATTGGACTCGAGCTTTGAGCCTAAGCATATCGACAGGAAGTCTATTTATGTCAGTCTCGAGGAAAGAATCAAGTACTTGCATGACTTCCTTGACTTCAACTCTGGTAAGTATGCTGCTGGAGGATGGCCATTACCTCCATACCAAAGCTGATGTGTGCTGCCAACCTATAGCCGACATCGAAGCCCTCCAAAGCGGAATGAAGTACCTGAAGCTACTCATTCCCGCCGTCGTCAACCTTGTATACAAGAAAATTCTTCAATATGACATCACCTCGCGTGCTTTCCATACCGGCTCAACTGCCGACGAAACCGAGCCTGATGAAGAGTGGCTAGATGAGGAGACGCCCCAGATTCGGCGGCGCAAGATGTTCCTTCGTTGGTATCTCATCAAGTTGTGCCAGGATCCCACGAGTATGGACTTCTGGCGGTATCTGAGCAAAGTGGGGTGAGTTGGCTCATGCCCTCTGGACAAATCCAAAGAGCTTGTGCTAACTGGTGAATGAATAGTATGATGCATTGCGGTCAAGAGAGGTTACACCCCCTCAACATTGAATTCATCCACATCAACGCCTGCATTGGATACATCCAGGACATCTTTATTGAAGCTCTGTTGTCCCACCCGGAACTCTCACTGCGACGCAAGATTGCGCTCGTTCGGGCCGTCAACAAGATCCTGTGGATCCAAAATGATCTATTTGCGAAGTGGAGGGTCCGCGATGGTGAGGAGTACGCCGATGAGATGTCCGTTTACAGCTTCGGGTCTGGGAAAGAAGGATATGTTGGCGATAAAAAGATCTTGGGCAGTGACTCCAGTAGCTCTGTCGATGACGACGCGGCCAGCATCGCGAGCAGCATGGCGCCGTCGACGTATACTGTACAGACCACTCAGACATCGCATACCACTGCCTCGAAACGTTCCGTGTGTCCCTTTTCAGACCTTGCTTCCAAGGGTTCCGCCACTGAAACAAAGATCTGGGCCAATTGATAGGTGTGATATTGGCAATGGGCAAGGCATTACAAAGGCGCGTGGGAATGGGGGTGCTATACAAATACCCAAATGTTTTTGATCGGGCGTTGAACAACTTAGAATAAGCAAAGGGAGCGTTTCACTCAAATGAATTTGTTCTTTCATATAAGTCTTTCCATCTTTGCTCTTTAAAGCTCCATAGACTATAGTGATATGCAAACAGATAACTTAGTTGACCTAATTAACTAACTAGTTAGTTAACTATGACTGTGATACCTTCTTAGTAAGCCAATCCTAGTGGAGAAGCGGAACGCCCCCGGCTGCCACCAGTTTAGTCATCTCAACTTTGACTGTGAATCTCGGGAGTTGTCCCCCACTCGGCTCGTAATTCGGGCAATTGACCAGCTCAACTCTAGCCAACCGGGGATCCAGGTTTTATACCTTCGCGGATATGTCCTCTATCCCACCTTTGGTCCGGCGGTGACCCCGGAGATACAGTCGATGGCCGAGCGATTCGTTGCTTGCATCCACTCCCTCCTCCAAGTGTGTCTCCACATCCCTGTATTCGGCATGATCAGCTACCCGATGTTTGATGGGTTAAATTCAACCCCTCATCCTGCAACTTCTCCCTTCGTCGAACCCCTGGTTGCATAATTCAGTACCTTTTATCACAAAACAGAGAACCGCAATGTCTCAGAACGACTCCAAGGCGGTGACTCCGCTGCTTATTAACAATGAATCCGTCGTGACTGACATTAAGTTCGAGGTCCACGCCCCCGCCACTGGCGAATTGTCGAGTTACTGTGCTGGTGCCTCGGTTGAGGATGCGGTGCGCGCGGTCGACAATGCAAAGGCGGCCTTCCCGGCCTGGAGCAAGACCAAGGCTTATGATCGCCGCGATATTTTGCTCAAGGCCGCCGAGATCATGATCTCGCGCAAGGAGGAGCTGATCGCATACCAGCAGGAGGAGACTGGTGCGGGGCGACCCTTTTGCGAGCACACCTTCAACATGGGTGTAAACTTCATCAAGGACTTTGCGGGGCGCATTTCCACCATCGAGGGTGTCGTACCCAGTGTGACCTTGGATGGTGAGGGGGCGATGATTTATAAGGAGCCCTATGGTGTGATTCTGTCAATTGCCCCATGGTAAGGAACAGCTCCCCCGAACGAGGGATCTTGAATTCCCGGACTTGTGTCACTAACCTCGGATCTCTTGTCATCTTCTTGTAGGAACGCTCCCTTCATCTTGGGCACTCGCGCAGTCGCTCTCCCCCTCGCTGCCGGTAACACAGTCGTCCTCAAGGGTTCCGAGCTCTCGCCCAAGTGCTTCTGGGCCCTCGGTGATATCTTCCGCCAGGCTGGTCTTCCTGATGGATGCTTCAACGTCATTTTCCACCAACCTTCCGATGCCGCGGCTGTCACGACCGCCCTGATTGCTCACCCTGCCGTTCGCAAGGTTAACTTCACTGGCAGTACCAATGTCGGTTCCATTATTGCCTCGACTGCTGGCAAGTACATCAAGCCCGTTCTTTTGGAGCTGGGTGGAAAGGCTTCCGCGATTGTCTTGGACGATGCAGACCTCGATAAGGCTGCCATGAGCTGTGCGCTCGGATCATTCCTGCACGTAAGTATAAGGTGTTTTTTGTTTTTTTTTTTTTTTTTTTTTTTTTTTTTTTTTTCCCGCTCGGATCATCATGCTAATACCCTCTTTAGTCTGGACAAATTTGCATGTCCACTGAGCGCATCGTCGTGCAGCGTGCTATCGCCGACGAATTCCGTCAAAAGGTTGCCGCAAATGCGGAGAAGCTCTTTGGCAAGGATGCTCCAGCTTTGGGCCTTGTCAACGCTGCCGCAGTCACCAAGAATAAGAAACTCGTTGCGGATGCCGTCTCGCGCGGCGCCAACATCCTGTTTGGAGATGCCAGTGCCAACGAGTCCGTCAACACCTGCATGCGCCCCATCATCGTCGATGGAGTCAGCAAAGAGATGGACCTGTATGCGACCGAGTCTTTCGGCCCGACCGTGTCCTTGATCGTCGTCGATAATGAGGAGGAGGCCATAGCAGTGGCCAATGACACCGAATACGGCCTGACCGGGGCGGTCTACACTCAAAACTTGTTCCGCGGTCTTCGTGTCGCCAAGCAGATCGAGTCTGGGTAAGTGACCAGATTTTCCCGGTTTCATTGAAAACGTTTCTTTCCTAACGGGCGCTTCCCACTAGTGCCATTCACATTAACGCCCTGACCGTTCACGATGAGCCTACCCTGCCCCACGGTGGCTGGAAGAGCAGCGGTTTCGGCCGCTTCGGCGGCGTTGCCGGCTATGATGAGTTCCTGCAGACCAAGACCGTCACCTGGATGGAGTAAAGTCAAAAGAACCGGGGGGGAAAGGAAAAGGATCCACACAATGATATGATTCTGTAAGCTCAGCGGATTTTGGGGCTGAGCTGGTTTAGCTTGGCTTATTAATGGTGATTACTCACAACTAGTTTGATCTAGTCGCATGATGCTAGTGGTGGCCTGATCGACCTTGGTGATCGAAACCAGGCCAGATGCCCAACCCCACGACCGATCGTGTCAGACGATCAGGAACTGATGGCCCTCTTCGGGCTGTGATTCCCCCTCATGTTCAATTCCAATTCCCATTTTTGAAAATTAGTCATGAATTTTATGATACCTCTCGAGCTCTTGAGTCACGCAGCAATAGGTGGTGCGCACTATGAACCGTACTGTTCTTTTCACACCTAACCACTTCCAACAACCTCTCTGATAGCCCTCGCCACATAATCAATAATACCCTCATTCAATCCACAGATACTCACGCGGCCAGAGGGAAGAAGGTAAATGTGGAACTCATTCCGCAGACGCTCGACATCGTGATGATTCAGCCCTGTATAACTAAACATCCCAATTTGGCTCTCAATATGCGCCCAATCCCCGGTTGTTCCAAGCCGTTCTAACCTTCGTCGAAGCTCGCGTCGCATCTTCTTGATCCTAGCACTCATCGTGCTCAAGTCTTCTTGCCACTGACGTCTAAGATTGTCATCGCCAAGCACTGTTTGAACAATCCCAGCCCCAAAACGTGGCGGATTCGAGTACTCCGATCTCGCGATGGCCATCAATTCTGAATGCGCACCTTGAGGCGACAAGTGACGTGGTACGACCAGGTGAAGGGCTCCGACACGCTCCCCATACAACCCAAAATTCTTGGAGAAAGACTGCGCAATGCAAAGACCCGGGTGTGTCGCATCTGGTTCTGCGTTTAGAATCAATTGCTCGACAAAGTATCGCACCGCCCATGCATCACCGTCAACATCCCCAGTCGCGAACCCCTGGTACGCACTGTCAAACACGACGAAAAGATTCTTCCGCTTGATGACGCGGACTACTTCTGCCCATTGAGTCATAGAGAGATCCACGCCCGTTGGATTGTGCGCACATGCTTGGAGAATCACCACATCATTGGACTCGGCTTTTGTCTCCAAAGTAGCAAGCATTCCTGCCATATCCACGGCGTGCGTATCCGAAGAGTAATACGGATATTCCTCGTGCGGAACACCGGCTATAGTCCAGATGGACTTGTGATTCACCCATGTCGGGGATGGGATGAAAACGCGTTGCGGACGGAGATGTTTTGCAAGGAAGACTGCTGCCATGTGGTTTGCGCCGGTCCCTGAAACGGTCTGGATACTTGCTATGTTCTCTTTCAATATTTCAGAGAAATTGGCTCCGAGGATGAGAGATTGGGCGAGTTTGATGAATGTGGGTGAGCCGGCTATGCCTAGATACTCGTGGTTTGGGCTCTTGTCGAGATAGGATTTTGCCTGTAGAGCATGTTAAATTGTTTCCGGCCTTGATCGCTCTCTGGGTATGACTTGAAGTGATGAAATACCTCTTTCACACTTGGCAGGACCCAAGGCAATCCGTTCTGATCGCGGTAAGCACCTGCAATGAGGGACACTTTGCGTGGGTCGGGGTCCGCATCGAAATCGGCCATCAGGCCAAATGCAAGATCTGCCGGGGCAACTGGGATATCAAGATATTGTCCTCTCATAGTTACGGTTGATCGTACGTGGCTCTTCTCAATTGCGGCTCGACAACGTTGTTGATGTTGAATTTGGTAGGTGACTGCCGAATGACGATTGAGATTCAGCAGGGGATAGCGCGGCTTGGTAGCAAATGTTGGCCAAATCAAAGAGGTCCAGCGAAGTGCTTTGAACAGGAACTGGAAGTGCCTTTTCGTATATTTCAATGGTTTACATCCTTGTTATAGTTCACTTGGAAAGGTTCAATCTACCCGATCCTCGTCGGTGACTCGACACTTTCCCGAGGAGCAACCTATCAGCTATGTCAACATTCCTTTTTCTGGTGACTCCAAAGTGATTTCCCATCTATGATTCGGAGCTTTGCCTTGAGTAGCTCGAGTGTCGGGGCTAGGACTATGCATATTGCTGAATGCTTCTCTTCTACCTCATACATTGGATCTATCAGCCAATACTTACGTCAAGACTTTCCCGGAAATAGACACAAAACAGTCTTGCTTGGAATGAATCCAGAAAGAGCTATAAAATGAGAGAACGAAGAGAATATGAGGAGATTCATAAGCTCCGTGTGCATATCCTTATCACTCGACGAGAGAGGCATGTGTGATAAAAAAGTCCATGAGTCAATAGCACTACTCTCCACAAGTGTAGCATTTAACAGCGTTCCAGCCCTTATCCTTCTTAGGATCAGATACAATAGATACTGATTACCGTGCGAGCCCCAAGCTTGACGCAGTGAATAGATGATACGGTATAATTCCAAAAGAGAAAGGCCGGGTCTGAGTAGTTTGCTGGTTCCATCTCGGCAAAGTGCTATGTCCCCGAACTAATCATCTCGACCTCGCCTCGCCAGGTTCACGTCTCCGATCTAGAGGTGTGTGTCATAGATCATAGCTCAAGTATAGTTAGTTAGGAATTGTGCCGATTGAGTCATCCTTGCAGAGTTCCGGCTACAGTCTGTAGGGTAGATTACGCTAAGCAAGATCGGCGCAAGGATCCAACATCTATACTTGGACATCAAAAAGTTGAAAGTCTGAAGCCAAGATCGTGGCCTTACGTCCAGCCATTTACTCACAGCCCCCGTAACATCCTAGGCCCATTAGCCTTCGGTCCCACAATCAACACTGGCGCACGAATCACCATCTTCGACCTCTCGTCCAATACCTCGATTGACAGTTTGCAACCAAGTCGACACAGCATGGATGTACCCAAAAACAGGAAGCATCCACCGCAGCGTTGGGATGGAAACAATGCGTACTGTATACAATAAAAGTCTATCCTTCTATCCCACATCGGCCCACGGCCGGGCATTGGCAACCCTCCGAGTCTGATGAAGTTGCGGGGTTAACGACATTGTGCGCGAAGCGAGGATGTGTTTGCGACTGTTTACCAGGCTGGTATACATTGCGATCAGTATGTCATCGACTGGGCCTGCCTCCAGAAGCACGTCGTAGGCCGGACATCATATCTGACGGGCGCACGACATCAAAACAGACCTCATCCCCCTACTGTCACCTCTACGATCTAGAAATCATCGTCTACAAACCCCTCGCTGACGCCATTCGATCAGCCAAGTCCAAGCCAGGCACGCCAGGCACGTCAGCCCCTGGCAAGGGGACGCCCCTCAAGCCAGCTGCCAACAGCCACCAGCTCACCCTGCCAGAGATCGAACTCCCCTGGCTCCACCACGACTCACAGCTCCAGGCTTCAGCACTATGAGCACAGCAGCAGAGATGGGGTCTTGCTTGGCGTTAGCAACTTTGCGCAGCTATAAAGGAGTCTGGCCATGCTTCAGGCGGGCCCATTACCCGGTGACCAGGGGAGCTGACTGCGGCGCACCAGTGTGGGTGGGCGCAAAGGCATTCTCGGCGAATTTCTAGAATCCAGACCTGGGTTCAATACGTATGATACGGTAGCTTCGCTGTTTAGGGCTGGGAGGGGCTGCCGCCCAGTGAATCTCATTTCCACCAGGCACTGAAAATAGCGTGGAGGCGGGCCACCGGGCGAGCGAGACCACCTGCCAAGCACTGTACTCTCGGGCGCTCGAGGCGTTGTCTCGAAGAGTCCAGATGGTCGGGTCAGCTGGCAATCAGACCAGTCCCATTATCATACATACCGTATCCCTCCGCCAAGAAGGCGGCAACAGGGCAGTGTAAGACAGGACCTGAGTCGGAAGGGGGCGAAAAGTGACGAGAGTATTTTCACTGCGTAGCGAGGCTCGGATCACGGCGCCTCGAGAGAAAGGGTCCTGGCCACTGTGGAGAGGGGCGATCGGAGGAATTATGATGTATGCATGCATAGACAAGCGCATGGATACACATCACGAGTGTACTCCGTACGGCAGAAACGGATTCATCCATGCAGGCGAGAAATTGAAATCGCCCCCAATTCATGCAGGTCCAATCGCAATCAAGATCAAATAGATCGCGATGAGCACCGGCCACGCTATGTCAGCGGTGTGCGAACCGAGTCGGCTGCGCGACCGTGCTGTTCACGCTGACTTGGAAAAAGGAATCATTCCCCACGAGTGGAAACCGAACGGGGTGATTGCTAAGACACGACAAAGGTCACGACAGAGCCTCGTGGAGGAATTTCATTAGCTGGTGAGCACTTGACTGCTATTTTGAGCGCTGGGAGCCATGGACGGGGCCTCAATAGTGCCAGTGCCGGCTCGGAAAACGGGGGAATATTTTGGCGCAAGTTGGGCAGCACGATATTCCGCGTCTTCACCCGTTAAACCCGGCAGTGTTCTCCATTTTTGCGGCGAAATGCGAGAGAGGGGCAGCAAGGTCTCCTGGAGTGGGTGAATTGAGGAGTCTAACTTTGGACTTAACCCCGAGACGGTTTAGCGGGCGCTCCATTAGCGTTGAGGTCTTTCAGGAACAGGAAATTTTTACAGCCGCGAACGACCGTGCGCGCTACTTGAGGCACTGCAAATTTCCCAGTCCGTCAAGGCGCCCTCAGCCACGCTGACTTGATCGGTGCGAGGTGTACGGGTGTATACCAGCTGAGATGTCGTCTTGAGTGGTCTTCCTTGTCGAGCGAGTCTGATTGGTTGGAACCCGGACACGCAACCACAGCATGGGGCCCCGATCACCGGTTGATCTTGAATGGTGGTTTTGAATGCGCCGATGAACGGTGGGATCGACCATGTTGGTGTGGCTTGACGAGAGGAGGGGGAAAGGGTGGGTGTGGAGGTGGTGTCCACGATCATCGTGTGATGGGATCATGGTTTGTTGATCGCGCAGAATCAAACTTGGGGAGGAGGGAAGGACTACGGTAATGTTTCCAGGGTCTGGCCAGGATGACGGGATGGAACTGGCATCCTTCGGCAAGGCTCTGGCAAGACTCTGGCATGGGTCAGGGCCGCAGGATCGTAGGGTCGCAAGGAAAGAATGACACGAGGCGGTGGCGTCCAGTCACCCTCTTTACCGTCCAGTTGACCCGGGAAATGTGAACGAGAGAGCGCCTAAACAGAACACACGGACACTCCAGATGGTTATACATCACTGATTTCCCCCGTCTTCGTAGTCCTCGACACGTCTACTACTTCTGCCCTGATCTACTCGGGATGCATTAGGCGTATCCAATTCTCGCAGTTACCGTACTCAGGGTCGTCATTCTGAAAGGATCCATCGCATCCCTGCGAGTCAACGGTTTGACCGGATATTCTCCGGACCCAGATGTCCCACTCCGATCACTGTTTTGGGGAGGGGTTTTTGCTTTTTTATTTTTATTTTCGTCTTCTTTATTCTTGGTCTATTTTGCCCGACTTTATTGCGCTGGGTCTTCCGGAGAACGGATCGTCTAATCGAAAGAGCGATTCTTATAGATCAGGATCAGGATCAGGATCATAGTAATAGCCTAAGACATCACTCCCCTAGACAGGTCGTTACACTTCTTTCCCCCATTCCGCATACCACGACTGGAGTGACTCTGATATTCCATTCATTTCCCGCAAGGCACCACGGGCTCGGCGCTAGCATTTTTTAATCTTACGGCCAGCATTCTCGAGCAAATCAGGGCCCGCCGTCCCTGCGTGATTAGCCCTGTACCTTAGACTGGTAATTAGCCCGTAATGAACGGCCCCGTAATAAAGTACCCTCTCGTCCCTCATGGTCCATTGAGGGCGCATTGCAACGATATGACAGGAAGTTCTCCGTAGTGATGGAGAACGCAGTTGTACAGTTGGGAGTCTGGACTCGACAGAGTTTTGCCAGCCTCGTTGCATGTAATTTAATTCTTACCTACTGTAAATTGCATGCCCTATACGGAGTCGATATCGTAATTTCCCATAGCAATATCGCAGTCCCCAAAAACCAGTCTAACCGGCTTGGCCACAGCCCAGGGTCCTCATGCCCCCCCCCACGAGGGCAATGGAAGCATGGCACCGTCGCATTTCGGGCCCTGTACAGTACGTGCCTGGTATTATTATTCTTGCCAATGTGCAGTAGTATTGTCATTCTTATGATGATCATTATGATTGTACTTGTTATGATTATTCTCATTATTATGATCATGCTTTTTTTTTTTTTTTTTTGTAAAATCGTTCCAGGTAAGACGCCCAAAGGACACGGAAAACACCGAGTCTCGGTTCTATTTCTAGGTAAACTCTGACTGGTATACTTTGCTCGTTCCCCCTATCCAACCAAAACCAAAATCACCAGGAACCGTCGCTTGGAAAGGTAGGCTTTTTCGATGGGACCCCCCACTATGACCGCAGACCGGAGCTTGGTTGGCCTACACATGCTTGGCACAGGGCCCGATGGGGCTCTGAAATGCAGTCTGTCTCTGAACTGCGTGCCACTAGCCCGTTCGGGGGCGATTCTCTGGTAAGTTCTGGTAAGATAAATCAGTTCATCTCCGTACGGAGAGTCCTGGACTAATCGACTAATCCCAATCCATCACTGACCGTCCATGGGGCCCCCCACTCAACGGGCCCGTCTCCGTGCTTCCGTCGAATATCAAGAGTTTAGTAGAGGTAAAGTAAAAAAGTAGTGGTACTACTTTGTACGGGAAACATGCCCGGACTCGTTTGGCTCCTTTTCGATCATCCTCCCTCTTTTTATTAGACTTCGCTGCCCTGCCCTTCTTCCTCTTCTTCTCTCCCTTCTCTCTTTCTCATCCACCCACGGTCATTCTTTCTCACCCAGTCGCTCTTTGCTGCCTTCGTGCACTCAACCTTCTTCCCAACTTCAGTCACTCTTTACAGTTATCTGCCTAATCACACCCATCACATCACAATGCGTTTCTCCGCTGCTGCTCTCGTCTCCACCTTCGCGGCCCTCGCTGCTGCCTACACCACCCCCGACTACACCCAGTCACCCCAGGGTAACGCCGTCCGCTCCCCCGGTCTGGACGAGCAGGTCCCCGAGGGCAAGCCCTACACCATCAAGTGGGATCACGACCTCGGCAACACCGTCTCCATCGTCCTCCTCCGTGGACCTTCCACCAACGTCGTCCCCATCGCGACCCTCGCTGAGAGCATCCCCAACTCGGGCGAGTTCGTCTGGACCCCCAGCGCCGACCTGACCCCCGATGTCACCCACTACGGTCTCCTGATCGTCGTCGAGGATGCCGGTGCCAACCACGGTGCCTACCAGTGGTCTACCCAGTTCGGTCTCACCAAGGCTGAGGGCTCCACCACCACCTCTTCCTCTGCCGCCATCACCACCTCCCAGGCTGCCCAGTCTTCCGCCGCCGCTTCCCCTACCTCCAAGCTGACCATCGTCACCGTCATCAACGATGTCACCACCACCTACTGCCCCGAGGATGAGGCCAGCTCCTCCGCCGCTGCCCAGACCACTGCCGTTGCTCCCTCCTCCACCGTCATCAGCTCTTGGGAGGTTACCACCACCATTTGCCCCGAGACCACCGCCACCCCTGCCCCTACTGCTTCTTCCTCCCGTGTCGTCGTTGGCCCTGCCAGCTCCAGCACCCTGAAGAGCACCCCCTACGTTGTCCCCACCAGCACTGCCACTGCCACTGGCACCGCTAAGCCTTCTTCCACCCCCGCTTTCAACGCTGCTGGCCGCAACGTCATCTCCTTCGGTGCCGTTGTTGCCGGTGTCGCCGCCTTCATGGCCCTGTAAACTTGAGATTTTTTCCAAATCACGAATTTAAAAGGGAACTGCATTGCGGGGAGGCGTGTGGGCCACGTGGGATTGTGATGTAAATGTGATGTGTCGTATCGCGACAAGATCCCCCACCATTTTGCTCTAAAGTGGCCGGGGGTTTTCTTATCAATCTACCGATCGATCTTTGTCAAACTCGCGCACCCCCTCTTGCATTTTATCTTACCTTTCTTATGACCTCGTCCAAGAATTCTGGTTAGTGTATGAGTTAAACTATTCCCCCGCGCCAGTACATTAATGAGGAGGTTTTCGACCGTTTTCTTTTTTAAACCTGAACATCTTGACCTTGATTATGCAAAACTTCTTTTTTTCTGGATCATTTTGTCTTGAGCTGGGCTTGTATGCGTTTCAATACCATGTTTTTCTTTCGGATGTATCGTTCAAGGGAATCCAAGCCGTCTTGGCTTGTAATGTCATGTTCTATGCCTTTTATGCTCTGGTAATTGTTGGTCTGCGGTAGATGTAAATATCCATGTAGATATCCATGTCGATGGAGATGTATGATGTAAATTGAGTCGCGGATACAGCCCGTTGTCTAGGTGGTTTCATGTTGAGACCCACCACAGCCTTGTAGGGAATTGTCTATCTCCCGCCCCTTTGATATAAGCTTACTTGGTCGTTTCGGTTGAGATCTTCTGTCCCATCACGACAGAAGAGACAACTCGATTAAGCCGTTAAGGGGTTATTGATTGACTCCGTGGAATTGATCCGATCGGATGGATCTCGATAATTTCTATTCATTTCTACTAGCTAGTTCTATTTCACTGATGCACAGTGGAATACCTTTTTGGATATCTTCTTTTCTATCTCGAGAGCGACTTCGTCCTGCCAAAAGGTTCTCGGTTCGTTCGAGGCGGCAAGGGGATGGAAGCAGAATGGCTGTTGACAAGACGCTACCATCGCCTCCATGTATGATCTCCACAATTCAGCCAACTTTTGTCGAATCAAGTTACCATTCACCGTTTATCTATACTCATCATGTGTATAGCAATAGTTATTACGGGGCAGCGGTCGGCCCTTAACATCCTCGTCCAATCGACTCGCCCAATCTTGTGGTGGTATATTTTGGACTTGGAATGCGATCTTTCACCAAGCAATCCGCATGTGTTCCCATCAAAAAATATCAACGGCACGTATTATACGATGAAAATTTTACATACAGATGCTATAGACAATATTACCCTTTCAAGTATATCATCTTGTTTACACTCACGCAATATCCGATCATGATTGGTCCATCCCCCAAGTATAATCCCCCCACCTTGACAACCAACCACGTGACTCTCGATAAGTGCCACCCCCGATAAGGAATTTTCCCCGACAAACCACATCCCTCTCGCATAATTCTCATTTCCCTCCCAGTTCCTACAAGCACAACTCCCTGTCCTCCATCGATCAACCCGTGCTGCTGGCAGTACTTGCTTCTTTCTCAAGTCCTCATATCGATTCTTCACGCGCGCACTCCAATACATCATGGCCCAGGGTCTTCTGAAGAAAAGCAAGCCCGCCTCGGCAACCGCCAAGCGGTAAGATTTATCGCCCCTCCTCGCACTTTCAAACGGATCGATAGGGAATGGAGTGGAAAGGGCTAATTACTCTTCTATTGGGTAGGGCTTCGGTTGCAGCGCCCAAGATGAAGCGTGGTCCGCGCCAGATTGCGCCGAAGAAACAGGCTCTTATTCGACAGGCTAAGATGACCAAGGTATGCTATTTATTCTATACTCCCGTGTGCGGGGGAATTATCTTCTTTTCCCTTTCTCTTGTGGGATGGTCATTCTGACGGGTTGATTGTTTTTAGAAACTCACCTCTGGACTGGTCACGAAGACGGAACGCAGTCTTGCGACCAAGGCGGGTCATTTGGAGTTGTTGGCTGGTGGTAAGAAGGACAGGATGGACAAGGCCAAAAAGGAGGCCAGTAAGAAGAAATAAGTTGTGCACGCAGGCACTGGATCCTTTTTTGGGTCTTGGATCTTTCTGTGTTGGACTGGATATGTCTGCCGTACGGACCTCAATCTGTCCGTGTCTAGGTCGTGCTAGCGATGCCCATCTTATAAATGTGATACCCCCGTTTTACTACATTGATTCCTGTTTTGAAGAGCCCTCTTGCCCTAGAGACCAATCCAGGCGCTCTGAGGTCATCCAGATGATTACGAGTGCGTTGTCTAACATGTAGACTGCCCTATAGCGGCTCCTACAAGCTTCATTACCAAAGACTCCAGAATATGCTCTAATCAAATTTTTTAAGCTTCAAATCAACCCTCGCGAGAAGGAAAAACGTATGTAACACGAAAGTCAAATCCATATACAGGAAAATCCAAAAGCAGAATTTAATCGCAGAGTGGTAGGTCCATGTTGAAGATGAGCCAACAAGGTCTGTCGATATCAAAAGCCGGAAGCAGAGATCATAAATCATGAAACGGAGTGCAAGATGATGAGTATATCAGTAGTCGCGATCCATCCAAAGCATGCAAGATTAGAAGAAAAAGAAATAAGAAACAAAAAGAAATCAGGGTATCTATAAGTCCAACTCCGATGCCGCCCACACTTTGTTTTTTTTTTTTTTGCCATGTAGATGTTGCGCTTAAGCAGGATAGCGCTCCGTACTATGACCCTTTAGATTTTGGAAACCTTGGCCGGAACGCCGGCCTGCTCAATCAGCTCCTGGCCACGCTGCAGCCAAGACTGGAATCCTGCATCGGAGGCATCGGATGGGAAGTCATCCCAAACTGCATTCTCCGAGTCTGCGTACGACGACCAGATACCCTTGGGCACATCGGCCATCGACCACGATGGCAGCTTAGCCAGTACGCAAGTATAGTAAACATACAGGATGCGGCACAGGAGGTCAACGCGGTCGATGTAGTGCTGCTGCGACGGGTCGGGGGCTTGGCCACCGTCACCCAGACGCTTCCACCAGGACACTCGCCACCGCAGTGTGAGTAGGATCTGACCCAGTTCGCCCAGGAAGCGAATGTGGGTCTCGTGCGAGATTTGCTTCCACTTGATATTGTAGAAGTCGCGCTCGAGTTTGCGGAAACCCTCCACTTCGAGCATGCGGCAGATAATACGGGAGAGTTGTGCGGCCAACAGAATGTCGCGTCGCTCTTCCGGATTGTTGATGTCCATAGGGCGTTCCTCGCCATCACCGTCGAGAGGGACAAATGTGTACTGAGCGCGGGAAGGCATGTTGTTCCATCGCGAGAGCAAAGTCTATTGAACGGGCATGTCAGTGGATATGATTTTCCGTGATGCGAGATTTGTGTACAACTCACGTAGGCTTGGGCCATTGGGTCACAGTCCTTGACACAGGACAACCAGTTCTTAGATTTGTCCTTAGACTCCACGATACGACGGTCAATAAAATCGAGGAAAGTCGACTTTGAGTTGCCGTTGTACTCGCTCAGCCCCTTGAGGAATTTGTAGGTCTCGCCGAGGTCGAGAACGTACAAGGAACCCCAGCCTTGACTGGCGCGAATGTTGAACCGTCCTTGACGCTCGTTGAGGAACGACAGAAGTTGACTCAGATCGAACTCTGATGGGATTTCCATCCGAACTCTGCTAGCGCCATCCACGGTCGGATGGTTAACAGCTCGTTGGGCTATATTGAGTCAGTTCATTTGATCCTTGATCGGCTTGAGCAAGAAGAAACATACAGATGTAGTTGCAGGTTCCAAACTCTACGATGCTGGAGAAGCAGGCGCGCGCGCAGGGTTGTTCGTTGAGGGTGGGTCGGCAAGCATCGCATGGTGCGCTTCCATCACACTGTTTCAGTTAGTTTCTGCCGTGGTATACCCTCTGGTTTTTCAAGACTAACCTTGCGCTTATTCAGCCGGCACTGGACACAAGTGTCCTTGTTCTTACGGCGCAGGCCGGCATTGGCTCGCCCGACCATGCTCAGAGGGCCCTTGCGGCGAGCGCCTCGTGGAGGAGACACGAAATCGGCAGAGGCAATAGATCCGCCCTGTCCGTCCTCTTGAACGATCTGCAAGGGCTTTGGCAGAGCCTGGTCCATGGAGGACCCTGCAGATCGGTTCTTGCGCTTCCGCACGGTAGCCGCGGATTGCATGGCAAGAGCCATGGGGCGGCCTGATGAGCGCTGGCCAGCCGATGAGGAGGCCCGAGATCGCGAGGGAATGGTGCTGATGAGTGATTCGGGAGGGGTCTCGGTGACCATGAAGGCAGTAGCCTTGGCCATCGATTGCGCGCTCTCCGGAGAGCTCGCGTCAGGAGTAGGAATCTTCCACTGTGCATCATCTTCCAATGGGCGATCCGCAAACGCCGGAGCATCGTCACTGGTGGCGGAGTACGAGCACTCGTAGATTCCAGAAACGTCGCCAGACACTGAAGAGCTCTCTGACTTGTAGTGGAACCCATCTTGCACGGCCTGGCCATTCTTCTGAGAAGCGTGAAGAGGTGCCGGGGTTATCTGTGACACGGGAAGTTGCGACTCCAGGCTGTTCAGCCATCGGGACTCGAGTGATCGAATGGATGGTTGAAAGTCGCGCAAACTGTGACTCTTGGCGTTACTCTGGTTGATCGCCAGCGGAATGGGTCCTTGGCCGGGGATGTTCTCCATGGAAATGCCATGGGGGATCTGGGGCCACTGGTCTGCCATTATGGGGAACGATGGCGGAATTTGCTGGAACATGATGGATTCGGCCGAAGCATCCGAGAATCCTTGGCCCTGAGGCATCTCTCCTACATCCTCCACGATCACGGCGCCAGTCGAGTTATTCGGGGGTTTGCCATACGGGTAGAGCATCGGGTGCTCGAGGTTCACGCCGGCTGCGACCGAGTTGAACAGTTGGAAGTGCGGCCACGTTTCCTCGGCGTGGAAGTTGTCATCGGCGGATGAGGGCAGCGTACGAGGGCTGATCGTGCCGCTACCAGTGCCCTCGGCGACGCCATCCGTGTAGTTGAAGTTCTCCGTTACATCGCGATTCCTGAAACAAAGGTCAAACAGCAGTGTTAGTCATATTTGTACCGTACCATGTACCTCGTATGGCAGCTTACACCCCCGCGGGCGATGACTCGGATGGGGACGGATGCGCACCTATTGTCCAGATGCTGAATACCACGGGGGCGATCGAGCAGCGCGCCCGTGAGCGGATCGTGGAAGGCGCCTAGGTCCGCGACATCGGCACACTGGCTCGATTCCTGGCTGGTATCCCACTCGGGAGGTTGATCGTATCCAAGGTGTTCCCACGAAGCGACGGAAAAGGCACCGTCGGTTTGCCAATTATCGAGTATTTTGGGGTCGATCCCCGCAGCCGTTGCAGCGCTTCCACAGTCCATTCAGGGTAGGTTTGGAAGTTGTCGTCGGTGGTTGCCGACCAAGCCGGAGCAAAGATCGCAAAAAGACCGGGAGAGTCTTTTGCGAGCTTTGCGGGAGTAGAGAGACTGCTATAATTATCGGTCGCGAGACGGGACCGATGAGCGACAATTCGAGATCGAGGATGGTGTGGGTGGTAGTCTAATCGAGGGGCGAAGGTTGGTGAGATGATGAATGTCGAGGGGAAGAAGATGGCTGACTTTCCCCACCACAAAGTTTTGCGTGTTGCGATCGTCTCTAGCGTGTCTTGGGATCCGCACAGACCGCCGTTGGGAACGAGTACGGAGCTTGTACGGAGTATTGTTACTTGATTGACCTCGTAGAAAGGGTAGAATTACTCTTAAGTGGGAGAGAGAGAAGCAGGTATGCTGACGTGTCGTGAATAAATAATTGGTAGTAATGGGCAAATGGGTTGTTTGATTTCTATCTACCAAGAGCCCGTACAGAAAAAGACTAGTGACTCGAAGCCAATATGCCAAGCTGCCCAGTTGTTTCCTGCAGGCCGGCCTGTTGATCGCCGAGTGCACGAGGTGGAATCATCTTACGTGAGTCGATCAGCAAATAGCCCCCTGATAGCCCTGACCATGATGAGGACCCGTAGGGTGATTTCCATGGGTCATAGCAGTCGCGAGGGGTTCATTTGATTATTAACCCTATGACCTAGAGAGAGAAAAAAAAAATGAATCACATCCAGACGGGAGACTACCGTGTACACCGTAGCACCGAGCATGCATGTCATACTACGAACAATCTACGGTAGGGTTGATAGAGTTAAACCTAGTCCTAGTAAGTTACTACTGTGCGTAGTATAATTCGTATACTTCCTTTGAATAGTGGAGAGTTGATGCTGGATAATTATCTTATTACATTTCAATTATCCTAGCCCTACGGTAAAAACCACTCGAAATCTAGTATAGCAGTGAGTTGTATAGTGCAGTTTTTCCGTACATCTTGGCAATCTCTGTCTTGGAACGGGTTGCGCTCTAAAGTATAACCTTCGCGGCCTCGAAACTATACAGACTCTTCAACTTTCCACCGCGATGTCCAAGAAATCAAGAAAAGATTTCTCCATATAAACTCCCCCACCGCCCAAACACTGTACTACTTACTACTACTAGAAATTTAATCTCCATCTAATTATCCGCTTCCTATCTCTTCATTCCCGTATTCTTCAGGCCCCAATCTCTGCAGCGTCACCGGATCGGTTCACCGCAGACTCCATCCGGCCCTGTTCTTCCCCAATTGCCGCTCCCCGCGGCCTGAACAGCTTCACCGTGCCCGCCCAGTTTCCCCGGTGTGTGTGTCGGCAATTCTAATGGCTCAATCCTTACCCAACAATTGGTTTCTGTGCCCCTTCTCCCATATAAGTACATAATACCCGTGGAGATGACCATTCTTCGAATTCATAGTGCTTTTCTTTGACTCTCTTCGATTTCCCTCGGTCCGCATCTAGACCGCAACGGACCGCCCGGGAGACTTTCGGCCTCGACGAGCAAGATAGAAGACGCGCTTTACATCCTTGTTCTCCAGCTTACAGGGCGAAGGGACAGAAAAGAAAAAGAAAAGAAAGGAGAGAAGTCCGAAAGAAATTCCATATACGGCCTTGGCGCTGAGAAAATCGGAATTGTTTCAATAGTTTCAACATGCATATCCTGGTACGTATGGAAAAGGTTTCTTCATTGCGGTCACGAGAGCTTTTCTTATCGCAACTCGATTCCTTGTTTCCCCTCTCGTTCTTGTGCCCCATCCTGGCAATGGCAATCTGGAAAAGATATGCGTCACCTACCTGCACTGCCAAGTGTCAAGCGTGACAAATGGAAAGGAAATGCTCTAGTCGATTGGTGCAGGCGATAGTCAAATCTCCAAGAATGTAACCATTCTACTGCTATCTTGGACACGCGCATCTCTCCCAGACCAAGCAGGACGACACATGAGGAAAAAATAAAGAACCGCCCCAAACGCTAACTCTTGCCAACAGCTAGTCAATGACGATGGCCCACCCAACAAGCGCCTCTCGCCCTACGTGCGCCCTCTAGTCGACGAGCTCCACGCCGCCGGTCACCGAGTCTCCGTGGCCATCCCGGCCTCCTCTCGCTCATGGATCGGCAAAGCCCACATCATCGAGGCCTCGCTAACCGCGAGCTTCGTCCACCCAGACTCCTTCCGCGACGACGGCTCCTGGGACGAAGACTACGAGCCAAGCCCTGAATCCGCACACCTCGCCGATTGGGTGGTCATCCAGAACGGCACACCGGCTAGCTGCGCCCAGCTCGGTCTATACAATCTCTTCCCGGACCGCCCGCCAATTGACCTGGTTATTTCGGGCCCAAATCACGGTCGCAATGCCTCGACTATCTACAATTTATCATCGGGGACCGTCGGCGGGGCCCTCGAGGCTGTGTTCTGTGGTCAGCGCGGTATCGCGATTTCCTTTGGTAGCAAGGATCCGCAAGCGGCGGATGTGATTGCCGCTGCGGCGCGGCATGCTGTTCGGATCGTGGCCCATTTGCTTGGCCATTGGGATGAGCGTGTTGAGCTGTATAATATCAATGTCCCTATGCGCATTGATGTCGAGACACAGCCGGTCTTGTATACGCGTACTCTGCCGTATTACTGGTCCCGTGGCTGTTTGTATGCCGAGGCCGAACCCAAGCCTACGAAAATGGTCAACGGTGCGTTGACGAATGGTGTTCACAAGGAGCAGCGTGATGGGGTTGCCGTGACTGGCGCGAATGGCGCAAACGGCGTCAACGGTGTCAACGGCGTCAATGGACATATCGAGGAGCCGAGCCGCAAGCAGCGCCATTTCAAGTGGTCTGCTGATTTGTCGGATATGAAGAAGAGACTCCAGGAGAGCGAGGAGGGTACGGATGCACACACTGTCCTTAACGGATCGACTAGGTAAGTCCTGTAAGGCGGGTAGTTCGCTTTCTTTCCTACCAGATTAGGATGCTAATACCTTCTTTATAGTGTGACCGCTCTCCGCGCCAACTTCTGGCACGTCCCCGGTCTGGATGGGCCGCTCCACCTGGATCAATAAAGACTTGGACATCTCAGCATCGGAGAATTCAAGTCTGCGATCTGAGATCCACACACCAGGATCAGGGATTCAACCTTCCACCGCGAGGATCACACATCCCCGACACGGCTTTACGAATACATAAATAATGTTTTCTTTCCTTTTGTTTCGTGTTGCGACCCCGGCGTAGGGCTATTCCCATATTGCATTTCGGTACATACCCCCCCATTTTGGATCTTACGCGGGTTTGGCTTTCGATTTTCCGTCAGAGGGACGGAGGAGGAGCGAATATGTCCGCTGGCGCATTTGTATATAGAATGGTATATCGGAGGGATTAAATTTACAAGAGAATGCACTTGAAATACTGAAGACATTGATATCGTGGATGTTTGGGTGTTGCTAGGTCGGAGTGCATAGCATGTTTGTAGGACAGTGTCCAGTCAAGGTGACGGGTCATATGCTAGCAGGTATCAACAGTGTAAGAGTGAAGAATAAAGGGGAATTGGAAATGCGGAAGCAACTCGAAAACCTGAGGGTGTATCACATAAAGAAAAGACCTATCTGCCGCCACGGACGAAAGAAGTATAGAAATATAACACCCCCCTTCTCTACAGAGCACGCGCCGCCTCTCCAGCACCACTATCCACCGTCGACGCCTGCTCAGCACGCATCTTGCCCTTGCCAACACCACCCTCGCCTACACCCATTCGGCGCGCGACATAACGCTGCGCAATGACACCAGCTGCCAGCGACAGCGTCTCCTCAATCCATTCAGCAACCCATTCACGGGGGTCGACACCACCGCTCTCGACAATCTCGGCAATAGCCTCGGGGACAACGGCGTGGGAGACATCCGCATCGTCAGAGTCCGGGGTCTCAGCTGCGGGGGCTGATGCATCGAGCCATTCGATCCACTTCGCCGGCACGCTCTGCGAAATGGTATGGAAGGCGATGCCGTGCACGGGGTCGTGCAGGTATAACGCGAACGAAATCTCCTCGTCAGCTTCGGGGGGTTCAACCACGCCGGCTGTCGCAGCCTTCTCACCCGATGCACCGGCCTGGAAGAGCTCCGCCGACACGGTCTGACTGATAGCCTGAATGGCGAGGAAGATATCACTGCTGCGCACGGGATTCGACTCGCTCAGGTCCTCGCTCGCTTGCTTCGCGGCTTCTTCGATACCGCCCCGCGTGGAGAAGTACTCTGTCGCATAGCCCTCGGCGCTGGCGCGGGCGAGCTTGGAGGCCTCGATGGCACCGCGCACAGCGTTGACGGTGCGTGGGGTGCCGGGTGTTACACTCCGCCACCAGGGTCCGTCGTTCCAGCCTGCGCTGGAGATGTAGCCGCCGACGTCGAGGCCGCGCTTTGGTGCGGATTCTTGGCCGCGCTGGATGACGAGGAGGTCGCCGCCTTCTACTTGCGACATGACCCGTGAGAAGACTGCGTAGACGAGCGGGTCAATGCCGGGGTAGCCGGAGAGGTCGTGGGTGACGTGGATTTGGAGGCGTTCGTGCGAGGAAATTGGAGGGGCGAGGGTATGAATCAGGTTGGTAAAGGTTGGGATGGCCATGTTGCGAAGCTCGCCGCCTGTAGGAGAAACGGTCAGCCGGGGAACTTTCATAGTATAACACGGCTACAACGGAGGTGGGCTCTACTTACCGAAGTCGCGCAGGGCACCAACATTGCCCTTGACTTGCTGTGCCCACCGCTGGGCTTCCTCGTTGTTCTGGATTTCCTTGACAGCAGCTTCGGCCTGCTTCACAGCAGCACCAGCCACAGCAAAGAAACCTCCCCACCATCCACCGCCCTGGCTCTGCTCTTGCTGCTGGGCAGCAGCAGGCTCGGGTTCCTGCCTTTGCTGTTCTTGCTTTGCGCTCGCACGGGGAACGTCCGTCGACAATCGACTCTTTTCCTCGCTGCTTCGCTCGATGGTGGCACTGAGGCGAGGAGACCGGGTAGCGGAGCGTGTCTTGTCTGCTGATAGTCGCGGGGTACCTGGGCTACTGCTGGGTCGCTGGGAAGCTTGCTTCTCCAGCTCAGCTAGGACGTCTTCCTGCTCGCCCTTGGCATCGTCGGCTACGGTGGCTGCTGCTGCAGGTTTTGAGGCCTTCTTGTCCGACTGTTCGATGCCAAGATCATCGAACTGAGCTAGTAGCTCATCACTGGTAGGTTTTGCGCCCTTGGGAGGCATGGTTGGTTGTTTGGGGTCGATGGGTGTATGTTCAGGAGAGGTGACGACACCGTTTGTTTGGAGCTCCCAAGGCGGCACTGCGTGTGGAGACCGCGTGCCAAGACCCGCTCAACTGCATTCTCAACCCTCGAGAATAGTTCAACATAACTGGCATTGAGAGCAGGAGAATCATGTATTAGTTTCTTTGAGTCTAGACCTATAAATTGTAGAGTCAGCTGTGTGTGAGAGAAATATCTCGATGGTTGATTGACAACCTTAGTGGTAAGGTTGTTTAAATTCCCAATAGGCTCAGACCTCGAACTATATATTACAGTAGTATTCCACCCCCAAGCGGCAAGCGGCAGCTCCACATTACTCCCCTAATCATCTGGATAGGCAAAGCAAAATCATGCTCACCCGACTGAATGAATACTTAATACTTGGTTCTGGCGAAATACCTAGCTAGATAAGTTTACTTGACTACCTTCCTTAGCCAGACACAGGAGCGGGGTGAATGCGTCTCCTAGTTGCCATACAGATCATGCTATTGATCAGATCTCCTGGCCGGATAGATTTGATATACCACCAAAGTATAAGTTGTCTTTGCAAAGAATTCTGTCAACTCTAGGTGCAGGTGTCATTCAAGACCTCTGTGTAGCAAATCCTGCGTGAACCCATGGAGAGCGCGGTGTCATAGCCGCGGTAGTCACCACCAAAAGCTCGGATCGATCCCGCTCGGCGGGACCATGCGGGGGTCGCGACACCGAACGAACGACATAAAGTATTCGGCTCCCCCACACGAAGGGACCTTCTCAAGCCATTGAATTCGTTACTTCCAATAGTGATTTGACAACCAGCTGTTCCTTCTCTGCCAGATAGTGCGAGTCCCCGTGGGCGAATATTCCGCCGTGACTAGCCGACTAACACGCCATCTAGATCCAATCCAGTCCCAATACCACAGCAAACCCTCACAATGCGTCTCCCATACGTTCCAGACCCTCCACCCACAACTACTCCAGAGGAAGCCAGAATCCTCTCCAACGTCCAAGCCCGCCGTGCTCCAAACCCTCTGCTCCCCCTCGACCTCGCCCTCCTACACTCCTTCCCCGTCACGGACGGATGGAACTCCTTCATCGGTGCAATCCGCACCCGGACCAGTCTCTCCACCGTGACTCGGGAGCTTGCAATCTGTCGGGTAGCGGTAATCAACGGCGCGCTCTTCGAATGGGAACAACATGCACCACTCCTAACGGAGGGCGGACTGAGCGATGAGGCACTGAAGGTCGTTGGAGATGCCGAGGCTGATTTGGACGGCGAACTAGCTGAGCGAACGTTGAGTCTGGAACAGAGGGCCGTTGTGAAGTATACGGATGCTATGACTAAAACTGTTACGGTGCCAGATGAGGTCTTTGCGGAATTGAAGGGTTGTTTTGGTGATAAGGAAGTTGTGGAAATCACCGCTACTGTCGCGGCGTATAATTGTGTTAGTCGGTTTCTGGTGGCGTTGGATGTTGGAGAGAAGAATCATTAGACTCTCTGGGATGGATACAGATGTGGATATGGATGCATATTATTTTCTTGTTGAGTAGCAAGCCAATATCGAAACTTGAATAGTTTCGTATCGGTGTTCACAGGATATATCTCGCGGGGAGTGTAGGGTCTTAGCAAGGTCTCTTCCCGTCCTGGAAATATTTATACCAGTCTTGTCTAGACTCAGGAGTTTTTAGTTACAAGCATATCATCGTGGCATTCCCCAGTGAAGTCGACACAAGCCATTAGCGCAAAATAACCAGAGAAAATGGAACCAGGTAGGTTGAGAATCCCATACAGAGGCATATCACGCCAGGGACCCCGGGAAGTTGGGAGGTATGACCCAGAGCCCGATCAGACAAAGTACTTCGTAAGCAGGAGAGGATGTAAGTAACTAGTTAATTAGGTCAAGAAGTCTGACGCCGAGGCTTTGGGGAGGAACTATGGAAGCAACTTCCACGCGACCACAAACACAACTCGACTGTTGTGCGACCGTAATATCACGCGTTTCCCGTAGGATCTCAACGTGGCAAGCACGGGAAAAACACATTTGACAATTTCCAACTGTCATACGATGGCCCTGCAGACGCGAATCGGAAAAAAATAGTCAAGTCCAATATTGGCGGTCCGTGCTCGCAGGATAGACCATGATCGGAACTGAGGGGCCCAACAAGACGTGAGGAATATCAGTGGTCTAGTCTATGTTCTGCGTTTGGGGCTCTCTCGTTCCGTGTCTACCAACCCAGGTGTTTTAGACCCATCCTTTGGTCGCGTGCGTTGCAGAGTCGACTGGAAAGTACGTGCTTGTGCGAGTATAGAGAGACTTGCCCATGCGGTCCGCAGGTGCATTAGTTGTCTCCCCTTGCGGCAGATGGGGAACCCCCCCCTGATCGTGACCGCAATATGGAATAGTGGATGGACCGGATGGTCATTATTAAGACCATGTACAATCTACACGTTGGAGTGCTAGGAGGAATCGGCATTGATCAAGATCGATCGTTGGGTGTGCTGCTGGCTGCACAAATTTCCGGGACTTTGCTCTAGCCTCCGGAACAGGCGGGACATTCAACGGTGCTCGGGGGCAAAAGTTCCTTAGGCAGCTGGATGAATGAACTATCGTTGCCTTGAGGGTAAGAAAGATGTCGGAAGATGTAGACGGGATCGTTGCATTGGAGAATTGAATCGTTGCCTACGCATTCTCAGCATGAACGGGATTTCTTTTTTTTTTCTCTATCATACTCCCAGAGTATACAGTCCGTCATGATACTCGATCTAGCGTTGGCGGACTAGCGGCTAACTACATGGCGGCCGCCTGATTGGCCCAGTGGGAGCGCGGTGGAGCCAGCGGTAGTCCCAAGCAGACTAACGCGATTGAGGGAGTCTCCCTACCAAACAGCCAAACAGCCAGCAAAGCCAACGGTACGGGGCCGCAAAGAGCCCACTGCCTACTCCGACTACTCGCTGCCTCAAACCTCCAATCCTGTACAAACTAAATCTGCCCTCAAATCTCTTCTTTTAAAGCTTCATCCCTCACCCTCTCCACCACCTTTTCTCCTCCAACTGTTTCTCCAGCTTTCTCCTCTCTGCTCAGCCTACTTCACACATCGCCCTTTCTCATTCTTTTGGTCCCGCGGTCCCTCGGCTGTGAGATCCTTTTTTGCCTTTCTCATCCTTCTCATCTACATCAACCTCTCTCTCCCACTTGTTTTCGCCAAGCATCACGCTTCTCTTCTCGCGTGGATGTTTTGACGAATCTGACCTTCATCTCTTCGTTTTCTTCTTCTTCTCATCCATTTCCCCTTTCTTCCATCTCTCGCGGTGGTTGTTTTTCTCATCCTCGTCCACCCAGCCTTCTCTGCTCTCCCGTTGTACACATCCCTGGCAGTTCCTGCGCCAGTGACCTTTTCCAACCGTCTCGCTCCAGTTCATCAGTAATTGGTTGAGACACCTCTGAACACGACCTCGACCTTAACCTCCCTCTCGATCCTTTTATGGTAAGTCCCCGTTGTCGCGTGTCGTGCTCGTTTTTCTCTACCTGCCGCTGCTCCTGTACTCTGTCAAATACACTTCGGGGTCAGATCCTGATCCACACAATTTGCCGCGACCGTGTCTGCATCTACCCTCCATCCCCCCCTCCTCATGATCACTCGACGGAATATTCCTGTCTGATCGATTGCTTCCATCCTGTTTATCAAATTACGCGCCTTTGGTTTTCTCGCCTTTTCATGTATTCTTCTGTTCCCTACTGCCGTCCTCACCCTGCCCCGGGCGAGGTTCCGGATTGCGCTGCGATTACTTTACTGGCGTCTTGGCACCGCAAGCGAACCGTCCACCCCAAACTAACTCATCTATACAGACCTTCTCGCCATACATTTTCTCGTCTTCACGGCACGACGCGTGCCACGTTGGCCCGGTCTAGAGGATCCTCAGACTGGGAATTCCCTTGTCTTCCCCCTTTTTTTTTCTTTCTCTTTTTCCATACCCCTTCTTCTTTTCTCCCTTTTCTAAAAAATGGCCCCTATCCCCCGGGTCAATCTGGTTGATATGGACAACCAGTCCTCCGATGTGGGCGACAGCCCTGTACGTCGCCAATCCTCTGAGCCATTCCGCCGACCTCAGTCTACTTCAACTCAAATCTCTGTTTCCTCTGAGCGGACCCAACCTTACCGGTCCTCTGAGCACCGCCCAATGGTTTACCCATGCGATTGGTGCGGGAAGCTCATTGAGCTCCCAAATGATGCAAGCCTTGAGGAAGAGGCGATCAATGCCCACGTCCTTGCTCACCACCCCGAGCAACTAAAAGGGCAAGTGGAGTACGACGAGGTCGAAGATGGCACCTTCGACGAAGAGGAGGAAGAAGATGCCGAACTTGACGGCGGTGAAGATGAAGAAGGCGACGTGGCTGCAGAAGCTGAAGAAGCCGAGGCGGAGTTGGAGGCCGATGTTCTCGACGATGTCACTGCTCGAGAGGAAGGCGAGCTTCACGACGCCGAAGCGGACGAGGAAGACCTTGCTGAGCTAGTGACTGCAGCTCCCTCCGTCCAAGGCGATCAGAGTGACGCGGGAAACGGCCCCAACTCCATGGCCATTAAGCCTTCTCTCAAGTTCGCCGCCGCCAACAAGCACAAGGACCTCGGCTCGGCTCGACAGGAGGGACTAGACCGACTGATCAACAAGTTGTCCAACCCTCGGAGCAACTTCCCCGAGGAATATCGGCAGCGGGTCGCCGAATGGCAAGGGCCCGAGATGGAGACGCGCCTTCCGAAGATTTGGACCCTCCACAGCGTGGAGCTCTTCTCCCCCGGCTACGAACAGGAACGGGCCAAGGTGGACACCACCTGGCAACAAGCGTTTCAGGGTGCCAAGCCCAAGAAGCGCGAAGCACCGGAGCCATTGATCCGGCCGGACCCTTACAAGAAGGTCAAAGTTGACCGGGGTCAATTCCTTGAGCTCAACCCGCTTGACGATCTCGTGGAGATGCTGAAGAAGCCCGATCAACTCTCATATGAAGAGTTGTACGCAGCCACCGAAGCTGCTGGCTTTGCGATGAAGGTTTGGCAGGACGAATACCTGGCCCTCGACAAGCTCTTCGTACGGGCACATCGCCACATTCGCGCTCCAATTGTCGAGGATACCAAGCGCGAGTTCTTGCAAGCCGGCAAGAGAAAGAGTGGGCAGCCAATGGGGCGACTTCCAGAACCCAATCTCGACTTTGAGGACAAGAAGGAGGCCATGTTGTACGGATACCGATACACTCCTTTCCAGCTGAACACCGCCACGACCGTGAGCCGCATTCCGCAAAATCCGTTCGTCCAGGGCGGCTTCGTGCCAACCCCTGCACAGGGACGAAAGATGGCTTCCAAGGTTCCACCTGGAGAGCGTAATCCGGACGACTGGCCGGCTGTGGTTCGCGACGGTGTTGAGATGGTCCCCAAGTTGTGGGAGGAGCCCCAAGCTCCCGTTCAGGCCAAGGTGACCCGCAAGCGCAAGGCGGCAACACTGGAGACGACCTTGAAGACCGACACGGAGGAGACACAGCAAGAATCTCCCGACGCTGACGAAACCGAAGAAGAATCGGCTCGCCCACCAAAGCGTCGTGCTCGGGGAGGAGCTCGTGGTGGTCGTCGTACTGCCACCTTCGAGGCCTACCAGCCTGAGGAAGTCTCTGCTCCTGTCATTCATACTCCTCGCGGTCGAGGTCGAGGTCGGGGTCGGGGTCGTGGACGTGGACGTGGTCGGGGTCGGGGCGCTGGCCTTCAGCCAGCTGAGCCTCGTGCGTCTGTTGATGCAACTCAGACGACCACCACAACGCAAACGACAACTTCGGGGCGTGGGCGCGGTCGTCGCGGCGCAAGCACGGTTGTGAGTACAACCACAACCACTCCGGTGGCACCTCGCTCTGCAGCTTCGCCAGAGGAGTCCACACCATCATTTGTGGACATTTCGCCAATGCCGGAGATGCCCGCGGCGGCTAGGTCTGCCCCCGCAGTCAAGAAGGAAGTGCCCGTGGAGGATCCGGAGGAAGCGCGACGGCAGAAGATCCTAAACTCGAAGAACCCAAAGCGCACCAAGGCAATGCTGGACCATTGGGAACGGTTCAACCGCGAAGGTCGAATCCGCAACCCCAAGCGGTCCAAGGCGCAGATCGAGTCGGATAAGGCGGCCGACGAAACCCGCAAGACCAAGGAGGTCCCGGGTCGTCACCGGTCGTCGTCGTCGTCGCTTGCCCCGATCCCCGCGGGCAACCTCGCCCCCAAGGCCCCCATGGGTATGCCACCCATGGTGGGTGTTCCTCACCTGGCGCCAGGTCCCGTCCCTGGCCCAACCCTGCCATCGCTGAGTATGTACGGTGCTCCTAACCCGTACGCTCCGCAGCCCCCAGTGGCAGGGTTGGGTCAGCCCATGCCTCAATTCGCGCCATTCCCATACCCTCCGGGATATGGGATGGCACCCATGCAGCAGGGTCCGCCCCCGCCAGCCCCTCATGACCCTCATCGCCGAGGTGTCTAGGGGTGGAGGCCTCTCTTGCATAGATGAGGTGAGAGTTGTTCTGCTCGGTCACAAGCAGGGCGGCGCTCACCTTCATCTTATGTACAACATTACTTTGGCTTCGCATAGCCACTCATCAGGCTTGCGAACGGGGCTCGATCTGGGTCAGCCCGGTGGCCGTGTTTTTCTTTTCTTTTTTTTTTTTCGCGTTTTTACTCTCTCTGCCTTTTGTTTGGCGTTGGTGCAATATGCGCCTGGGTTCTGGTTCTGGTTCTGGTTCTGGTTCGGGTTCGGTGTGCTCTTAAGCACGCCCGGTGTACATCTACTGGGAGGACGGTGTTGGTTTCGCCTGGCCGCAAGGCCAGATATGTATTCTACAGCTGGGAGGATTTTTTCTATATCCTCATTTTGTTCGTGTATGATAGCCACCATGAAAGCCAATAAATGGCGTTCAAGAACAACCTTAGGTGTCGACCAATCACGTGCTTAGTAGTTTTCCTGTGACCGCTTTCGCTCAGCGCGAGACTGCGTCACTTCAATTCCTAACTTGCCCCATCCCATCGCAACGATACCGTCTGAGTCCTTCTCATCCGCATCTAGGGACTGTTCAGCCGTCAAATTTACCAGGTTTCTATTTCTACATACACAATGGGCAAGAAAAGACGCGGTCCGACGTTGGAAGAGCTCATGGCTCGTCCATGGTGCTACTACTGCGAGCGCGACTTCGACGACTTGAAGATCCTCACCCTTCACCAGAAAGCGAAGCATTTTAAATGTGATCGCTGTAATCGGAGACTAAACACAGCCGGAGGTGAGTCCCTCATCTTTCTATGTGACAGTATCCACAAGTTTCAAGACCCTAACACCATGCACCTTCAGGTCTCTCGGTGCACATGAGCCAAGTTCATAAGGAACAGCTCACAGAGATTGAAAATGCCCTGCCCAACCGGTCAGGCCTCGACGTGGAGATTTTTGGTATGGAGGGTGTCCCCGAGGATGTCCTCCAGGCTCATCAGCAGCGTGTGGCAGCTCAGTATCATCAGGCTGAGGCGGAGCGACAAGCCGTGACTGGTAACCCACCATCTGGCACCGGTGCTGGTGGACAGCCAAACAAGAAACCCAAGTTGGAGGATGTTTCGGATATCAAGGCGCGATTGGCCGCGCATCGTGCCAAGCGCGCCGAGGCTGCTGCTGGCGGTAGCAGCGGCGAGGCGACACCTCTCGGTGCTGGGCAGTCTGTGTCCACCCCAACGTCATATGTGAGATATCCATTCTTGAGGCGATATATACTCGTCAAAACTAATGGCTTCTTTCCAGGGACAACCACCCGCTACGGCTTCACCAGTATCGCAACAGCAGCCCCCAGTGCAGCTCACATATCCCCCACCGTACGGAGGCGCCCCAGTCCCTGCAGTCCCTGCCGCAGCCCCCTATCAACCACAGACTGCCAGCCCAGTTTACCCGGCATTCTCCCCACCTGGTGCTGCTCCTTACGCTCCTTCCCCGACTGGTGTTACACCTTATCTTCCCGCAGGCTATGCTCCTCAACCATTCCCCAGCCAGCCTGCCGCACCCGGCTATGGGGCTACTCCGCCTCCCTTCCCCCTGCAACAAACACCTCCGACAGACACCGGCCTTCCTCCTCGACCCGGCAGCCTGCCGCCACTCGCCGGCCTCCCACAACGACCTGCATTCGCCGCCCCTCCCATCAACGCGCAACAGATGCAACAGATGCACATGGGCCACCCGGCCCCGCCTACACCTGCGACTGGTTACACCAATGGCAATGCAACTCAAACACCCGGACAGATCTCGTCATCCGTTGATGATTTGATTTCAAGCGCAGCCAAAGAAGCTGCCGCACCTGAGAAACCAGCTAAGAAGGACAAGGCCAAGAACACTCGGATGATTTATTCGGATGAGAATACCAGCCCCGAAGAGAAAATGGCCAAGCTTGCACGGTATGCATTCTCACGATCCGCTTTCCAGCAGGAGACAGCCCTGGGAGAGATTCCCGCGTCGGTGATTGTGGGTACGATTCGCGACCAGGATACGGTGCTCGATCCGGCGCATTAGAAGATGAATCCATGAGCGAGGCTTTTATCTCATCACCATCAACCGGAACGCCAATGGGACCGAGAATCGGACGAGATCGATTTATGAGAAAGTTCGAAACAACGAATACGAAAGCGCCACTTTGCGCATTACGGGAGACGGATGGATGATTAAGGCCACGGACTCCAGCTAAGTTCGACGCATACTTCTGGCTACGCATGAGAAATTGGTTTTTGGCTGGTCGGTTTTCTTTACTTGCCCTGATCCATTAGTAGTTCTGGCGAACAAAAAGTTGAAACATGAGAACGAGCAAAGCCTCTCCTGCGATTGCCAATGCCGATGCATTGAGGAGCTCCCTCGATCTACGCGATGACGTGTGGACTTGTCGGTGAGTCCCATTGGATTGGCAGTGTCCCCTGCACACTACTCGAGACCGCCAGTGAGCTGTGATGAAATTGATCAGACCGTACGTCTTTCAGCCCTTGTCAAGCTTTTCTTCTTTCATTTGTCCTTTTTCTACTTTACCTTATAACTTGCATCTTGTTTCTTGTTCGATGGCATCTCAGATCTGGACTCCGGTTTGGATAAGGTGGGTTCTTCTACCTGCAGGATCGACAATGTCATGCCACTCATGATGTAAGTTCCATCTATCTTTGGCGTTTCGGAGGGAGGCCAATTACCCTTTGCTGGTTTCAATGCACGATCTAGACATTCTTTATCCTATACTGCCCCAGTGTCCGCCCAATTGTAGATTTGCACTACGTCTAATATGACAGACCCTTGTCATTCACAGACCACAGAAAAGCCCAATCAATCAATCAATCACATTGATAGAGTATCCTCGCTAGAAACACAGCAAAGCAGTAAACGAAAGACGTCCCTAGGAAGCCCTTATCATACCACTCCCAAACATCGTATCACCACCCCCAACCAGCCACTCAATCAAACCAAAAAAGCTTAAACCCTCTTCTCCCTCAGCGCCAACCCAAAAATTACCACTCCATACGTCGCCAGAATACTCAACCCCATCGGCACCGGCTTGCCCCCGGTCTTAATCGCACGCGGGATTGAGCTCCCACCCAGCACGGTCGAAGCCAGCAACCCGATTTCCTCGCCGTAGGACTGACCAGCGCGCAGACGCAGGAAAGCGAGGAGGTAGAGGGCGCCAACGGAGAGACCGGCCGCGATGGAGGGAATCGAGCCGGTGCGGGCGTACCCGATTGCGCCGCCAAGGGAGGTTAGCAGGGAAAGGGCTAGGGCGGAGGTTGTTGGGAGGGGGTTTGTGGAGGACTGTAGTTATAGAAAGTTGTTAGTCCTGTGGCTTTGAGGGGAATGGGAATTGGAGGGGAGGGGAGGGGGTTGTAGGTACCATTTTTGCGATTGTGGTAGGTTCTGTTGTGAGGGGTTTTTGTAGAGGTGGTGGTAATGGAGTTCGAGATGGGAGTTGGGTTTATTTACTTGGAGTAGTTACGGCTGAGTTGACCTGGGGAAAGCACCGCGGTGGGCATTAGTCAGATGACGTGCGGAGTCCAGACCCGGAGATTCGGAATGCCGAGGCCGAAGTATATCCCCCAAGTATATATACGGCGTAGATCTTACGATAAATCTAGGGACTTGGCATGGGTTCTAGTCCTGGCAAATCAAACTGGTTCTGGGTATTGCTGCTTTTTCTGGATTAACATTATAGACTGATATAAGTGGAGAGGATGGTATGCAGGTATTCGAAGTTTTGCTACTTTCTTCTAAATCTAAACGTACACGATTCCAGTCAATAATTTACAGCGTAAGATTAAGCGCAAGTAAACACGGTGTTTATAGGTAGCTTCCAACGTCTCTCGTTTTATACAATCTAGTTATATCATTCATATAAAGTTTTTATCAACTGTGACTTCAAGTTCATGGGGGGACATAATCCATAAGCGCCCGAAATTATGGCTCATCACAACGTCAGCTTTAACACCCAGATCGCAAGGATCTACTCAATCCTCACGAGTGACCTTTTTCGCAGTATCCACCGGAACTGCGGTTGCACCGTAACCATTACCACGAGGCTCCCCATTCGCAACTTCCTCCTCTACCTCCGCCTCTTCTTCTTCCTCCTTCTGCTCCCCATAGAGACCATCTTGTTCCACAATCCAAAGAGCAGGAATAATACTCGTCAACCCCAGCGTCCCCAACAACCACCAAGGAACGATAACGAAGCCCTTCTTGATTCCCCACGAAAAAGCAGCCCCAATCAAAGCCGGACCCGCCGCACGACCCAGCGCACTAACGCTAGTTCCCACACCGTTCAATGTGCCGAGGACCGTCATGCTAGAGGCGGAGTTGGTGAGTAAGATTGTGCAGCAGGGGATACCGAAGACCGTTGCAACGAGCTTGGCGAGCATGAGAACTAGAACTGCTGGGATGCGGAGTCTCTCGGGAACTAGGGCGGTGAAAGGGGTGATGAAGAAGATGATTGGGAGGAGGATGGCGGAGAATTTGAAGCAATTTAGGACGCCGTAGTGTTTTGCGACGGGTGGGAAGCAGAGGAATTGGATGACCATGCCGATGACGCCGATGATGGTGTAGAACATGCCGATTTGGGGGGCGTCTGGTAGAGGGTGGGTTAGTGGTATACTTTGTGACGTGCGGGTGGTTGCGCAAAGCAAGAACTCGTGGAGGGGGAACTAACCAACACCGAATCCACTGGCAAATTTGAAGGGGAGCTGCACGTTGGGATTATCGTGAAGGTCCTGAACAGGGTAGTGCAGGAAGACTGGGAAGACCGAGTCAAAGGCCATGCCGAGTCCCGACATCAGGGTATATGACAGAAGGATCAATCTAGACTGAGGCGTGAGGATCTGAGACCAACTCGGTCGTGTGACTGGTTTCTTCTTCTTTTGAACTCTCTTTCCCCCGGTAAGCAAAGCCGTGCGCTCTTCATCTAAACCCTTCAATTCGGCTTGACGCTGTCTGCGCGACATGCAGGGCCTCGTAAGGGCCTTTCCCAGTGCAAGACCGGGGTCATACCGATCCTTCTTGGTCTCTAAAGTCTCCTCCAAAAACAAGAATCCGGTCGTAATACCCACGATAAAGAAACAGGCAGATGCAAGATTTGGCAAGGCAAAGGGGTACTGTTTCAAGAACTCAATGCCCCCGAATAAACCGGGATGCTTCTCTGCCGGGCGCGCGAGAGCTCCGCCAAAGGCAGGACCGAAGATACTCCCAATCGTCCAGACGAGGGGCATCAGGCTGAAGGCGCGTGGCTGCAGCTCCCGCTGTGGTACGATCTCGGCGACCATCGTGCGCAGAATACCCACATTACCGTTCATCAGGCCGACCAGGGCGCGAGAGATGAGAACCATCGTCAGGGTTTGCGACATGCCCAGCATGATGGAGATTAGCATCGTACAGGCAAGGCCCGATAGGATGATTGGTTTGCGACCGACATAGTCGGATAGAGAACCCCAGGGCACCGCCATGATGGCCTGGCATACGGATGCGACCGCGGTAGAAATGCCGGCCCATTTGGCGACCTCGGTCTTGGGGACACCGACATATTCGATCAGTTCAGGCTGTATTGTATACGTTAGACTTGAATTCTTTTTCTGCTAGAACATGTACAGAAGTGCTCAAAAGAGGGGGGAAAGCGTGGGAGAAAATATCCAACGTCGGCGAGATGGCCGAGATTCGAAGGCGCGGTGTGGGTGGTTGCGACGTACCAAGTAGGGCAGGACGGAGGTGAAGACGACTATTTGCCAGAAATTGTGGTTAGCGATTGCTTATTGGGCCAGCAAACAGCTAGTTCTCCATCTGATAGATCTCTGGATCTACCAAGATATTCCATATCTCATAGGCCTACGGGCCAGGGAGAGCAAACCTACGTGGCTCGGCAAAGCGACATATTGCTAATCATCCCGGTCAGTTTAGAAATTTGCAGTTCATAGAAGAAACCAAACATACAAAGAATAACCAGCTGCCGCACGGGGAGCTTTGCTTTTTGCATTTTTTATAGTCCCGTGCTGTTCGTAGATGACGACAGCGCACGACACCCTAACAAGAGCAGAAAAAAAAAGAGCAAAACGCAGGAGGGGAGGAGAAAAGACAAGAGAAGAGGGTCGGATGGCGTATTCACAGATCGGTGACCGCGTCGAGGGTCCGAGCCGCTGCCTGATCGGTGCCGACAGTCTTTTCTAGAGCGAGTTAGACTCTCGGACCTCTGAGTCCACTGCGGGCTAATGATGCGAGGAGATGCTGCTGCGTTCGGGCTGTCGGCAAAAAACGAGTTCTCCACTTTGGCGCGCCTTGGGTCAGCAGTCGTGGGGTTGCATTTCCAGTCCGACACAGGACGAACAAGAAAAATAAAAAATGCAGAAGTGTATATAGCAAGGAGATACGGAGCCTTCATATTGTGATCGCCCGGGAGCACTAAGTACAAACCGAAAGTATAGTTCGACCGATGCATTCATAAACACGGTGCGCCTTTTTACCAAAGTATACACACCAAACATCTACAGCTATATTTGAACTCTCCCTCGTATTGACCCCAACAATGCCCGGGAAATCAGCATCCATGGAGATCGAATCCGAGCTCTCCGTCCGATCCCAATCTCGCCCAACTATGACAGTAGCTTGGTCGCCGCATCAATCCGTTCCTGGATAATACGACTCCATTTCTGTACTCGAAGAAATCCATGCAGTCAGTCAAGCGGGTCTTTCTATGTGAAATCATGTCCCACATATCATCAAAGTTGTCAACTCACCTTGGCATTCTCCACATCGCCGTCATCAAGGCTCTCCACCAGTCCGGGGTAGGTGGCTCCGGAGTAGCCGGTCCAAATACCGGGTGCAAACACAACGTGCTTGAACCAGTTGCGCCCGTCCAGACCGGGCTGATACAGGAATGATCGCTCGATGCGCTTATACTTATCGTTGGCGACGCGGATCAGGAAGTATAGACGGACCTTCTTCCACCAGTGGTACCAGGGAATGTCCTCATCCAACTTCTTGGCCAGCGATGCTGCATAGGCATCGAATGCGGTCGCCGCCGCCTGGAAGTTGGAGATCGCCCGGTCTAGGTGGTCAAATTTAAAGGGGGAATGCTTTGGTAACTTGCCCGCCGATGGCTTGACGCTTTGCAAGTACGATTCCAGCCCGTCAGCATAGTCCCCTGCGCTGAAAGCGATCACTGGCGACTCCACCAGACGTGCCGCCGCCAGTGCCCAGAGCTTCGTGGTCGTGAGGTGATAAGACCAGTTTGGATCGCCATACTTCTCCATCCACGCGAAGCTGTCGTAGTTGGAGTGGTAGTGGTAGACGGGGTCATTCTTCGCGTGGCTAAAGCCAAAGTCCAAACTGGCCACGCCCGCAAAGTCTTGGAAGGCAGTAAAGTCACTACCACTACCCATGGTCGAGATGTGGCCGTCCCAAACATCACGAACGGTTTGGCCAGGGACAGTCTGATTCGGATGCGATACGAGACCAGCCACTTCGTAGATCACCTGGTTCAGCAACGGTGCAGCACGGGGGCCAAAGTGGGTGCCAGAGGCAGCCACATCAACATTCAGATAGGCAACATTAGCCTTTGACAGCCAGGGGAGGTTCTCCTCGACCCACTCGGTTGAACCGAGCAAGCCATACTCTTCACCATCCCAGCTGGCAAAGACGATCGTGCGCAGCGGCTTCCATCCAGCCTTCAGAGCTTCACCAAAGCTGCGAATGACTTCGTTCATGGCGGCTGAACCGCTGTTCGGGTCGCCGGCGCCGCCAGCAATCCACGCATCGCGGTGATTGCCCAGAATGATGACCTCGTCCGGAATAGAACCCTTCAAAACACCGATCACATTCCACAGGGGAGTAGTGACATACTGCTGCTGGTTCTCGAGGTTGATAACGACATCCTCTGGCGAGGGTCCAATGTTATATTTCACGCCCTTGTGGCCAAGAGCACCACCCTGCCAGTACTCATTGAAGTCCGAGGCCTTCGGGCCATGTCCATTGAGCGCCTTCAAGAAGGGGATGACTTCCTTGTAAGAGATTGGAAGCGAAGGAATAGCGGGAATAGAGCCGTGAGGGTCCTGACGCTCACAACCGGGCTTGGATGGGTATCCCGGAGTAGTAGGATCACCCGGAGCAATGCCTGAATCCAAGAAGTTAGCTGAATTGTAATAGTAATTGGATTCTTCAAATCACTGGGAGAGCGAAGACATACTCAGGAACTGCGTGCTGCCCCTCTGAATAGCACTGGGATTACGAGCTGGGCCATTTGGATAGGCCTCGTAGCCATTCTCCTCAGTAATCTCACCATCCTCTTGGGGATCACTGTAGATGAGCACACCGACGATTCCGAGCTCCTGCGCACGCTTCACCTTCAAGCCACGGAAGTTTCGGCCGTACTTCACGATAGCGATCTTGCCTTCCAAGGTGATATTGGCATTCACTAAGTCCTCAAAGTCCCAGTATGTGCCAAAGTTGGCGTACACAAATTGAGCAGTGACATTGCCACTAGCCGAGTATCCGTGGAACACAGGAACCCGATCGGGCAAGCTTGAAGTAGGATCCTCCTCCAGCACATCCTCCTCCAGAGTAGCCTCGAAGGTGACCTCGGTATCATCACCAGACTTCTTCAGCAGGGCCAAGCGATGATCCAGTGGGTAATTCAGGTAAATATCATAAGATGCAAGCGATACATCCTCAACACCAAATTCCTTCCATTTGTCCATCGTCCATAGCGCCTGGCTCAAGTTCTTGCCAGCCAAGTGGGGCCCGGCGGTATAGTACTCGCTCCACTCACGGGCCTTCGCCGCGGATGGGGTGTTGAGGAGAATCTGTTCAAGTTGATCATAGGGCAAGCCATTGCCCTGAGGCCACGCGTCATGCGGAAATGGGTTGGCACCTGGTAGATAGGACCAAATGGAGCCGTGTTCGCGGGGCAGAACCGCGGACGGGATCAAAAAGAGGATGACGACAATCACCAAAAGCGTGCCAAGCAGAAAGGTACATGTGCGACGAAGGGCACCATGAGGGTACCGAGGTCGCCGAGGTGCGACATTGACCTCGAGCAGAGGCGTTGTCTCTGAATATGGCATTTCCTTTTTCTCTCTCATCTTCGACAATGGGAAAAGGAGAGAACGAAGAAGGAAACAAGGGCAGCTGGTCGAGCAGCTCTTCTCCGCACTTTATCGCGTTATCAGCTTACTAAACGCCTCGCGGGATGGGCCGCCTTCAGAAGAGATCCACTTTCCTGTTCAGAATTCCATACAAACAAATACAAGTAATAGAAGATAGGAAGCAACGTCAATGAGGTCGAAGAACGAACAATTTGTCCATCTCTTTCTACCAATCAAATTTGGAATGGCGTAGAATGGCGTAACATGGCGGAATGTTACGCGGCCCCATCTCGAGAGACACTAAGACAAGCTACAGTCAACCTTTCCCCCATCTATAGTTAGTGGCCGTTCATTAGTATTGAGAACATGGTACTTCTGCCCACCAGCAAAAAGAGAGGTAGTGCAGGTATCATATTCGAAATACTAATGAGCGCTGACTATACGTAAGTTGTTCAGGTCTGTACCAGCATATTTACAATCCCAATTCTGCTTCTCGTGTCCGCCTACTATACCTTTTTCGTTCCAATGCAAAACGTTCTAATACTAAACGTTCTATTTCTAAAGATATGGAATCTACTCTGCTTGAATAATTATTCCTTGGTTCCCGCTTCTCCGACGTCCTTAACGAGAGCATCAGGGTCCCAGACGAAGCCCTGGGCATCCCAGCATTACACGACCATCTCAGAAAAGCTCCATGGCGATGCAATCTTCGCATGATACCAGATGGACGGATAGTCCGAAGACGCCATCCACACAGATCTTCGCGGTGATGGCAATGGATCAATCGTATCATACGAGACCACCGTGTATGATATGATTAGGGAGGACGCTCGAGGTTACGCCGAAGCTTGCCCTGACCTCTATCACCGTGCTTTGCGTTTCTACAGCGAGACAACTCCAAATGATACTGGACGAGGTATCATTGATGGACTATTGAAGGTTAGGTCGGATCAAGGCTTGTGTGGTTCAAATGGTATTCCTCAATATTGCTCGGAAGCAAGACTGTCACGGACGGTTGGCAAAGAATTATCGCAGGCACTTTTGACCTCTTGTGAATGAATTCCGGAAAAAAATATATCTTAAAATCTCGATATTCAACAATTAGAGCAACATGGTATCACAAGTGCTATCATATACAACCGCTAAGACCACATGGAGAGAAGAAATAGAAAGTGAAAAAAATGCAATCCAGCCCGAAACAACAAGATATATCAGAGCTCGATTTTGATAGTCGATAGTCCAAGTCAAGAGTGTCTCAGATGCATCCCCGTCAATCTTCGTCTTCAAATGCCTCGGCAAGATCATCTGGAATCGGTACTTCATCGTCCAGTGCGGGATTAAGCTTCTCGCCCAGTGAAATACTCTCCCGAAGAACTTGACGAGCAGCATCATCGCTGACTTCCATGTCTTCCTTGACTAGGCGGACTGCCAATTCGGGAACCAGGACAGACTGGGCATAGCCGACGACACCTGCTTGCTTGACAATGTGGTCGGACGTTGCCAAACGGCGTAGTTTCACGGCAAAACGATCGGTGAGAAGTTGTAACCTGGTCAGATGTTAGTACTTGCGTCTGTAACTCTCAATTGACAACAGGTTCCCTGCGAATATCTTACATTTTCCCAGACCCTTTCGTCCCATAATACCCACAAGACATGGTCTCAAGGCCGTCTCCAGCCAGAGTAAGACGAAAGTTTTGCGCTTTTCCGCTCTTCAGCGCGGTATCCAATATATTCCGATAATACGAGGAACAGTCCGGGACGAGAAGCTTTTCGATTGCGGAAAAGTGCTTCTGTACCCGCTGGTCGAACGTATTCCAATCAATGATAGGATAGCCTTGTGATTCCCATTCCTTTTCAGCAGTGTGTTGCTGATGAGACATACAGAATTGTTGTTGTTCACGGACTCGTTGCTTTAATTGTGCGCGGAAAATCTCGAGTAGTTCGGGGTCGACTTCTTTTTTGCACATGGGACATAATGCTGGAAGCGGCTCTCCAGGCTGGGATGCTGGGGAGCTTGGTGGGGAACTGAGAGTCGAAAGGGGTGAATCCTCGGCATCCAAGTCCATAGATAGCGGTTCCCTGAACGATGAGTTGGCCAGGGTTGAAATGGGGTTGGAGCTGACGGGGACAGTGAGAGGTATCTTGGATCCTGGTGATGACTCCGATATTTTAGGACATGACCTGTGGATTTCGTGCGTGACTACAAAGTCATTGTCCGGCTGCGAGTTGGATGTAGACTTTTTATCCTCCTTCTTGACTCGCGCTTTAGGAGTCCGTGATTTCGTACGAGGGGAGCTTGCATCGGGAGTGGCTGGTGATTGAACATAGCTGGAAGTTCGAGAAAATGAGGTCGATGACCCGTATGTGTTGGACTTTGCTCGTTTGGAGCCTTGGGAAGACCACATCATGAAGGAGTCTTCGTCGCCCATCCCGCCTCTGCTTGCTCGCCCGGGATTCTTGTCCTTATAGAACTCGAATGTTCTCTTCTTTGGTCGTGGGAAGTCGAGGTCGTCATCAGTACTCCCATCCTCGCTGGTGCTCACCGGCTCGTCATCCGTCGCGGGTTCGTTCTCAGCTTTAGACTTGGGTTCTGGTTCGTGCGGTTTTTCATCCAGCGATTCGAGATTGGAGTCATTCTCGAAATCGGCAGAGCTGAGCTCGGTCAATTCCTCTTCGTCACTTGACTCAGGCAGCTCATTTATCGTAGACTCCGGTTTGCTGGGTTTCATCTCGATCTTCTTGGTCTCCTCCTCCTTGTTGAACTTCGAATGCAAGTGCTTCTTGAATTTGACATCCTTCCTGAGACCAGCCGCCGCGACCCAGCTTGAGTCGGGCCTTTTTGTGCCTGGTCGCATCATATGACAAGGCACGTCGCTGCTGGGGCGTGGGATGGGGAGGTTGGGAACGGGCAAGCTGGTGATGCGTGCCGAGCCGATAAGAGGTCGAGGATCACGACGCGTCGATCGGCAAAAGAGCCGGGCCTGCGGTCTGTGGACACGTGCTCAATTTTAGACCGAGTACGGTGTACTCAGCATTGAGAATATGCTACCGAAAGACGACTGGACCGTAAGGATTGCGAATTGGACTGAAGATAGACAATGCGTGAGGGGAACACGCGTGACACGCCAACAAAGCAGAAGGCCCCACAAAGCGGAGACTCGCAGTTTACCGGGAGTCCCGATAGCTAACTAAGAACAAAGTACAGGAAGCTGACCACTGGATGGATGATAACTAGTTAGATTGTGAGAAATTGAGTTAAAGCTGCTTATTGAATCTTTACTCATTGTCGCCATACATGACAGCTATTCAGCCATATACACAGAGTTTCCTAAACGCCTATGCAAAGCCCATGCTCCTTCTAGAATCCCAGTAAAAGCCATGGAAGCCTTCAAGCCAAAGAGGGAATGCTGATAAGAAAAAGAAAACCAAGAATCCCCATCATTATTCAAATGTCATCTGAATTTCGTCCTCCCCGCGGCCGTGATCATGATCGGCCCAGGCATTGGGTTCCATAGCCATGGCCCCAAGTGCAGTGGCGCCAATGCCCGTAGGGATAGTAGAAGACGAGGACCGCACTTCGGGCCGCGAAGTCGTATCAAAGGTCATTTCAATTGGCCCTTCCATGTGTGAGGGGACAGGATCGGCCATGGCATGAGGGGAATGAACTTCCGTGGAGAGCTGCGGCTCCGATGCTGTCCGAGGAAGACATGGCTTGGGCTCCTTCGGTGTTAGATCATTCTGAACCGGTGTTACGGGTTGCGTAGTCGATGGGCGGTTCAGATCGAGCTTCATAGGGGGCAGTGTAGATTCTAGCTGTTTGACCTCGATCGCTTCGGAGGCTAATTCAGCTCGAATGGCTTCGATGTCGAAGAGGACGGAGCCAGGAGCACTATTCGGCTCCGCAGCGTTGTGCGGTGAAGAGTTACGATCAACATGATACGTTTCCCATGTCTTCTTCTCGGCCATCTTGCCACGCTTGAACAGGCCAAAGCGTTTCTTCTCCGGCTTCATCTCGGCATTCCGACGAGCCTCGTCAATCTCGCGAATAAGCTCCCTTTGTCTTTCAGCATGATTGTCTGGATCGGGGTCTTCGATTTCGGCGAATTCGTCTTCCAGAACCTCCCATCCGACGTGCCGGAGAATACGCGGCATGGCAGCACGATAGTCCATGTGACCGTTGACGGTTTCAGTGAGGTCGACGTTCTCCAACCCTGGAATCCCTTCGATGGGAGCAAGCCCAGAAACGCGCATGATACCACCGCTCGTTGCTCGGAAGAGGTATCCCAGAATCCAGTCATTTTTGGAGTAGCCATTGATAAATCGGCCAGAGACCACGGTACGAGCCTTTAAGTATTCGTCCTTACTGGCCACAACTGGGGAACCAAAGAGGTACACATTCTGAACAAGCCCGTGAGCACCCTTGGCAGCTAGCTCCTTCAGGCATGAGAAAATGACACGTGCACCCAGGGAGAAACCAAGCAACGTCACAGGGCGGTTGCCAAGATTGCGATCCTGCAAGGAATCGGCCAAGACCAAACCTGCTGCATTGGCACGAGCAAGTGACACGTTCCAAGGATTGTCAATTAAATAAGCGAGCTTGGTAAGAACGAGAGGGAGTTGCAGGGATGCCATGAGAGCCATCAATATAGTACTGCCTAGCACTTGTTGCAAGCCTTGGGTGAGCGCCTAAAGGGTAAATCAGTCATCGTTCGCAGTATTCGATCATGGCATAAATAGTATGATTGAGCTGTACCTCTGTCGCAAGAATATTGATCGTGTCACCCATACTGCGCAACATTTCAGGCTCCCAGAGAACCGAGTATATATCACCCATGATAGGGTCCACGGTACTGTAAGGCAATCGGACGTCGTCGACTTTGCCAGTCATCCAGCCAGAGACAGTCACGATCAGATTCAGCTTTTTATTGTTGTGAAGAGGTCGGTATTCGAATGTTTGGACAGCGCCCATCCGCCGGTGGGAGGCCTTCATACCGATGGCACTCCCGCCGAGAGTAGCGCTCGAAGCGATGAGCGCAGTACCACCAACTCCACCTAAGAAAGCACTCGTACCGGAAAGACCAACGGTAGTTAGACCAGCAGCAAGACCGGCTCCAATTACTGGAGCTAAAAGACCCGCCGAGAGACCGATGACGAGACCACCACCCACAGTAGCAAGGCCCATTATCATATACTTTTGCTTCAGGTTGGCCTTGCGACGCTTTTCCATATGCTCTGATTCATCCCATGTCTCTTTCTCGGCTTCTTCTTGCATTTCAAGAGCGTCCGTTACTCGTTTCTCGAATCGGGAGATTTGCAGCCAGGTCACATCCATGGCCGCCCCAACTCGTTCGAGCAACGTCCGAGATCGGGAATCATAGGCCGAGTCGGCAATTAGCAAGAGGAAAAGGTCACATAGTATCGTCCATCGAAGGTCGATATCGATCTTTGCAGATGTAGGTAATTGAGAAGGAGTGTGGACTTCCGGGACATCCTCGTCATCCATGTGAGCATCATAGGGCGGCGGAGAGCCCAGCTCGGAGGTCTCGGTCTCTGTAGATACCCGGGAGCCGGGGCCATTTCCGAGGGTTGGGGATGAGATAGAAGAGGTTGGGGTTTTGGGGTCATTCTCTGCCATCGGGTTCTTGACACGCGCATTCTGCATGAGGGGACGGACCAAATCTCCAGGTTGGACGCCATGCTCAGCAAGCTGCTCAATCATGAGTTGCTCGGCAGGGCTGATGTCCATGTGCATATATAATCGCCCCATCATTGTTTGACCCCACTTTCTTTGGGCATCTTGTGCTTTGAGTATCACCTTGCGCGATGATTTGGTGGTAGGTATTTTATTGAGATCCATATTCATCTCGTGAATCGTCAGGCGAACCACACCCACATACGCGATCTTTTGTGTCTCGTTCAGAAGGTCCTTCGTAGCCTGGAGCTGACTGACAGTGTCGCGAAGCTCCTCGCCTACGAAACCCGCGGAGTTGCCGCCTGTCTCGCGGAAAAGGTAGCTCGTGTCCTCGTCCATGCTGGTGGCGGATTGAGCATCTTCATCAAGCTGAACCCGAGTGTATCCCTTTCCAGCACCACCTAATCCACTGTATACTGCTTCGTCATCCTCTTCTCGAGCGCCACGAGCGATGAGCCTTCCATAGTCATCATAGTAGTCCATTTCTCCAAGAGCAGGCATTGCCTTCCATTCGTCTTCCCCGCTGTCCTCGCTGTCCTCGACAACATTTTGAGGTTGGGTCAGCCGTTGATGCGACCATTCCGAGGCTTGCGTGTCATTTGTTTTCGAGATCGACTTGCGATATGGAGGTGGGGGGTCGGCAGTTGTGTTGTGAGGCTCTTCATGTGAGGTAGCATCATGGTCTTGGGACTCGGTCTTCCTGTCGTCTTGTGCCGATTGTTTGTCTGATGCCTGTTCAACAACCTTGGCCTCCTCTTCTGCTTTGCCCTTGGAAGCATCCGCGTCCACCTCAGCTATCTTCTCCTTCAATTTGGGTTCTTCCACCACATTGACAGCTTCATCTTCGGGTTCGGATCGGCGATCGGTTTCAGGGAGATCGGTTGGGGGCCGTTCAAGCCTTGAACGCGGTCGTATGGGAAGGCCAAAGTCATCCAGCGCGTCCTCTGGTTCCTGTATTTTCGTAGGTGACGTTGATTTTGTTCCGGTACCTTCCTGCACCGTTAAACCCTCCTTCTCTTTGCCAGCATCGTCAGAGGAGGTCGCGCCCGTGACAGGAGGCTGCGGCGGCGTGGTCGATAGGGAGGCCGTCGACGAGGCAATCTGGTCGGAGGTGCCGCCGACAGTGACACCTTCAGCGGGCATGATTTCACATGGACGAATACCCTTCCGAGCGCAGGTGGTGTTTTCGAGATCCCTTGGATTTTCTCGGTGTTTCCTTCGCACGTTCCTAGCTCAACGACCAGGACAACTCGCCCATTCGGCCCAAATACCAGTGATCCCACAGCGCGAGGTGATTTTATGTTGAATCCCCCAAGATCCGATGATGGTGGATCCAGTTTGTGGTCATCGGACTGGGGAGATCTCCGCAGATGAGGAGGGTGCACGCGGGAAAGGAAAAGGAGGTTATGACTTGTGAGGGGTGGACGATTGCGCGGCGGGGCCCAGTAGACAAAGTCCCGATCGACAGATACGCTGAATTTCACGATAGTCTGCGATTGGAGGTTTTGAGTAGAGCTATATCGCTCATCAAATTAGAGAAATCTATCAATATAGTATATGTAAAAGAGAGAGGGCCGCGTGAGAGGTTTGAAAGACGTAAAGAACAATTGATCCCCGATCAGGTGCCGAAAGCGGAAGTGTGGCCAGTGGGAATGTTGAGTTGCTACAAATAAACAGCTTAGAAGAGCTCCATCGTCTACTGATCCACGAAAACAGCATCATGTCCTGCAAAGAACAGACCTGGCTAGACACTAGCCCTGGGGTATCTGCGGGATCGTATATGTCCTGCCTGTGAGATGTCGAGTGTCATTTCCTTCAAGTGGCCACTTCGGCATTTCTTTGTTTCCCTGACTGCCTGTCGATCCCTCGTACGGTCAACTGCGCTATCGTGTGCGACCCCAACAGCACGATAGGAAGACCTTATCACGATGGAGATGACCTCGTTCAGGATTCGGCCCGAGCAAAGCCACAGTGATAACCCTCCGTGTCCACTGAATGGTGCACACCCATTGCGGGTGCCGGGCGAGAGAGCCCTGATAAAGGCGCAGCGGTCAATACGAGGCGAGAGTGCGGCGGAACGTCATGCCGATCACGGTTTAACTTGAATCCATCCGATTCCCTGCTTTGCGAGGCAGTGCACGACGGGTGTACTTTTGGCCTGACTTTTTTCACCCAGGCCTGGTGTATCACCGGGGAATCTCATTGTCTTCGCCCGCACTAGCGTGTGAAGAGCTCCAGATCGGCTGCTTTGCCCATTTTCAGGCCAAAGAGAGGCTGTCCCCCATGTCCCGGGCTCCAGCCATGGCGTCATGCGGGGGCTCGGACGCTGACAGCCGGGTTTGGAGTCACTTGATATGCACAACACTTGCGGCTCTGAAGAAGGGAGGGGGTTGATTACGAGGGGTCCAATAGGCCACGGGCACATTTAATGTTGGACCCGTGGCGACTGCAGTCCTAGGGAACTCGGGCCCTACATATCATGTCCCGCTTGTTTCATCGTTCTTCTTCACTACGTTACCATCCACCGCCTGTCCACTACATTACCTGAAACAGTTTACTGAGCGGCTAGTGAGAGAGATACACTTGATAACGATGGCACAAGGTATGTGGAGCTGGTTTTGCGCTTCATAGGCCTTCGCACAAGGAACTGACGGGGATAACACTTCCATGATAGGCCCCGAGACCTCCATCATCCGGGTGGCGGGCGCGGGCTTTCGACTCTCGCTACTCCTCAACGCTGCAGCATGTCAACTTGCACAGTCTAGAATAGAGATTCACAGTATTGCCAAGGGAATCTCTCTCTTTGCGTTGACTCTGAAGCAGCTTGGGCAAGCGCTGGAGAGCACCGATCTTGGCCGAACCACCGAAGCAATTGAGAAAGCCTGGGAAATCGCCAGTCAGGGACAGTTGGTCTTTGTTGAAATCGAGCACATGCTGGACAAACTGCAAGGCACTGATGCCCATGAGGATTTGAGCCGCATTCCAGTGCAAGAGAGACTGAAGTGGTGCTTTCGAAAACAGCATGTCACTTACCTTTTAGCGCAACTGGAGTCTCTAAAATTGAGCTTGATCGTGATGACGCGGATTCTGCAGTTGGGAGACCTACTTAAGTCAAGGAAAGAGGGTGTCAATTCGTCGAACTGCGGGCTCGCTGCTGAAGATATCATTGCCCAAGAGAAAGCCGAGACCCAGAACATGATCATCGTTAGATACTGGTCTTTGAAACGGCTAGATCGCTTGTGGGACTCCGTTGCACAGGAAGCCGTGGATGCTGCAAATGATCCGACGAACCAGAAGATCACCTCTAACCATTCCTCAGCTACCGCATCGGCGATAGGCCCCTTAGTCACGGCAGCCAAAGGCGCAAATCTCTCGAAACTTCCAGTTGTGACCTTTGGAGAGAGTGACGTGGGTTTGGCCAACCTGGAGCGATCGCCAAAGGATATGGTTCATCTTTCGGAGGGCGCGATGAATCGCCTGTTGCTGGTTTGGATACCGTCACTGGATCCGTCACTGCTATCGGCTGCCAGAAAGCCATCTCCGGATGCCACCAAACTCAGCCAGCCCCGTGCATATGTCTCATCTGGCAGTGAAGATGACGATTCAGACGACCCTGACTGGGATGGCCATAGCTCCCACGGCTACTATTTAGAAGGCACGACGGATGACTGGCGCAAGCCTCATTCACAAGAGGCCCGAAAGCATGCAGCCGAGCTACGCCGGCGATACTCCAACTATCAGGCACATGTTGAAAGCGAGCCTGTGGCCGACGAGTCGCAACGGAGTCGACAAACGCGCCCGAAGAACCCGCGAATAACCGATTCTAGTGACGAAGGGGAGCAACGGTCGACCTCTCGTCCACCACCCAAGAGTGTCATCATCAACGATAACCGCGCCCACTCCAATAGCTCTTCGTCCAGATATCCACCTAGCCCAGTGTCGGACCGAGGACCACCAACATATCCGAACGGAAGCTTCCAACCACCGCCACCCGCTCAACCTGTTCCGCGCTCGCAAGGACCTCCACAGAGCAAGCCCATGCCGGTCCATATCCCCGGTCCTTCTCAACAGCCCTATCGATACCACCCAAACCAAGAGTTCACCAACACGGCACCGCGGTCTATTCCAAATAGCCAGCCCAATATACCCGTAGGGTCAATGCCCATCCCTTCCCCAAGGGCCACACCACCGGGTCAATTCGATGCATCTTGGGCCCGACAGCAGCAGAATTACAATAACAATCACCTGCAACCACGGTCCCACCCCTCGGCATACCCACTTTCTTCATCATCGCCCGAGTCTAGCTTCAGCCTCCGGCCCTCGCCGCCTCGTTCCGCACAACGGTCTCCGACCCGTTCATACCGTCGATCCTCACGTGAAGAAGCTAAGGAACGTCACAAGGCTTTGACCCGCAGTGCGACTCGCGGCCTGGCGGGAATCGGCGCGATTGCAGGGTTTATGGATGCTTTGGAGGCATTTACGTTACTGTGATATCCCTTTGGCACGTCTTCTTGCTTGATTAGGTTCATTCTCTTTTTCTTGATTTTGGATTTACACCCCGGGCCAAAGTTATCCTCCGGGAACACAGTCGTTCAGAGGTTTGCCCTTGCTATTCTTTTCTTTTTGGCTTTTATTTTTCTCAGATCTGGTCTGGGCCTGGTCTTGTATCGGTAGGGAGTAGGCGCCGACCTCTTTTTTTGGGATGTTTTAGTCATGATGTATAAGCGCACTTAGTGTATCCCCCATTTGACGATCAAACGAGAAGCACGAATGAAATGAACAATGTACCATTCCAACTTTTCCTTTTTGGACCATTTACCCCGAGAAACATCGACAATTCTCCGGTTCCACACGGACGTACAGTTGGTTGCACAATTGAACCTTCAGGCGCTGACAAGGTTTAGCTAGATTACCCATACCTCTCCAAGAAGTAACTCAATCCGACGTCAACGCATGCAATTGTATGTCCGCGGTTTCACTTGATGGACTCTTTCGAGGTCGCAAACCTACACTTCCCTTCTCTGGCTACGAAAACGAGAGTTAATGCGTAGTAGATATACGCTCCCCAACAATCCCCCACTTCCTCATAGTACCCTGCCTCTCTACTCCGTACAAATTACTCCGCGTACTCCGCCTCCGGCCTCAATCCTCAACCTCCAAGAAAAAGAATTCCCCAACAGAAAACCGATATGATCTGCACCACCGCGAAGTACACTCTCGATATAAATTTCCATCGTCCTCTTTTTTGAATTCCCACCGGTGCATTTTAGCCGGATCAGGGCCCCTGACCCGTCGGACACGACGATCAACCCGATTTTCAAGCTGCTGTCAGGCGGAACTTCCGGTTCCACCGATCCTCCGGTCCGCCTTTCCACGGTCTTCATGCCTACTCCGGTGCTCCGTTGCGTTGCGACAGGGAGGTGTGTAGGTTTTTTTTTACGGGCTGGGTCACCTACGGAGGACGGAGTGAAGCAATGGGTGAGTGAATGCGAATGCGAGAATTCGTAGGTTTGGTTCGGGGTTCTTTTTTTTTTTTTTTTTTTCTTTTTGGGTTTCTTGTCGTTGAGTATATTCGTGTCGTGGGCCTGCTGTATTGAGGGCTTTTTTGTTTTCTGTTCTCTGTTCTCTGTTCTCCTTTTAATTTTGGTTTTCTGGCTGGTTTTTCGTCGTTCTTGTCGTTGTGGTGTTGGACTTTGGACTAGGATATGATCTGGTTCTATACCTTGCTGCTCCTTTGAGAGTTACTAAGGCTGTGAGTTAATACTTCAAGGTCTTTTTTTCTTTTTTGGAAATTGACATCATTTTCATATTGATGTGATATGCATTATTTTCTTGTTCTCTTTTTCTCGTTCTTTTCTTCTCTTCGCGTCTGTTATACACTTGCTGACATGGACTTATGTACGTGGCTTAGAGACCATGCCCTATATCCTGCGAACGAGATGCAATTCGCCTATGCCCAATGCCGATGAAAGAGACCATTCGAGTCTCTGATACTCTTATCCCTAAGAAAATCCCGACCAAATCATACCGCTCTCACTCTCTCACAACTATCAGAATTCCGGCAGTGGAGGCATACCGAAGATACTCCCATCCGGAAGCCAACCGTCAAGCTCCATGCCCGTGCCGGGCATTTGACCTCCGCCCTGCGGAGGCATCCGTTGCGGATCATATCCAAACTGAGGTGCAACTGTCGTCGCTGGTGGGTGGGTGGGTTGGTAACTACCAGGCATGGTCTGGAAAAACTGGCCGTGGCCATGGCCATGGCCATGGCTATGACCATGAGCATGGCTCTCGTCCATGGGCCACATGGCTGTACCACCCATAGCCACGTATCCATCCCTCATATTCTCCATACCGGGTGGCATATGCGGTAGTCCCTGTGGTACCGCGAACGAGTCTACGGCGGATGGATTGACCGGGTGCTCCAAATGCACGGGCTGTTCCTGTGAGCCTGGTAGTTGGCCCGTCGAAGTCATCGGTTTAGTGTCTGTGGATGAACCCCCGGATACCATCACCTCACCGGCGCCGCCCCCAGTATACCTCTTCTCCAATCGATCATGCCAGTCCCGACCCTTGACGGCTACCACATGATACCATCGACTCGGAATCTTGTATTTGCCGCCGCCGCTCGCCTCGCCCAGCTTATTCGCCATGGCGTCGAGGTAATAGCCTGCGTTCACAGTTTCCGGGGTGACTACCTCGCCGAGGGCACCCGTTCGCACGGAGAAATGAATCTTAAGCAGGGAAGTCATGGCCATGCCGAACCGGGTATACGTCAGATTCGGCATCCTACGCATCGTGTCCACGCTGCAGGTCAAGACGGCGTCGAGCAATTCGTGCGCGGCATTCATCCATTTCACGTTGATGTCGATGCGAATTGCGCTCATCTGTGGACCCAAGGGCCGGTTACCGTCTTCGTCTATGGTTGGAAGAGTGTAGTACCGCATTTTGATAGCGTCCGGATCACGGTAGCCTTCTCCCACGCCGAGTTCGTACATGGCTAGGACCGCGGATCGGTATTCAAGGATCATGGGTACTGTAGAGAGAACATTACGTCAGAGAATGTACAGAATATCTTTGTCAGAGGCAATGGATACTCACCTGTGAGCATGTCGGTTGGAGTGTTCTTCCTCCACGCCTCCATCCGCTTGTCGAACCATCGCAGTACAGCTTGGACACGCGACTCGGTCAAGGGAGAAGAAGCACTCGTGTCGTCCAAGCCGAATGAAGACATGGCCTCGTCCGTGATTCGTTGCAGCTCAAACCAGATGGCCAAATGCTGATCTGTCCGATGCGGGGATCGCTCTAATTGCTGCACACACTCATTCATCCAGTCGTTGAATTGAAGGAGATTAGGTCGACGGGTTTTCATAGCCACACTACATGGTTTCGTCGTTAGTAAATCCACTTTCCTCCCGAATGCAGTGAACTGATTCACTTACGTTGACCCCAGATGATAACACCCCAGAACCGCCCTTGCCTGTTCGGCCAAAAGTTCATCATATGGTTCGTGCCTGTTCTTCCGGTCGGACTTCTTCTTCGAGACCCGCCGTTTCGTGGCCAGGCCAATCTCCAGCGCCATTGTCGAGGCGATATGGGTATACTGAAAAAATTGCAACTTCAAGGGTGAATTGGGCGGGTAATAGAAGATGATCATAATCAACAAGGCTTGCACCAACTCTAGAGACTTCTCTCCCTCGATGAAGAACCGCTCTGCATAGAGTCGAACCATCTCACGATTCAGCACACCCGCTAGACCCGCATCGATCGAGATGGCCGCCGCCGAAATCACAGAAAGGAAAAGTATCGGCTTCGTCTGCCGCAGCTGTGCAGCCGTGGTGCTAGAGGGCAGAACGACCAGGGGGAAGAATGAAGCCAGTTCATGGAGGAAAAAGGCCACCAGCTGTTCTGCATCTTCCAGCGAGATAATACCCCGATCTATCACGTCTTCCGGAGGAGGTCTATTCGCATCGGGCGAAAAGTTCATGTGCAACCCGGACATGGACGGGGGCGCTGAAAGAGGGCCACTGCCGCCCATACCTGGATGAGCAGTATTCACAAACTCGGGCGAATAGTCCATAAACCTGCCCGAAGCCGCTGCACTGGCCGATGTCTCCGAAAGAGGCCCCAGATGATCGTGAAAATCCATTTCACCGGATTCATCGGGAGAATCCTCGCTGCCCTCGGGGGATTCCGGTTCACTCTCCTCGCGGATACGATCCTTCAACAGAGAACGCATCATGCGCATTTCCTTCTCAAGCTGAGCCACTCGCGAATCGGTACGTTTCCGCGGTCGACGCCGCTGAGGGGCCACGAAGACACAAGCCTTTTTGCCCTTTGCACATCGCTGGCATTGGTTTGGCGTGGACGGGTTGGGCAGACACCGTACCTTCAGGCTGCGGCAGGACTCACAGGAGCGGTTCAACTGTTGTGTCGGAACCGACTGGGCTGAGCTTGATTCACCTTGAGGCGTATTAGAGGTCTCTGACATGTTCACACGGCCGGTGGGACGATGCCGGGGAGAAAGGTCGTGTGGATAGAGCGTAAAAGACGCTAGAGAATCCGATGAAGATTTGTGAGATATCTCGTGGATGGTTTGATCCGTTCCATGTACGATATCTGGAAATGGAGGAGGATAGGATGCCCAACGAACACTCGGGTCCGAGTCGGCCAATCATGCAGAGCAAGAGAGAACCGGCAGGAAATGGCAACCCCGGGGAAGGGGCGGGAGGAGCAAAACAACGAGATGGACCAAGGTGCTATTCAGCCTGGGTATTTCGACTCATCGTATCGAATGCAACTGCAGGTGGGATGACGGGCATGGATCTAAACATGGAAAGCAAAAGCCACGGCCGAGCAGGAAAAGAAAGGGACGATCGACGGCAAACTTCACGAGCAATCATAGATTTTGCCTCGCAACCTCCTGCAGATCTCGAGAATTCCAGAACCCACGGCTTCGTCCGACTAGTGTTTTAGCGAAGCAGAGGGGGGAAAAAAGCCTCAAGGAAGTCTAATAATAATGGCCCCCTTTGAACGCGAGGCAGAGCGAAAGTGGGTGGGGAAGACGATTGGAAGAGAAAAAAAGAGGCCCAGCCTTGGCTCGAGGTCGCGTTGCATGTGCTGAGGAGAAAGAGTGTTGCCTCAGGGCCCCGAAGCTTAAATCTGAGAAGAATATGAATCACCGTTTTTCTTCTGGCCCCTGGTCGATGTGACAGAAAGGTGGGAGTTGTTAGGTAAGTGGGTGGTCGGTAGGTGCAACGCGTTCCAAGGCCCGAGACTGAGAAGCCTAGGCAAGAATAGAGAGACTTGGCTTCAAGGCGATATTCAGGTTCGTATGGAGAACGTTCCATTCATACTCCATCATCCAAAGCTATGTATCGAGGCTCTTGCGTATCTTCAACGGTCAGGTCGGTTAACAACTGCACAGTATTTTTTTCTCCCTCTTGTCCCACCATGATCCACCTTAACTGTCACCCTTTCTATGGGGTAAGCAAAGTGGATGTGGATTGCTATGTAGCAGCATCACTCCTCAATTGGGGGCTATCAGGGTCCATCCATCAATCAGCAGGAATTTGCCAGGCACGCCAGGAACCCGAAAATCGTCAGCATGGCCCAATAAGAGACTGCCGTATTCCCGAGGAAACCCATTCTGCAGAGAAACGAGGTATTAGGGGGAAGCCCCGAATCCGCCATCAACCAGCCTTCCCCGATTATCGTTCGCAGGTTCACAAGGACCCGAGATGGACGTCAGGGTCCCATAGTGATCCATCAAAAATCACGGGTCGGTGGCTGAATTAGGGAG